AATTTTTCTATTTCAAAACATATAATAATAATAATAATAATAATTAAAAAAAAATAGAGCACGTTCAAACAAATAGTTCCATGTTCGAGACCTCGATTGAACCAATAATGCCCTCTGAAGGAGTTTGGTGCATATTATTCTATTCTATTGCTCCCAATTATTGCCACTCGTGACTCATGTATAAATTCTAGATTTAATCAATTGTATTTATGTGTATATTAAAACTTGTAAACTGTAATATATTTCAAATTTTTTATATATAATAAAAATTGTGAACGTAATATATTTTTTAAATAAGAAAAAATATAAGCTAAAAATAAAATATAATAAACCTAATTATATATAAATATCAATATATTTTTAATTTTTTCAAAAACATTCATTTTTATTTATATATTTAAAGCAAAAAATGTTAAAATTATATTACATAGTCCACTAATTAATAAAATATTATTCTTTACGTTCCACTTAATTTGTCTTGTTATTTATATTTTCATTCGTCTCACATAATTTGTTCTTTAATTTTTTGAAAATATAATTATACACTGTAATCGTATTTTAAAATTTAAAATTTATATTTTTATTTTAATTAAACTATCTAGTCATCTTAATATTAATTTATAATTATTATTTATTAAATTATAAATATTTTTATTGCAAATTTTCAACAATAAAAAGTAAAACCCGAAGATAGAAATTTTCTTCGAATTTGATAAAATAAAATGCCTGAGATTAAGAATCCCTAAACACCGTACGATACATAAGTAAAAATAAGAAAATAAATACTACAGACTGTAAAAGTAAAATGGTGATCCCAAAAGAAATTCATTGAATTTGATGTCGATTGAAGATGCCATTTCAGAATAGACCCAAATCTTTAAATATTCTCTGAATAAACGTTTTGAAACCGTCGTCTGTTCTATTACACCAACCGCCGTCAATCGCCCGCTAATTCCTCTTCCATTGACACGTGTTTTAAGTGTTTCATCAACCGCTCCCACCAGTTACAGAACCCAACTGGCTCGACCGACCGCCTGTGGGCACCTTATCTCCTTAAATGGACGGCTGGTCCCGAACGACTACTCAACCGGACTGCAGGCCGACCAACTGCCTCGAAAAACTCCTTAGCCACTCGATGGGCCCAGAAATGGGCCCACATCGATCGCCCAATCAAACGACCACCATCCAGTCCCTTTAAACGGCTGAACAACCGTTCGTCCAGACGATTCATTGGTCGTCCAATCAAGTGACTGAACTACTGTCTGACAAAATGACCGGCCAATCAATTAGGCGATTAACAGGTCGCTTAATTAAGCGACCAATTAACAGACCTTTCTTCACCCGACCAATTAACAGACATTTCCTCTTGTCCGACCTCCGTGTCTATCATCTCATATTTCTTCGCTCGACCTCCTTTTGTCCGACCTCCGTGTCTGCCCTCTAATCTTTCTTCGTCTGACCTCCTTTTGACCGACCTCCGTATCGGCTGTCTCATCTTTCTTCGCCCCACCTTATCTTGTCCGACCTTCTTATCAGCCGTCTCATCCATCTTCGTCCGACCTTATCTTGTCCGACCTCCTTATCGGCTGTCTCATCTTTCTTCGAAAACCATTATTAGGCCCATTGGACTATACACCAGTCCACAGCCCTAGGCCCATTTTTTGAAAACCCTGCATATTGGTTTTTTCTTATTCAACACTAATATACTTTTTAATTATTTACTAATTATGCAATATCTGTACCTAATATAAATGAGACAATTTATTAGGATGAGAATAGTATTATTTTTCAATCTACTCAAATATAAAAGAAAAAAAAAACATCAAATTGGACGAATGAAATATTAGTATAACTTTGTAAATATATATATATATAATATTAATTTGACCACTACAATAATAAAATCATACAAAACGTACATATAGGAAGTAAACAAATGTATATGCTTCGTATTTAATTTAGAAGTACAGTTTTTTTAAAAAAAATATAATAATAATCGATAAAAATATCATAAAAAAACGAGTATGTTGACTTAATACTTTTTTAAAAATAATTTTTATTAAAAAAAATAAATATACACATATTAATATAACATATATATCATCGATATGATCCTCTACTTTATGCAAATTTTGGAATAAATTATTTACTAATACAGCATTTAATGATATGGAAGTTTATATGGTATATTAGAATGCAAAAGCACCTTTACTTAATTCAACGTTACCAGATGAGATGATGCAGAATATAAATAAATAAATAAACAAATACTTCATTATTATTATATAAAAAAAATATTATATTCAATCCACATATCATTTAGTATTTTTATATAATTAAGGCTAAATTGTACAAAATTTACCTGTATTTTACGAAATTGCGTCAAATTCCTTGTACTTTTAAAATTGCATCAAACTTCCTCGTCATTTCATAAACTCTGTGTCTAACGCTTAACGCTCAAATTGCGAATAAATTTTAAATACTCAATTTCTAAACCTCTAAAATTGCAAATATATATATTTATTTATTTATTTATATTTAGCATTAAGAAATAGTAAATATACTCAATAATAATTATTTTTATCAGGTTTCAAACTTTATTTTTACTTTTTTTTTAAGGCTAGATATAAGAAAAATAGATATATTTGTAATTTCAGGAATTTAGAAATCGAGATTCTAAAATTTATTCGCAATTTGAGCGTATTTAGGTCAAATACCGTTAAATAAGGACCGTCGATGAAGTTAGACGCAAAGTTTATAAAAACCACGAAAGAGTTTAACGCAGTTTTAAAAATATGATAAATTTGACGCAATTTTGTAAAATTACTAGTGAATTTTGCGCAATTTAATCTATAATTAAAATAAACAAAAATATCATTTAATTTTATTTTTATTTTAAAAAGACCATTACACACACAACTTCCATTGCGTTTCTAATAATAATGAACATTCTCCAAATACGAGCTTCTTATCTCTTAGAGTGGGGCCCTGCGGCTCCTTAAAATTCTCCAGCTAACCACCAACTCACCCAATCCTTTCACACCGGCGGTCTTCCGGTCCAACTCCCTCACCTGGCCCTCCACCTGCCACGTCACCCCGGAGTGCACAATCAACAATTTTGTTCTATTATTATTATTTTTTAAAAAATTATTATTATTATTGATATGTTAAATTGTACAAAAATCTACTCCTAATTTCACAAAATTGCACGAAACCTCTCAATTTTTCAATACTGCATCAAACTCATAATAGTTTCATAAATTTTGCGTCTAATCCCTCGGCCGTCCATATTTAACGGTGTTTAACTTACATACACTCAAATTACGAATGAATTGCATATTACTAATTTATGAACTCTTAAAATTATAAATATAATTATTTATCGTATATTTAGCCTCAATAACATTTAAATAAAACTTTTAAAACCAAATAAAAATAACTATTTCGGAGTATATTTACTGTTTCTCGAAGTTAAATAATAAAAATAATGAATATTGTAATTTAAAGGTTTTAAAATAAAAATTCTAAAACTTCTTCGCATTTTGAGGACGTGTTGATCAAATACGGTTAAATAAAGACAACCGACGATGTTTGACGCAAAGTTTATAAAATCACGATAAAATTTAAATTCAATTTTCAAAATATAAGAGATTTTGCACAATTTTGTAAAAATAACTTTTGGTATAATTTAGTTATTATTATTTATATACAATACATATGATTACGGTTTATTTATATTTATAAATATGTTGTACTCCGTCCGTCCCCAATTTATCTATCCATTTGCTTTTTGCACAGAGTTTTAGAAATATTAGTATTATATTAGGATAAAGTATAAATAAAGGTAAAAAGACTAAATTAACCCTATTAGTATTGTATGATATAAAGGTAATGACATTTGTGTAATATATTGTAAATTAGAAGGGTATTTGTAAGTTAGGTATATAGTACAATTACAAAAAAATAAACGAATACTTTGTTATGGGACGGACTAAAATAGAAAAATTGATAAATTATTAAGGGACGGAGAGAGTATAAGAATATAGGAGTATTGGCTAAGGCAAAATTTATGTTTATTTTTTGAATTATAATAAAAAAAACTTTTGTGTATTTTTATTATTAAAAAAAAATTATTATTATCCATTTTTATTAAAATATGTATTCTAATATTTGAACACATATTTGAATGATGCATGAAGTTTGAAATCATATTTGAAATAGCTTATGTGAAATTATATTATATTTTGATAGTTTATATATCATATTTGTAGTATATTAATATAAGTTATGTATTGAAATAATAACGTGTTGTTAATTATATTAAATCTGTAATTGCCACATATTATTAGTATTATTAAAAATATATGACCTGGATAATGTAATAGTGAGTTATTCATTCAAACCTCAACGTCTGAAGATGTACGTGTCACACATAATTCATCTAGTATGTGACTTGTGCATGTACAATTTTACATTTATGTTGTCTTTTATAATTATGTTTATTATGTTCAACAATAATTATTTTGTATTATTTGCATTGCAATTATATAATAATACTATCAAAAGAAATAGTGCCCGTTGTTATATATAAGTATGTCATATAAAAGTATTATCATGTGTATATATATATTTTATTTATTTATTTATTATGTTAAAATTAATAATATAGTATTATGTTGTGTGTAATTATACGATGATGTACCATCGACATATTCTACTTTAAAATTATTTGTTTCAATTATATTATTTGTGTATATAAGTGAACTTTGTAATTGTGGTATCATAAATTTGAAGTTATGATCCTTTCATATATTTGTCTGAAACATATGATTCGTATAATGCTATTGCTATTTAGATTCGGATTTGCTCAAAATGCACTAAAAGCTAACAGTTACTGTTCATAATCATTAAAAAAAATCAATAATAGTATATTTTTTAAAAATAAAAATAAAAATATTATTATTATTATTATTATTATTATTATTATTAGCAAACCCTCGTTTCAATTCTTCCCAAAAAGCAGCCATTAAAAGACCACCTCCTCACTCAATTTCGCCCCCAACAGGAAGGAACAATCCAATCCAATCTCCACACCAATCCCTACGATAAGCTACCTTCTATGGAGAATTACCCCTACAATTCATCCTACCCGGAGTCCGGTGGATCCTCGCCGCGATCCAGGGAGATCGATTTTGATAATCCACCGCCGTGGGATGAGTCGCAGAGCAATCAGCCGCCGGGGAATTACAAGGTCAAGTTTCTGTGCAGCTACGGAGGGAAGATTCACCCCCGTCCTCACGATAACCAGCTCTCCTACATCGGAGGCGAGACCAAAATACTCGCCGTCGATCGGAACACCAAGTTTGGACCGCTGCTCTCCAAGCTGATTGCTCTCTGCGAGAGCGATAACATCTCCTTTAAATACCAGTTGCCTGGAGAAGATCTGGACGCTTTGATTTCGGTCACCAACGACGACGATTTGGAGCACATGATGCACGAGTACGAGCGCTTGTACCGGATTTCTCCGAGGCCGGCGAGGTTGAGGATTTTCATCTTTCCAAACCAGAGCCAGAGTCAAAGCCAGAGCCTGAATTCTTCTGTTCGGAGCTTTGGTTCCGACGAGGTGAAGTCGGAGAAGGAGAGGTTTGTTGAGGCTTTGAATACTGCGCCGATTATCACTGCGCCGCCGCAGACGGCGCCTGTTGCTGCAGCTCCACCCCCGCAGGTACCTGCGAGTAACACTGATTTGTTGTTTGGAATGGAGAGAGCGAACGCAATTGCAGCGCAGGCTTCAGCGCCGCCGCCTATGATGGGGAAGGTTCCAGAAATGGAGCCTCCGGTCGCCGTTCCTGGTCTCGACGACCGCTATGTTGGCCTGGATCCGATCCAGAAGCATATTCAGGATCTGCAGAGGCTGAGAGTCGAGGAGCAACATGGAATTTACCGAAGGAAGAGCGAGGATAGCATGACCGGAGGATTGACCGGCGGCGAATATTACAAAATACCGGAGAAAGCTCCTCCGGTGTCGGTTCCGGCCGGAGGCGTTCCTTATTGGACCGATAAACCAGTCCCCGGAGGAGCTTTCCCGGCGAGCACCGCTAACAACGAGCAGCCGGTGTACATGATTCAAACTCCAGCGGGTGCGTACCACGCGCCGATGGTGAGATCGATGCCCGGGGGACCGAACCAGGGGTACTACACGGTTCAGAGGCTACCGCCGGAGGCAGCTTACCGCGAGCATCAGCAGATCTACGGAGCGATTCCTCATGGCGCTGTGCCGTCCATGGCAGCGCCGCCGCCGTCTCTTCAGCCTCAAAAACCCGCTGGATATTCCGACGGGTACGGAATGGTCCGGCCGGCGACCACCGCCGGGATGGGGATTGTTACAGAAGGCGGATACGCACAGATGGCGTACGATAGTGGATCCGGGAGACAGGTGATCTACGCTGCGCCACCTGGCGCAGTTGGTGCGCCGCCCCAGCAGTATCAGGCTATGGGTGGTGCATTGCACCCGGACCAGGCAGGCGTTAAGGGTGTCCCAAAGGTTACGCAAACTTCCGTTTGATTGTGTGTTAAATTTAATACTACAATAATAATAATATATATATATATAGTTTATTTCCAAATAATCTGAGTGGATTAAAAATGCCTTTACTATTAAAAAAAGACCTTCTATTTTGTAAATTAAATTTACGAGTTGATTGAATTCAAATTTTCGTATCATCATAAATTTATTAATAAAAAATCCAAAATTAAAAAAGAAATAAAATAATAGAATGAATATTATGTAATGTATCTACGAGACAGGTGTAGTTTAGAAGTCAGCATCAATGGTCACTCCACTTGCCTTATCTACTCTATTACTTTTCCTTTCAATATAACTCATGTCTACACTTAATTAATATATATATATATATATAAATTAAATCTTGAATAAATTATTACCAAATGACAAAAATTTAAGGAAGTAGTACCCTCCAGGGCATGGTTGACAGCGAAATAACCCTAATTATTGTACACAGATATAATTTTTTTAAAAAAAATATTATTATTAAATCTGCAATAATTCAATTTTAATTTTAATTCACTTGTGAAGGGGTTACACGTTAGTCTTTAACGTGCCTAGTTTCTTTCCCGTGACATTTTTAAATAAATACACGTCCTTTCTTGGTTTGTGCTTCCTTGTAAAATAATACATAATTATATTATATATATATATATTCACTTTTATTGGCATTATAGCAACGACAATTTAATTAATTAAAATAAATAAATTGTTTATTTAAGCAGAGAATAGAGTTATTGAAAAGACAGGCAGATTCAAATAATTGAATATGGAAATGGATCGAGTAGGTGACAAGTCGTGGGTTTTAAATTATCTACCACGATCCCAAATTACTGTTGAAAATGAAAATAATTAATATTATTAGATATAGACATATATTGATAGATGTGAAATTGAAAAAGGTAATTGTTGAGCTGAAATATAGGGAGGTAACATTGTAGCGTGACACCAACGCCAATTGCATCTAACAGTGGTGAAAATCATGATGAGACACTATTCTCAATAATCATGCTGTCTATATCTATTTTTGTGTATTGTATATTCTTTTTTTTTTTTTTTTCCCAAAACTATAATTTTAATTGCATTGAACACATAATTTAAAAAATATTGATATTATAGTGATAGTTGATAAAAAAAATATAGATAAAAAGATTCTTTTACCATTGTGAGTATATTAGTGTAAAAAGTAGTAGCAATTATGTAATAAAAATAAAAAAGTAGGGTTGGTTTACGGTGATATAGTTATTTATGAAAATAAGACTATTATTTTAGGACAGACAAAAATGATGAACAAGACTATTGTATTAGGACGGATGAAGTATTGTTTTTAAAATTATACTCCCTCCGTCCCATAACTATAGTTTGGGTCGGGTTTGTCACGAAATTTAATAAATATTGATATTATATTGCCAGTGGGTAAAAAGTACGGGTAAAAGATTTTTTTGCATGTGTGAGTGTATTAGTGTAAAAAAAATGACAATTGTGTAATAATAATGAAAAAAAGTAAGGGTAGTTTTATAATTATATGATTATTTATAAAAATGAGACTATTATTTTAAGCCGGATAAAAATAGTAAAAAAAACTATTGTATTAAGAGGGAGGAAGTATTAATTTTTTACTAATTTTATTCTATCATTTTAAATTTAGTAACTCTCAAAATTATTTGTATAATTTATTCTTTAAATATAATTTATAACAAGACAAAAATGTAATTATATATAGTTATATCAAAATTATACTAATTGAAATATAAGATCAAAACTAACAAAAAAGTACAAAGAAAGTAAATTCTGCATGAGATGGTTTGATAGTATAAAATTAAACTGATAATGATCGTAAAATTATAGATTCAAATTCGAAATATCTTTAAAATAATAGTAAAATAAAAAAACAATAATGAAAAAAAGTATTGAAAAGTTGGGTGACCAAGATTTTACTGAGTTTGTTTGTTTGTGATACTTTTAGCAGTCCTACATTTTTGTTTTTCAATAGAAAATGGCAAGCAAACACATCCAAAATTTGAAATAAACAGTTCATAAATATCCAAGGTACAATTTACCTAATTATTTGAGGTATTAATATTTATAAAGTAAGGTAGACATCTATAGCAGTGACAATAATCTATCAATGATACAAATTATACCCTGAGGCCTAAGATATCTTTAGGGTGTGTTTGTTTGGAGATTAGATTTTAAATCCGTTATTCATTCCTTTTTTTTTTCTCTAAAAACATCAAATCAAACACCTATTTTTTATTTTTTATATTATTTTAAAAATCAATTTTACATTCAAAATATCACATCAACACCTATTTATATCACATCATACAACTATTCAAATTCAAAATTTTTACTATTTAAATCCCAACTCAAAATCCAAACCCCAAACAAACACACCCTTAATAGATACTAATAAATGTTGTCTGCATGTTTGTTAATATATAATACTACATCTGTTCGACTCTAAGAGTTTTATTTATTTTTATTTTTTTTGTTGATATTTGAATATTAATTATTATATCAAAACGTAATACAAATTTAAAAAAAATTACAAAAAGACTTTCATTAGTGTCTTATAATACAAATAGAAAGACACTTGTACAAAAAATTATACAAATATAAGGATATTTTTAATGTTAAGTACAATGACGCAAAAAATAAATGTGATCCTTAGAGGCGAGCGTAATGAAATACTTTATCTGTACCAAATCAAAAGAGTCATTTGGAGTTTTGTAGTAGATTAATAAATAATAATATTTTATTAAGTAATATAAGTGTGTAAGAATTTTCTAACATTTTTGCCCTTTAACTAATTGTATATGCAATGCTATATTTGTAATTTAGGTAAAAATTAAGAGTATTTTAATATTAGTATATAATTACTTTTATTATAATATGAAATAGATACTTTGAAGTAGAATAAATAAAAATGATAATAATAGTATTTTGAATTAAAACATGATATTATTATTTTTTTAAAATAAAAATATTACATAAAAGTACTATTTAGATTAAAATTTAAATCACAACCCCAATTCACATTTACTATAAAAGCAATTTTGACAACATAAGAGCATTTACAGTCATTTGTGGAGAATAAAACCTTGACAATAAGAGCACGGACAAATGGGGTGTTCTTAACTATCTAAGAACCTTAATATGGTGAAACAAGATGAAACGAATGGAATAATAAATATAATTATAATTTTTTCATTATTAAATTTAATAATAATATTAAAAATATTTAATTTTTATATTAATTATATTTTAAAAATAAATTTTTATATATTTCATTAAAAAATATATCCATAAATAATTTATATTAATTTTAAAAGTTAAAAATATTATATTTTATAAAAATAAAAATAAAATATTATATTATTTTATTAAATATAAATTATTATAATACATTAGGATATATTTTAAAAAAATATATGTTATATAAAATTTGTATTAAATAAAAGAATAAGTTTGTTGATGCGGAAAAAAAAAAAAGAAATTTGAAAAATATTATTTTAGATTCTACAATTTAAGAAAAGAACTTGATGAATTTTTTTTTAATGAATTTTTAAGTTGATGCGACCTCACGAGGGAGAAAGAAAAACTATAGTAAAGATTCTTATTCCCTCCGCCTCATAACAAATTATCTATTTTTTCATTTTTAATCCGTTCCATAACAAAGTATTTATTTATTTTTAGTAGTTGTACTGTCTACCTAACACTACAAATACCCTTATAACTTACAATATATTACACAGATATCATACAATACTAATAAAATTATTTTAATTATTTATACTTTATTCCTATTACATCCCAATATAATATTAATATTTTTAAAACTTCGTGTAAAAAGCAAACATATACATAGTTATGGACGGAGAGAATATATGATTTGCGTTGTAAGTGGTCTAAGGTGTCACCCTCCAAATTGCAAAATAGAAATCTTTGGAAAATTATGTTGCACAATAGTTTAATGAAAGTACACTTCTGTCTCTCCAAATCTCCCTCAATTGATTTAGACCATCTTCAATGTATACAGATCTAACTCTACAAATGCAATTGTTATAATATTTATATTTCAACAAAAACTCATAGTTTTTCCTAATATTATTCAAATATTCTATTTAATACTACATCATTTTAAATAACTTTTTCTTTTTATAATTTTCACTATTTAAAAAATAAATAAATAAAAAATAAATTAAAAAACCATCAATAAAGAAATTTAAAAATAAAAGACAACGTAAAAAATTGACCGTGATATTTAGGGTTAGTTATGGCACTGGATTAGAGATGCCTTCGGTGATAAAAATGCGAACACAAAAAATTATGCTTTGCTTAATGTGATTTGTCTTGTCGGACCTAATTTGTAGAATATTACGTTCGGCCGAAGATTTACGTACGTACTTTTCAGATAACATTTGCGAATTTTTACGTCATAAAAATAAAATAACGTGAACACAAAAAATCATGCTCCTATTTGAAAGAACTCCTTGTCATTCCACAAGAATATCATTGCACAAATTCAAATACTAGTGTTTTTTCTCTGGCCATAGAGAAAAACACTTGAAATTGATGAAAAAACTGTATAAAAAAAATAGGTTGAATTGAGTCGTGTGGGCCTCAGTTGTTGGGTGCACCCCAGTTAAAATTTAAAGAGAAAATAGATAAAAACTAAAATGTCAATTTTTATTTTTTTTTATTTGATGTTTTAATTTGATTTTTTTTTAAAGGTGAAATAGGAAGAATTATGTTGTTATGTAAAAAATATACTTCTTTTCTTACGAAACAATAGTTTTATTTGGTTTCAATATGATAAATTTAAGAAATAATGATATTGGTGTAAAAAACTAAAATATATTGTAAGTGCATTTGTATAAAAAAAAAATGATATTTGTGTAATAATAATAATAATAATAAAGTATAAATAATTTTATAACGATATGATTATTTATGTAAATAACACTATTATTTTAAGACGAATTAAAAATAAAAAACGAGACTATTACTTTAAAACCGAAGAAATAATATTTCACATTAAATATTGATTTTTTATAATATAATAGAATATGGTATATTATATATATTGAAATTGTATGAATTTTTCTTTATTTGACAAATAAACCTAATATTTGATTGTTTTTTATTATTTAATTATTATAAAATTTTAATAAAATTATTTTATTTTAATTTTATAAAATATCATATTAAATTATCATTTAATTAAAAATTATAACTGAAAAAAATAAATCCAAAAAGTAGAGAGAAAAGTAAAAAACAAACATCCAATTTATTGGTCTAATATTTTGATTTGAAAATTTTTTATTTAAATAAAATATTAAAAATTATATTGATAATATTTTTATATTAAATATTGATGTTTGTAAAAGTGTAAATATATATATATATATATATTAGAATTATGTAAAAAAAAAAAAAATTATGGGTAAACAACCATCATTTCTAAATAAAATAATTTTATCAGAGGAATAATTATATAATAAAAAAACATAATAAAACAACTATTCCTGAATTGTAACTTTCTTATAATTTTTAATTTTCATAAATTCCAATTAAAACCACTTTGAAGCGTTTAATAAAAGATAAATAAGTAATAAGTAAATTATTTTTAAAGAAAAAAAGATTATATACTAAACCAACCTTATTTTCTCTCTGCATCCAAAGACATATGTGTATGAGAGAGAAACGATAATTGGGGATTCTGTGGATCGTATACTCATCTTGTAGCGATTCCGATTCCGATCTGTAGTGAGCAATTAATCGGTTTACGAATTCTGAATCTTGAAAATGCCTGCGGATCAAGGCGAGCTCTCTGTTGAACAGGTATGTTTCCAGTTGAAATCTATACAATCCTTTTGTAACTGCACGACTGGATGTAAATCGGCCGGCGCCGGCGATTCGTGTGGCTTATTTTTGGTCCGGAGTGTTCGCATTTGCGTTTGATAAGTTCGTTTTTATTAATTGGTGATCTTTGTTGTATTGTGATTTTCTTGTTCGTCGAAGGGGGTTTTGGTGGTGGATCATTTGTTTTTGAATTTTGACCGTGTTGGTTTTATCCTGTGAAGGTATTGCGAAGGGATATTCCATGGGAGACTTATATGACCGCTAAGCTCATATCGGGGACGGGGCTTCAGCTGCTGCGGCGCTACGACAAGAAACCGGAGAATTACAAGGCTCAGTTACTGGATGATGTATGATCAATTCGAACAATTACTGCTTCTAACTAATTATCTTGCTGCCATATACGTAAATTTTGTTGTTGAAAACATATGAAATGCTGTTGGTAAAAGGAAAGTTATTTATGCTGTTTGTTAAGTAAAGTACTCTGACTTTTGTCTGGTTTCTTGGTTAAATATGTTGTTTGATGATTAGTTATGTAGGAGCTCTGCGCGTAATGCTTTTGCTATTTTACAGTAATTAGTTACGCCACCTATGATTTCCCCGGAGTTGGGTCCATGTAATATGAGCTGAAACCTGATGGGCGATTATAATTAGCTTCTGTGTTTGATTGGGTTTGATATGATGAATCTGTGGTTTCTAATTCATTGATCAAGTAGTGGTTAGGGGTTCATCAAGCAAAGTCGTGTGAATGATTGGTAATAGGTGTTCTCTTAGTTGCTTACGGAAAAATTTGTTGCAGGATGGCCCTGCTTATATTCGTGTTTTTGTTAGCATCCTGCGTGACATATTCAAGGAAGAAACTGTGGAGTATGTTTTAGCCCTGATTGATGAGATGCTTTCAGGTAAGAGTCATACACATAACCCTTTCATTTGCTTTTATCATTTCAAGTGACTAATATCTTTCGTTTCTTGTGCTTTTTCAATGGCAGCAAACTCTAAAAGAGCTAGATTGTTTCATGATAAGACTCTTGCTGATGAGGACATATACGAGCCTTTCCTAAGGCAATGATCTCCATTCACTTATTGTTGCATGTTATATCTAGTGCTGTTCACTTAGGCCTTTCAGATGTGTTTACATATGTTTTCCTCGTGTTTGTACTTTCCCAAATCAGCACACTATGGCAGAGCCACCTATTATCGATGATAGACAACAAATAAATATTGTAAATATGTTTGAATTTCTATAGCTGTTATGTATTCAACCTGCATTTTAATATCTGAAAATTTTAAGTAATTTCTTACATTTAAGTATGATGCATTTTTTTGCTATGTAATACACAATTGGAATTTTGTGTTCTAGTGTGTTTCTTTCGTATAATAAAATCGGCATGCTCATCCTTTTTTACTTTGCAGGTTGCTCTCTGAAGGTAATTGGTTTATACAAGAGAAGAGCTGTAAAATACTTTCTTTGATAGTGAGGTATGCCTCTCTATTTATATCTTATTAGTAACACTTGGTTTTAGATATGGCTTACATACCATTCTTATTTCTTCATTTCTAGTGGAAGACCTAAAGCTCAGGATGGTGCTATTGCTAATGGAGCATCAGGTTCAAAGAAGAAGATCACAACTATAGATGATGTTTTGAAGGGACTGGTTGACTGGTTGTGTTCACAGGTTTGTCTCTGTGCTCCTAAATGCATTAGTTCTCTTCTAGGAGATCAGAAATGGCATATTGTATTCATATTCTAAAAGGGGGGCCTATATATGGTCTTATTTTCTTGTATGGTATTAGTTTTACTACAACCGAGACCTCAAAAGCTTCATTTGACAGTTTGTACTATTGATTTTCTTAGAAAGTAGTGATCAAGAGATATATGTGCTCTAGGGCATTGGGTAACTACTTCTTGATCAACAGTTAATGTCATGCCCCTTTGTTGATCCTGTTATGATGCAAATTCTGTGTCCAAACAACTGATGGGCTTGGGATAAATCAAATCGTAACCACCATTTTTTCACATGCTGTTTTTGTATCATGGTGTTTGATGCAAGTAGCAATTAAAGATATATATCGTGAACTCATTTGATGCAAGTGTCTCCTGCTATGTAGTTATTGTTGCATGAGTTTTTGTAGTTAGGGAATAGATGCTGAGTTCAGCAGTTACTAGAAACATCTATATAAAGTCCAGACTGTTGTGAGTCCTAAGACAATAACAATTCAGCCAGAAAAAAGGGGAAAAAATAAGTAGATGAAGTCTCCATGGGTAAAGCTATTTTCCTTCAAACAGCAATAGGTTTTCGATCATGACATCATAACAATTCAAGAGTTCTGGGCTTTGTTGATATCAACATGGTTGCAGGAATTAATTTTATTGTTCACATCGTATGTTAATAATTTCACTAATTACTTGGTCACTCATGAATATCATATAAGTAACTATTAACAAAGGATATACTGTTAGAAATTAAAATAGCAATGAATCAGATTAGAAAGACTTGTACTTATGCTTTTCTACCATGCAGCTGAAGAAGCCATCTCATCCTACTTGTGGCATTCCTACAGCTGTTAATAGCCTAGCAACCTTACTGAAGGAGCCTATTGTGAGATTTTCATTTGTTCAAGCAGATGGAGTGAAGTTGCTCATTCCTCTAATTTCTCCAGCATCCACTCAACAGTCCATCCAGGTAATGTTACTGTATGTTTCACATGTACCCTACCTTCTTCTAGGATAACAGATTGAAAGTTTTTCCTCCAAAATGATAATTTAGTTTCCAACAATATGAACTGAAAATTCTCCTTAAAATAATTTCTGTTAAATAAAGAATACTCAGAATTGTATTCCCTAATCTCAGCATCCATAAAGACTATAGACAACAGTTTTTCTTAAAGATTGTGTCATATCTAATTCATGTTACTGTTCGATTGTAATAAGATTGTTCTATTATTAGTGAAGTATATGTAATCTAGAGCATAAGGGGAGACAATTTGGATAATTATTTTCTTTAAAGTTGTATACACGAAAAAATTCAAACCAACTAATATAGAAACTGATACATCCAACTAGTGGAATGGATTGAGTAGTTCCTACCATTCATTTACATGGTATTTCATTCCATTCTAGATGTAAAGTTGACTAGCTTGTTCTTCATTGGAGTAATATCTTGTTCCTGTGACTTGATAATATTTTTCATATGTTGAGAACAGCTTCTCTACGAAACCTGCCTTTGTGTATGGCTCCTGTCCTACTACGAGCCTGCTGTTGAGTACTTGGCTACTTCTAGGTGCTTGCCGCGGTTGATTGAAGTGGTTAAAGGTTCCACAAAGGAAAAAGTAAGTTATATAATGGCTGTTTCTTTCATGGTTTAGTTTATTTAAGAAAATATCCCAATCTTGATAGACTTTTGATATCCGCTGTATGTTGGCTGTGGACTATACATATTACTAATCTTCCACTGGGAACTGAATAATCTGAATGTCGACTTGCAGGTTGTTAGGGTGGTCATCTTGACTCTTCGGAATTTGCAACACAAAGGGACATTTGGTGCTCAGATGGTGGACCTTGGACTGCCACAGATTGTTCAGAACTTAAAAGCTCAAGCATGGAGTGATGAGGTGAGTATTTATTTAGGGTTACAAACTCATAATTGCTTATTTATCATTTCAAACAGAAAAGGAAAAGACCCTATAAACAAGATATCTAAATATCCTTGAATTTGATGCTATTCTCATACCAATAAGCCTAGAATGGAATCAATGTTGTATTTTCTGTGATGTGTGTTTGTTTGCGGGTTTGGATTTTGGATTTGAATAGTAAAAGTTTTAAATTGAAATAATTATATGATGTGATATAGATAGGTGTTAATGTCATATTTTGAATGTAAAAAGTTATTTTTAGTATAATAAAGAAAATATAAAATAGATGTTTAATCTGATGTTTTTTTGTGGGAAAATTTTAGTGAATAGTAGAAATTTTGTAAAGTTTGATAAAAGAACACACCCGAATTATTCTAGAGTCCCCCCAAAGTTTAATTTTTCTCAAGCATAGTGAATTTGAAATTACGGTCCTGCTGTTCTATCCTGTTTCAATTGCCTTTTGTACATATTTTCTTTTTCTGCAGGATCTACTGGAAGCTCTGAATCAGCTGGAGGAAGGTCTGAAAGACAACATCAAGAAGCTCAGTTCTTTCGATAAGTATAAGCAGGAGGTTCTCCTTGGACATCTCGACTGGTCACCCATGCACAAAGACCCTATATTCTGGCGGGAGAACATCACAAGCTTTGAGGAGCATGACTTCCAGGTATAAATCCCCCACCGTTTAATGACCAGAAAACTTCTAATCCCGACTATACTTAGACTTCTATTAAAATGCTTTCCCGGCACATTGCATTCATATTCACCTCTCTTTTTGCAATAACATTATTATTTGCAGATCCTAAGGGTCCTTCTCACTATCTTGGACACATCCACCGATCCCAGAACACTTGCTGTTGCTTGCTATGATCTCTCACAATTTATTCAGTGCCACCCCGCTGGACGCGTCATTGTGACCGACCTTAAGGCTAAGGACCGTGTTATGAAACTGATGAATCACGAGAATGCCGAGGTCACTAAAAATGCCTTGCTCTGCATCCAGAGGCTCTTTCTTGGTGCCAAATATGCAAGCTTTCTGCAAGCATGATTCTTCCTACCACAAGCCATCAATTCTACAAGTTCACAAGGTACCTTACCTACCTACCTGCCTACCTTTGTTTAAGGTTATATGTTAATTATTTTGGATAATTTCAATGGCTGTTTGTGCAGTTTGTACGATGAAAGATTTTACTATAATTCAATAAGTTGACAGTGGTTCTTGTCATCACCTGTCACTCTGCCCATCACTGCTGTTTTTTTGGGTTATACATTTTTTTCCTAATTTATATATCAATATTTTGTCACTTTATTATGGAGGTAATTCGACTTCAAATTTCCCTTTGCTCTAAGGTGTGATTGGTTTGCATTTTTGTATTTAAATAGTCTGTTTAGTTATAGTGCTAATTAGCATATTATTTTTATTATACGTATTTGTATTATATTATATTAATATATATCATTAGAAATAGTTACCTAATTAGTATTTGTACAGTATGTTTTTTCTAGAAAAACTAACTTATTATTTTTTAAGTGCCAGCGGAGATTGTATAATAAAAATTTAGAAAATATATTTTAAATGCCTATTTAGTGCAGTTTTCACATGTCAGAGAGGTGCAGAGCGCACACACATACCAAAGCAAGGCAAACAATTCTTTCTTCGCATTTTGAATGTTTTTGAATAAAAAATAAAAATTTAATTTTATATTTTATATTTTAACTAAAAATTGTACTCTAATTATTTTAGAGTTAACAGTTTTGATTGGTTAATTCTTGAAAATTCCTACAATTGTCTGATTTTAGGTCATTAACAATGAAATTAATTTACGAAGTTTCTATTAAGTATTATTTTTTAATTAAAAATAATGAGAAATTTTAATTTTCAAATTATAGCATTTTTTTTTTTTCGAAAATAAAACCCAAAAACGCATCTCATCCTCACCCACCCTAAAATATTCCAAATTTAATTATTGATCACAGATGGCAAGAATTTACGAAAAGACATGAAAGCATTAATAATTGCGTGCTCGTGATGTGGCGTAATTATTAGGAACACACCAGAAAAGCGCCACACAGTGAGAAGTCGCATTATGAATTGAGAAAAGTCGCATTTATGAATCGCCGCCACGTGTTAGGTTGACAGTAGCGCTTTTCGCGCGGCAGATGAAGTCGTCATTAATCGCCCGCGCAAAAGGAGTTGGAGAAGAAGACAGTGATTGATGATGGTGTTGATTTGAATTCGAATTCCGAAGACGGACCGAAAAGTTTCCAGAGCATTCCTACGATCTCATCCCTGCTTCCTCTGGTTGGTTCTCTCTTTCCGAGGGAAAATAATTCTATAATTCTATGCACTTCAAATCAAATCAAATTTGTTATCTCCAGATAGATATATATGTTTGAATCTCCAGTTTTTTTTTTATTTTGTGTTGTTTTTGAGAAATTACCTCGGTTGTGATTGATTCTCTGGAAAATGAACGAACCGCCGAAGTATGCTTATCCCTACCCTCCGCAAGGTAAGTTTGATCTGTTTTCTTATTCGATTTTTCCTTAATGTGATTATATGTTTCTCTAATTGGTGAGATCTATCTACTGGAACTCTGTGTTTTGGAATTTTGTATGTGTTCTAAGTTTTTCCTATCAAAGGATTGGGTAATTCTTCCTGGTTTTCAGTCTTCTGATTGTGATTTAATCTGTTAGTTTGATATGACTTCTCTATTTGGCAAGGAAAGGAAAAGGTTGAGGTGAATCTGTACATATTACAGAGATGAAAAGGAATTGTATAGAACACTTTTGTTCTATACCGATTTGATTTTCATTTACTGTTTGAAGTAATTAACCAATCCTCTTCCAACCAGAGTCTTCTATCAAAATCCTTCATATAAAATCACTAGTTCACAGAGTCACTCATCTCATCCAGATTAGGGAAATCCATCCGCATGACCTGCATAACCTCATAGTTATGGCACAGGTTACTATTACCAAGGAGCTCCTCCTCCTGTAATGGCACCGCCACAGTACACGGCTCCCCCTCCGCAAAGGCAAATCGGATGCCTTGAAGGATGGTACATACATAAACACACAGCTAATTAATTCCTAGTTATCGATCTCTACAGATCGCCCTAATTTAGTTCATAGCTAGAATCCTATTTTCTTCTTCTTCTTCTTCTTCTTGAGCTACCTGATCTCCTCCTCCTCTATGATCTTTCTAATTAACATACCTTCTTCAATGATTTATGCGTGTAGCCTTGCAGCCATGTGTTGCTGTTGTTTGATCGATGAATGCTGCGACCTCTTGTATTTTTTCTAGCACTTGCTCTGGATTTGCTTCGCTTCTTCCCCAGGAGTTCATAAATTCATGGCTTTGTTGTATATATTTTTTTAGTGCTACTATTATGTGTGTATATATATATATATATATATACTTGCAATTTTGTAATAGCATAATAGGAAAAAAATATTTACACAATAATTTTAGAAATTCTAGCACTATTTAATATTTCAAAAATACAGTAGTATCATATTTATTTATATATATATATATAAAACACTAAATATTAAATTTTAATATTTTTAAAGTCTTTAGTGTATGTTAATATTGATGTGTTGTTTACGTGCGTAAAATTAACTTTTAATATAATATAAAAAATAAAAAATATATATTTAATTTGATATTTTATTTTTTTTTAAAAATTAATAAATAATTGTCTGATAAATACTTCTACAAGATATATGAGTAAAATACACTAATGGGGAATTTGATATACTTCATTAGAATATTTTGTCCATTTTTTTGACATAAGAAGAGGTATAATTAATAAATAATTAAAAATTTATTAGTGAATATAATTATTGTATAATAAAAATAATTATAGATTAAGTTTAAGATAATTGATTAGTATAATTAAAATTTAAAAATTATAAATTAAATTTTTTAAAATAAAATTAAAATGTATAATTCTTTAAAAAAAAATGATAAAATAAATGAGACGGACAAAAATGGAAAAATGGACATGAAAAGTGAGAAGAAGAGAATATATATTTATATATGAAATAAAATGTTGTTAGCATTGACTTTTGAAAATGTATTTTTGTTTAATGGAGTAGTTTTTAATTATTAAGGAGGACAAATTCCAATTCTACTACTTGAAAATATCTTCTATGTTGAAAATATCTGATCGTTTTTACGAAGATTTTTTTATGATAACATGATGTTTCCATTCTCCTGTGGCTTCCTTTTAGTTTTGTTTAAAACTTTTTGTCTAATTATCATTGTATTTCAATAAAATATATACAATATAGATAATATTTTATAATTAATAAAATTATATATAATATAAATAAATAAATATTTTTTTCGTCCATCAAATTTATTTTCACATTTTTTTTTAATCTGTACGTTAAATTTATCTTATTACTAATTTTGATAAAATCAATAAAATATTTAGTTATTATCCTCTATTCAACATTTATTTACAAAAAATATCATTAGCTTTATTACATTTTATCTCTTTGTTTACTTTAATTTCTAACTAAATTTTCAAAAACACTCTCAACTATCTATCACTTTTTTAATAAAATATTCATTTTTCTTAATCTCCATGTCGGACCAAATTGTGCTAATTTTAGTGGACAAAGAGAGTATTTATTTATTTATAATTACCTTCAAACTAATTTTTTAAAAAAATGAGAATTTTAAATATAAATAAAAGGTTGAAAATTTAATTTAATTTATGTATATTTGTTAATTGTGTTTAATTTAAATATAAATAAAAGGTTGAAAATTTAATTTAATTTAATAAATATTTCAATACTAATATAAACAAAATGAATATAACGGGTGACAATTCATATTTTCGGATCGTGATTGTATCGACTTGAGCTGTGGATATAAAAAAATTCACTTATCCATAACTTGATCGGAACCAAATTTTCAATCTGAAATTCGAAATTCAAATAAGGCATGAATTTTATTGAATCAAATTCATATCAATATAATTTTATTTCAGGTTACCCGATAATCAACCCAAAGTACCTCACACAAGACAAATTCGAAAATCTAAAAACTAACACAAATTATTTATAATTTTAATTTTTTTTATACTATTTTATTTGTAACATATTATAAAAATAATAATTTAGATATAAAATAAAATCAGATAGAGTTTGAGTTTCTTGTCATGCGGTGCCCTAGTTTTTATATTTAGAATGATCAGGTCAATTAAAAACTCGGACCTATCTAATTAAAATTTTGAATACTTGAACTCCAACCTAAATATTTTTGGATGGAATAAGTTTGATTTTTAATAAAATATATTATTTCTGTTACATAAAAATATTTTTACATTATTTTATAAAAAGAATTTATATAATACATAAAAATAGAAATATAAATATTTAGCAAGAGAAACTTTGTAATTAATGTTAAAAAAAAATAGGAAATACTAAACAAGGATAAATATATTTATCTATCAATGAAAAAAGTTGGAATAAAAATTTTAAGCAAGATGGTATGCTAAAATGAAATAACTCTCTATTTATATGACATTTTTGTTAAAAAGAATTCTTATTCTAATTGTGCGCTAAATATAAATAAACTTTTTTTATGACAATAAAAATATTTTATAGATTTAAATAATAAAAAGAATATTATATGCATTTTTAAAAAAGAAAAAAATCTAATTAAACAGAGCTTAATATTTTAACTTTCGGATTTGATTTTAAATAGTAACAAATCCATTTTTCCCAAATGTGGAGACTACTTCTGATGACTATTTCAAATTTTCACCCACCCAACCACCAACCATACACATACATACATACATACCTCATCAATATTCACGGCGAAGGAACATGCTAGAATTGCAGAACCCTAAATGCACACCAAATTCACCTCAAATGCAACCCAAATTCAATTCAAAACACCGCATCTCCTGCAGCAGCTACGGCGGAGGCGACACATCCTGAGGCTGATCTGCGGATTCCGACCACCATAACTGGATGCTGAAGGATCTAATCTCCGTAAAAGCAGCTACGTTTCGTCTTAGACGACAAAAAGGTCGTGTGAAGGGAGATGGATATAGCTGCAAATTAGTAAGTAATTAAAGGACTCCTCCTCCTCTTCCTACCTGTTGGAAATTTCTGAGCCGCGTAGGCGTAGCGTTGGGAAAGGCTTCGTTCATACGTGACCGTCACCTATATATATATATATATCAGATCGGATCGCCTATTCGCCTCTCCGTGTTGCTTTCCGCCATTAATGATTTTGATGTCGATGGGTCCGGCGATCTGCAATCGTTTTATGGTTTTTCAATTATGCCCTCAGGCGGTTTTCACATTAATGAGGAGTACAGACTAAGCCTTGGAGGGGTAATTAGGTAATTCTACTTTACATTGACGAGATCCTCCTGACGGGTCACGTGCCAAAGCGGCTTTCCTTCACATTCACGTCTTTAATGCCACGTCACTATGGGACCCACCTAAACCATCAGACGCAGTTCCCACTACATCTGGTGGTTGTGAATATGCCACGTGTTTAAAGGACTTAATCTGGACCGTCGATGACAGATGCTTCGGTCAACCCCCCGGCCAGCAGACAAATCCATGTGTGCCGTTGGATCGTCGGTCCATTATCGATCGACGGACCATACACTGCCCGAAATATTGACGGGCAGCTTAATGCGCCTTTAAGAGGCAGTCCATGGCCTCCTCGTTTCCTCGCTCAAAAACGAAACCCCAATTCGTTTATCGTCAGTATTAGGGTTTCGAGAATCTCTCTTTCGATCTTGTAGTCGGTTCGATTTAGATATGCTAGGGTAATCGTTTTTTGTGATTTTCGGAAGTTGCGCGGATGGCGATTCGATAGTGGTTTTTGTGGCGGGAGGTGCTTGCGGCCGTCCAGTTCGTGTTTGTCGGAGAAATTGTGGCCGGAGATTCGCCGGAGCTGAGTTGCACCGTCGGTGCTGTATATGGCGTCTGCGGTGCTAGCGAGCCAGAATGAGACTAGCTGGGGACACATGGCGAAAATTCCGTATTCGAATCCTCATTTGAATGGAAACCCTAACCCCAAGAAGAGGCAAAAGCAGTTCCACCACGCCGCCGGGAACGGCGCTCTCGGCCGTTACCATGGAAACGACGCTGATTCCCAAGTCGTGACGCAGAGCGCCTCCGACGACGGCTATTCCTTCAACCAGACCTCCGGCAGCCGCAGAGACGCTAGTTACGGCGCGTATATGACCTTCAGCGTCTCGTCGTACACGAAGGCCGAGCTCCACGATCTCCGCAAGCGATTGTCGTCGGAGCTCGGTATGATTCGTGATTTACGAGATCGAATTGATTCCGGTCAATTCAGCAGAGTCGAAAACCCTAGATCTCAACCCAAGCCGAAAAAAATCCCTGGGAAGAAAAAGCCTGTTGCATCGCTGGAACCTGTTCCGAAGAAATTGTGGAATTTAAACGGCAACGGAAGTTTGTGCGCTCCGGCCAATTGCGAGGATCTGCTAAAGGAATGCAGCAAGATTGTGGCTAAATTGATAAAGCACAAGTACGGTTACGTTTTCAAGACGCCTGTGGACGCCGTGGGTTTGGGGCTTCACGATTATCATTTAATCGTCAAACGCCCTATGGATCTAGGTACTGTGAAATCAAATCTTTCCAAGAATTTGTATGCGTCGCCTGTTGATTTTGCAGCTGATGTGCGACTAACTTTCAACAATGCTATGCTGTACAACCCTAAGAACGATCCGTATAATGTAATGGCCGAGCAGATGTTGGCCAGGTTTGAGGATTTGTTTAAGCCAATACAGGAGAAGATTAACAACACCTTCGTCGATCCAAGTGACAGGAGATTCCATGAGTTTAGGGTTAGTGATGAACCGCAATTCTGTGGAAATGTGGAATTGCAGGGGAGCTCTTTGAGCAACAGAAGTAATCAGATTCCAACATTTGCAGCAAAAAGGAAGAAACCAAAATCGAAACCGCCTCCAGTTCCTGTCGAGCAAGCGCCAGTGCAAGCTCATTCCAGTGCTTCGACGCCGTCAGATCCTCCTATCCCTCAAGCAATCGAACGGCCATCCGAGCTTATGGAAATGCACCATTCTCCGGCCATGGCGGCCCCTACCTTTGCTGGGAAAGACCAGAAAATCGGGAGAGGGTTGAAGCTTCCGAAGCCTAGAGCTAAGGATCCTAACAAGAGAGAGATGACTATGGAGGAGAAGCAGAAACTTGGACTTGGATTGCAGGGTTTGCCTCAGGAGAAAATGCCTCAATTGATACATATTGTGAGAAAGAGGAATACACATTTGGCTCAGGATGGCGATGAAATTGAGCTCGACATCGAGGCCCTCGACACAGAGACTGTCTGGGAGCTTGATAGGTTTGTGACCAATTGGAAGAAAATGGAGAGCAAGATTAGGCGGCAAGCTTTGATGATGAACAACAATCCTGCAGCCGATGATCATGCCCCAGATATGGTATTTCTTAGTAAATTAACTTTCGAATTTTATTTAATCAATCTTTTATCAGTTATAGATCGAAGAATTATTACTCAAAGGTTTCCATTGTTGTATGCATGTGTTAGGGGGCGATGAGTGATAAGAACGAGGAGGATGAATTGGGGAAGAAATTCAGGGAGAATGAGGATGAAGATGTGGAGATTGATGATGACATGCCGGAGGCGACGTTTCCTCTTGTGGAGATCGAGAAAGATGAAGGGCCCGGTGGTTGTGGTGGACAAGAGGCCGGTCAGAATGACGAGGGCCGTGGCATCGGCACTGGCAATGGCAATGGCAATGGCAGCAGTAGTTCGAGCAGCTCTGGGAGCTCAAGCAGTGATTCGTCGTCATCAAGTGGTATTGATGCTTACTATTCTGATTCATCTTGCATTTCAAGTATGTGTTGAGGAATCAAAAGTATCGAAAATGGGGGTGTGTGGGGTTGTTTTTACAGATTCTGATTCAGGGAGTTCGTCGGGGAGTGATTCGGATGCGGATGATGCACAGTCTTGAATTTTAGCCAACTACTACTACTACTACTACTACTCTCTCTACTAGGATTTGAGAAATTAATGTGGTTAAATCAAACAACAACAACCAACAACCTGGTGAAGGAAGGGGTTGGGAAGTGCATTAAGTGGTTATCTTGATGAGGTATATTAGTAATGATATATATATATATATATATAGATGAAGGATTTGTTTGGTGGGTGTTATGAATTTGTTCATATTTTGTTGAACTAGAGGAAGTTTTTGTTCCTTTTGCAGGGTGGTGGTGGTAAATTCAAAATGTTGATGATGATGGCAGACTGAGTTAAAGAGTTGTTGATTCTCGAAATTTTATTTGTTTGGATGGAAATCAAATCAATCATCGTGTTTGGGGAAGAAGGGTGAAATCAGTCACATTCTTCCTCCTCTGCCTCTGTAGATAAATTTGTGTGGTAAAAAGAATACTACTACTACATACTATCTTCTACTATTCCTATTGCTCTAATGCTACATTGTAAGTACAGCTTGTTAATGAAACAGTAAGGCTTTTATAGTTTTGTGTATTTAATTTATTTATTTTCTGGATTGTATTTATGATCAACAAGGATATGATGATTGTGGGAGTGGTAGTCTGTATGATAATAATAATAATAATAATAATGATAATTACAAGTAGGCAAGATGGGAAAGACAGACAGGGCACATGAGAGGGGTTTTCTCTTTTGGTTAGAGAGAGATGTTTAATGAACAGAAAACCTATGCACATATGGAATCTTGCCATGTGCATTTTGGTGTGTCATTAGTTGGTTGTTCTAAGTTTAAAAACAGCATGGAAAGAAGTTCCAGTTCATGAGTGCTGGAGATATGTGGTCTGTTTCCTTTCCTATTCTCTCACTCTCTCTCTCTCACTACCTAAACACAACATATACATATAGAGAGAGAGACTAGGCAAAAAAATATATGCATCTAAAGTGTCAACAACGTTCCAAATCTAACAGCGGCATACTATTAAAGAAAAGCATCAACTTATAAGAAGAAAAAGAAATAAGATGTGCATGTAGATAGATTGCAAGTAGTGTGTATGGTCACAAATAACAACTTTATAATATAACCAACCTTAGCTCTTACAAAACATCATATAGTTCTCACCTGAATCTCCTCATTCTTCTTCTTCTTCTTCTCGCTTTTTAGTCAGCGCGAGAAAAACCTCTCCGAGTTGGGACTTACAAGCCGCATAATCGTCTGGTTCCAAAGACTTAAGAAAACTAGCGGTCATGTTAAACGTCACAATAATGTTTAGTACCTTACCGCAAAATTTGCGCACATCGGCTCTTCTAGACTGCTTTTCGGGCATATTTGTCACCAAGTACTTGATCAAATGGCTTAGTTTTGGGATGTGGCTTTTCAACATTTCCGATGAGGGCTTCTTTGCACTTTCATCTCCATTGGAAGCATGCAAAGTTTTTAATATCTCTGTAACCAATTCTAGGGCTTCGACTTGGCGAAACTGAGACTTAGCACTGCAGCATTTCTCGAGAAGGAACCCAAAGAGGTGTTGGCCAATCCACGGTTGTCTCTTGAAGATCTCTTTCAGGAACTCACATTTCATTTGAGATTTTTTGCTGTCAAAGTAAGCAACTAAAGCATTCTGGAATATATCGTGTACCCGCTGCAGCTCAGACTCGGGGAAGTTTCTAGCATGTATGATTTTCAGAATCCAAAATATCGAACTCCGGGCAAGTGAATTTACTATTTTGTAACGAGTCCATGAGGCGGATTGTTTCTTTTTCGATGGATTGGAAGCACCTTTTTTCCTCTTGAAAGGTTTTGCTGCCAATTTCAAGTACTTCTCGAGGAGAGGCTCGAGCATTGCAAACTCAACAGAATCGCCCCTCGGATATTCCTTCGCTTTAAATATTTTCTTCTGTATAATGCCCCAAATGCGCTGTCCGAGCTGTTCGCTTCCTTCTGTTGTTTGAGGATTAGTATATGCTTGAGCAAGGTTGGAGAATACTTTTAGCACCTGTGGTTTGCCTGCAAACATGATAACAAAATCAAGCCCTACGTAAATGTTCGATTCATTTTCAGCAAAACTTGAGAAACAATATGTAGTAATAATGAGTATTCTTTTTACAAACTCGAGCAAAGACATGAGGATCATAGCTTGCCTGGGTTTTCATGAAGGTAAATCTCCAGCAAAGAGAGTACGCGGAGCTTAAAAAGTACGAGCTGAGAATGCGCAGTTTCGCCTCCGGCTTGGTTCTTCTTTTCCCTAAATATTTGGGCAAGATAAGTATCCATTCGGAACATTGCGTCATCATCCATTCCTTCATCAGAATCCTCATTGTCGTCGTCATCTGAGGCCTCGGGAAGTTCAGCTGAGACAACACTAACTTTAGCACCTGCCTCTGAATCATCTGTCTGCTCTTCGCTGTCGGCAGTTTCACCAGTCTCTGCTTCATCAGATTCTTCTGCTTCTTCAACACCAAGAAGATCATCTTCTGCATCATCATCATCGTCTTCTTTGTCATCTGTTTTCTGATGCCGAGCCGGTTTTAAATCCTTTTTGATGACCCTCAGCATACGAAGTAAGCCATCATCCGTAATATCGACACAGAAGTATTTGAAAACCTGTAAAAAGATTCTGTAAGTTATTAGACTGGAAAACAACAAAAGCAAAATGTTATGGCACCATGACTACCATATACATGATCAAGCAAGGAATGCTGTAAACAGGAATCACTGAAATTTAGATTAATCTGCCGAGTGCCAACCTTGATTGATAAATGTAAAGCTCATTACAGAGAAAAGATTGGAGTTCGTGCAAATTAAAATTCAAACACAAAATAAGTGAATCATTTTGCTCTTACTTCTACCATTTGAAAGTACTATGTGTTCGCACAAAGCCCATTTTGGTAAAGTCATCAATTTTGCTCATAGTTCCACCATTTGAAAGTACTAGTGTGGTCGCACAAAGCCCATTTTGATAGAACTCATTCAATAAACCTTTTGCCTACTCAAAGACCGAAAGAATGAAGGTATAAAGATATACATCGCTTTATACTTAAAACCCAACATACCTGCTCAATGGCAGATCGCATGGGAGCTGATGACTGTGGCAATAGAGAAAGCAATGTATCGACAAGTACATCCATCAACTCAGGTGCATCCTCCCCGTCAGATTCATCCTCTTCAGAAGATGCTAGAAGATCAGAAGAACCAAATGCTTTTTTACAACACATGACAAGTTCAGAAGCAGCTTCGAAGCATTCCCCAGGTCGAAGTAGGATTTGGAGCAGTAGTTGGATTAATAGATATCTCATAGCGTGCAATTTGCTTGCATTTGGAGCAAGGCCACAGTTGCGTTCCTATAGTATAAAAGAAATATGTAATATGATCGATGGTGCCTCTGGCATACTAAACATCATGTCGAAAAATAAAATAAACTATATTTCAGACTGTTGTCTAAAACAGTCGGGCTTCACAATGTTGAACAAAATAGCAAATTTAACCAGCTGAATATGACCCAAGAATTAAAAGAGGAAATAGGGGAGGCAAAAAAAATAGAGTAGGATAAATAACAGTAAAATATATATATATATATATCTACAAAATCTACAGTTGTAAATATCACATAATACAAATTGTAGAGGCGGAGTACCTCTTTTGATAGTTGACTTTCCATGGCCTGAAGTTTCTTGAAGGCTTTCTCATCATCAACATTCAAGGCCCTTGATAAAGACACGGAAGGAATATTGTTCAATATGCCAACAAACCGCATAAAGTATGATCCAAGATCATTCGTCTCAGCAATGGTCGGGCCATTGGCACCCTCTCCCTTTTGAGCATTTGCAAGCAAAAGCTGTAACTGTTCAATACACATCTGGCACAACGCATTAGGTATAGCTGACTTCGGCCACCTAAACTTCTCATGCAATTCAAAAGATGTCACCTCAGTCCCAAGTGATGATGAAAATAAACCTTGAACAGCCAGAAACTTCAAGATTTCTTTCTGGACACGGAACCTTGCATCTTGGTCAAGCTTGACATGCTTTGAAACACTAGGAAGGCATTCAATAATCCAGGTCTTAAGGAATTCAGAAGTTCCAAGTGAACCGGCTGTCTCCTTACTTTCAGTGAAACCTATCTCAGAATTATCATCAGTTGTCTGACTTTGATCTGAAGGTTCCTCTGAAGAGCTACCTTCATCCAGAAACATGTTCATCAGATTTTGAATGAATAGGAGACAGCCAGACTCAGTTTTGAAATCTATGATCAGATCTTTCACCGTTTTCAATCTGGTGATGGAATCAAATTTCCCATTACTGTGCTTTTGCAGAGTTACAATAACTTCAACTCTCCTAGCATCATCATGGACTACCCATTCTGTCAACTCTTTGAGGAAATGTTGGGCGACTTTATAGAGCCAAGAATCTTTTGTTGAAAGTACATCCATCAGGCATTGGACAATCTTGCCCGATAATACAATATGCAGACAAGAAGCAGGAAGTTTTGGAAGAAGAAGCAACAGCACATCAAATGCTAGCCTTTTGCGATCATGAGATGATGGTAGAAGTGATCCTTCAATAATTACTTCACAGAAAGACTTAAGATTTTTCTCAAGATCATCTTCAGCTGAACCGAGCTTGCGACTTTTTTTATGCTTCTTGACGGATAATAGACCTGATACCGAATCTGCATCTGGTAAAACATCAGGTAAGAGATAACTAGCCAATACAGGCCATACTGAGTGCACTCTTGGTTGACAGAAGGTAGACTCCTGCAGTATGTCATAATGCACATATTAAATACATGGTTGAACACGCCTTAACAAAAGTCAAATTGGGTAACAAAACAGAGATGAACAGCACCTTTAAGCAATTCGCAATATTGTTCAAATGGTCGGCAGAGAAAAAATCTCTTTTGCTATAGGGGGAAGGAAGTAGTTTCCCACATTTAAAATCGACATTAACCTTCTCTCTAATTTTCAAAGCAAGAAGTAAGGCATCAGGATTTCCAGTTTTAGTTGCTCCATCAAACCACTCCTCCAGCTCTGGTAACTTAAGCACATGATTCAACACTGCTTCAACTGGCAACTGAAACATCAATGCAGATTTAGTATTCAGCTGAAAGGCAATAAGTTCAGATAATACATATAATGGACCAAAATAGGAGTATAAGATAACAGGGAAGAACAGAAAGGCATAAAAACACACACAAACTGTCAGACAAAAGATAAAATGCTAAAAGAGCTCTAAAGACATCATATGATCATTCATCAAGTAAATGGACATTAAATGCCAGCAAGGAATCAAAAGGCAGTAGTAGATTTAGCACTGTAAGGATATTACCTGGTCGACAAGTTCCAATATAACTGATACTGCAGGCTCCCGTAAGTATTGTTTCTTAACAGCAAGGGCAAGAAGGCAATTAGTGAATTCTTTGATGTGTGGGCTATTATTATCCAAGATCCATGCTTGGGTAAGCTTTCCAGATCTTGCAAGAGCCCCATACGAAAATAAGCGACCTAATAAACAGTCTCTAGCCTCCTGTAAAAGCATGTTAAAAATTAGGCAAAACATCAACAATTTTGAGTTGCAAAATTGAGGAATGTTGCCTACCTGACCCTTTGTGCTAGATGAGAGATCCAACAAGGTAGGAATTAGCTTTAACAATGACTCCAATTTAATACTAGAAACTGAACCAACTAATATTGAGAGACCTAATGCAAATCCTTGCCTTGCACACTGCAAAATAAACATAAAAAATTAAAATTACAAGAAAATTTGGCAAGAAAAACCTTTAAATAATTGGCATCAGAACATATGCAGATAATCTTTTATGAAAGGCAGACCAACACATACAAGAAAAGAATGGATGGCAATAATGATGCCAACAATACTGCACAAAATAAAGAAAATTTAAAATTGATCACACTACAAAACAGATATTTTCTAGCACTAATGACTCTTCAGGCATGTCACAGTTTTGAGTACTTAGTCCTACCTTACCACAAACTCTTCATACAAGATAATGGAATGGAATCCATTCAGCTAATTCTAAAATTGGAAAGAAGTGTCAGAAAGTTCATAATTATATACTATGGTGAGTTAGCAACCACTGTAAACCAATCAATGGGAGCATGCATTCACATGATTTGCCAAGAATGACACATTAGGAATTTGTAACAGTAAATATGCAGACATTTTACACAATAGGACATAAGATAGCCAACTAATAAGCCTAACTCGAGATTCTTTCATTCACAAATTACCTACCTAATGGTATAAGCAAGTAGAAGTGTAAAAGTAAAATCCCACCTCTCTTGATGAGGATACACCACGAATAAGCCTCCTTAAAGCATATCTCAAAGATGGTGCCAAGTTATTTAACCCATCATCCTTCTCTGCTTCTAGCTTCGACTTATCCTCGACATCATCCTTATTCTCTAACTTATCGTATGCACTTTGAACTTCTTTTAGCTCAGTCACCAACGAATTAGCAGCTGCTTTCCTGATACTTGCATCAGCAACCGCCAGATCCTTAAATACCCCAATGTGAAACTCAGGCAATAGCGGATTGCCACCACCACTTGTTCTAGCTACCTCATCTCCGCCACTTTTAAATTCAACTTCCAGTTTGCTGGGCACGGACGGGTTTCTTAAGGCCTTTGCTTGTTGCCGTGCTTTATTCAACATCCTCCTTCTTTTAGTATTCTCCATGTGATGCATCTCAGACGATTTCCCATCATCCTCATCGTCAGATGATTCAACAATATTTACTCTTTTCTCCTTCTTCATCTTCTTGCTGGATGGTCCTGCACCAGCATTATCAGTATCTGAGTTCTGCACTTCATTCCGCACAACTCCAGACTGTCCAACAGAACTGGATTCCCTCTTTTTGTTACTCATTACGTCAATACAGATTACAGATTACAAAAATTATCTGCAAACACACCAATGAACAACGTTATCTCGCACAATACTTCCAACGACAAAATTAGGAGAAACCACAATAAAAAATAAAAAAAGAACACGCACACAACAGGACTGGTAGCATCTAGCCGCACCATCTCAAATAATCGATTGACGAACATCCCTCACAGTATACACCACTACTTATATATTAGTGCAGGATAATTAAAAATCACAACTAACTTGCTCGTTTTCCAAAATAAGTAGCAGAAACAGAAAGCTGAAAAGACGCTAACCTATCACCGACGTCGAAGAAGCGCGGCAGTATTGACGGCGAGGCAGAAGCTTTGTTCAGAGATGGCAGGAACAAGAAGAGCTCCCAGTAAATGGAGGCAGACGAATGGCTGGCTCACCTTTGCATATAAACCTACACAGTGATCCACCCTAATTGGGCCTAACCAAAAAGGCCCAACATGGCAATATGTGTCATCTTATTGGGCATCCTAAATGGGCCTCTAAAATAATCTTGTGGACTATTGAGTTCACAACCTATCTAGTTCGGTGTAATATAAATTATAATAAAATTGAAATTCACATATCGAAATACATAGTCCATATGCAAATGACATCCAATTTATAATATTTATTGAATGAATAAAAGCAGTGAGAGCTAAATCTGGAAACAAACCTAAAAAGCCTGTTTTGGTTAAAAACACAGTATCGCCAAAAATTGCCTTACAGCTAAACGAGCTCCTCAAAAACAAAGGGTCACAAAAATTCAATCATTTGTTTACTTCTTTACTTCCTCATACTCTGCCTCCGGCGCTTGGCCTTGGTCGCCGCCGGAGCTTCCGCTGCTGCCGCTCTGAGAACTGCCGCCGGACATGTGCTCGCCGATTTTCGACACGGCCTTGTTCGCCGCATCGATCTTCGCCTTGATATCGTCGATGTTCTCGGACGCCATTGCGCTGCGGAGGTCAGAAATGGCCGTCTCGATCTCCTTCACGACTTCGCCGGGGACCTTGTCTTTGTACTCGCTTACGCTCTTCTCGATGCTGTAGATGGTGGTGTCGGCGGTGTTCCTTACGTCGATCAACGTCTTCCGCTCTTGATCCTTCTGGGCGTGCATTTCGGCTTCCTTGACCATCTTCTCGATCTCGTCCTCGGACAGGCCGCCCGACGATCGGATGGTGATCTGCTGCTCTTTGCCGGTTGTCTTGTCTTTGGCGGAAACGGTGACGAGTCCGTTTGCGTCGATATCGAATGTGACTTCTATCTGGGGGGAGCCTCTAGGAGCTGGAGGGATGCCCATGAGCTCGAATTCGCCGAGGAGTTTGTTGTCGGAAGCCATTTCGCGCTCTCCTTGCAGCACTTTGATCCCGACCTGTGTTTGATTGTCTGCTGCAGTCGAAAACGTCTGGAAAACAGAACAAGAAGAAAACAACGATGGACCGATCAGTAAACGGCAATCAGAATCGAGGAAATGCACAGCAAACGCTCACCTGACTTTTCTTTGTAGGAATTGTGGTGTTTCGGTTGATCAGTCGGGTAAAGATGCCGCCGAGGGTTTCGATACCGAGCGAGAGCGGAGTGACGTCAAGGAGAAGAAGTTCCTTGACATCTCCGCGGAGGATGCCACCTTGAATGGCAGCTCCCATGGCTACTGCCTCATCGGGATTCACTCCTTTGCTCGGGGACTTGCCGAAGATGTTGGAGACAACTTCCTGAACCTTTGGGACGCGGGTCATCCCTCCGACAAGGAGAACCTCGTCTACGTCCTTGGTTGAGATTCCGGCATCTTTCAAACAGTTCTTGCAAGGTGCCTTAGTCCTTTCGATTAAGTTGCTCACCAGGGCCTCGAATTTGGATCTAGTCAAGGTTATGTTCAGATGTTTGGCGCCAGATGCATCGGCAGTGATGAAGGGTAAGTTGATTTCGGTTTGGGATGTTGATGAAAGCTCGATTTTGGCTTTCTCGGCTGCCTCCCTTAGTCGCTGAAGAGCGAGCCTGTCCTTAGACAGATCAATGCTCTCTGTTCTCTTGAACTCGCTCACTAAAAACTCTAGCAAAGCATTGTCGAAATCCTCGCCTCCCAAGAATGTGTCGCCATTTGTGGCTTTCACCTGCAAATTAAGCATTTGATCACACAGAATCTTGACGGGAAATTATGGGTATGGTAAAAGTGATTTTACCTCAAACACACCATTCGATATCTCCAAAATAGAGACATCAAAAGTTCCACCTCCGAGATCAAAAACAGCAACAAGACCCTCTTTGTTGTTCAAGCCGTAGGAAAGAGCAGCTGCAGTGGGTTCGTTGATAATTCTTTGAACATCAAGACCTGCTATTCTGCCAGCATCTTTGGTGGCCTGTCTCTGGGCATCGTTGAAATAAGCCGGGACGGTGATCACAGCCTTGTTCACTGACTTCCCGAGGTATGCCTCAGCAGTTTCCTTCATCTTCGTCAAGACAAATGCACCAACTTGACTTGGGGAATACTGCTGCCCATTTGCTTCAACCCAAGCATCTCCATTAGGCGCCTTGACAATTTTGTATGGAACCATCTTCATTTCCTTCTGCGTCTGAGGATCATCAAACCGCCTACCAATCAGACGTTTGGTCCCAAACAGCGTGTTAGTTGGATTTGTTACAGCTTGCCGCTTTGCAGGAGTGCCAATTAACAGCTCCCCTTTCTGACTGAATGCAACAACTGATGGTGTTGTCCGTGCACCCTCAGAGTTCTCGATTACTTTTGGATTCTGAGAGGAAATGAATCTTTTTTTCAGCATAATGAAAAGTAGATATGAGCAATGAAAGGAAAATTTTAGGCTGCAAGAGTAACACCTTTCCCTCCATGACAGAAACGCAAGAGTTTGTAGTGCCCAGATCAATGCCAATTACGTCATTTCCAGCTGGTTTCGTACTGTAAGGCAAAGAATATGAACCTCTATGATTACCTCAGAAAGGCATGTAGCAATAACATTAGGACCCAAACAAGATACATACCTGAAAGGCCTTGCAAGACCTGCCCATTTGTTCCCCAATGTCCATGACGGTTTGGAGTTTCCAGTTAGCTGTAAATGAAACACAAGATCAAGCCATCAATTACCGAACCCCTAATTAAGTCAAGTAAATCACCTCAGAAAATATGAAAAAAGTGAAAAACATGGAGAGAAATGAAGAAATTTTGCACTATAAACTGATCTCCGAAAAAACAATTATAATGAAACAACTCTCAAATTATGCAGACACGTAGTTGCTAATTTGTGTGTTCTAGCACAACAAACACAAACACAAATCGCCTTAGAGAAAAAGCTTCGGTATAGATACAACATGCTTTCCTCTATTCTTTAAGCTTATACTTTCAGATCATTAAATCGACAGCTAGTTCAGATCATAACAACCGTTAAAATAACCACAAAATTTCACAAAGTACAGCAACAAAAACACCAGTAACACATTTACCGGTGTCAAACATGTAACACTCACATGGCCAAACCAGAAATAACACCAGATCGAGAGTAAGGCAACCACGATCGGACAAAATTAAGTATCGAAAACATGAAGCTCGAGGAAACTAAGCATACCGTCTTGAAAGCAGAAATAGGAGCCGTTGACAATTCACGGCGACGAAGAGATCTGAGCAGAACAGCAGTCGCCATTGAAAAGATGGAGGGAGTAAATCAGAGGCTCTGGAATTTGGTTTCTCAGAGTGGCGGTAGGGTTTAGGGTTTATGGAAAGAAAACTAACAAGGAGGAGGCGTATTAAAAACTGCTGGAAATGAAAGCAAACTCGGACCCGGTCAGAAGGTTCTAGAGATGTCTCGCGTCACTAAATCGACACTCTCCACACAATTTTTATTTATTTATTTTATCATTTGTTTTCATTTCAACTATACATTTATTTATTATTCCTTGGAGAGGAAAAGTTTTACAAATTTAAAAGGACAAAAAAAAATAACGGCACAACACACTACATATTTATATTAAAAGAATTTATCAGAAATTTAGGAATAAACACCGAAAAATAATAGTAATAAATTCAATGAGATTATTGTGTCGGATTGAAGCAATAACTGAAAACAATAGATACCTACAAAAAAATGTCGCATGAATAACTACCTATGGTGTTAGACTTTCTTTTTTTAATTTTTTGTGTTAGTAAAAATCCACAAAATATTTTATTTATTATATGAAATATTTGGATTAATTTAAAGACAAAACACTATATTTGTTCAAATATTATGTTTAGATCTAAATAAAATCTAAATTACTTAAATTTTATATAAATAAAAGATATAAATAAATAATTGAGTAATCATTTATTTTTATAATTTTTTTAGAAAATTATATAACAATTTGTTTTTAAAAAATTATAAAACAGAAGATTAGACAATTATTTATTTATTTATTTTATTAAAAAATTATTTAAAATATATTTTTTCACGTATAAAACTTACATATTAATTTCATATTTACAATCAAATATAGCCTTGGACGAAAAAGAATGTTTCATCCAAACTTACATTAGACTTCACCCACAAAACAAAACACATGATATGTAACACGCCGAAGTGCTAAAAATATTTAGTTTTTATTTTTTTAATAACGTGAGAACCGACAGTCACTGCTCAATTTTATCAATTTTATTTTTTTTATAACGTAAAACCTGTCACCGCTACCCAAAGATGTGCTCCGGGTAAACTTTCAACCGAACTTAATGCCATGCAAACTAGGCTCGACAAGGCAAATTATATTGGCGTCTTGAACCCATACCTTCAATACTTATCTTTATAATATAATATGTAACAGTCAATAAAGTATTGAATTATCAGCTGCTAATGACGAGGCCGGACAAGATTCTCACAACAAATGTACAAGATTCCGGGCTTAATCTACTATGTAAGATTTCTTACAACAACAATATTGAGTATCTTTGTTTGGGATCACAGACCTCTGATTTCCAAAATCTGCACCTTTACGAGGACTCTACCTTCTTCACCGGGACATTGCACCACAAAAATCAAATAACAGAGCATAGAAACAGCATTGCTGTGACAATGGCTACAGGGGAGCGCACCTTAGAAGGAAGAGCCACCAAAATAACTTTCATGTTCATCTGGGACACAATCAGCCTAAAGAGCCAAGACCGGTCTCGATGAAATCAAGGCATAGGATGAGTAGGCACAACTTCATTTCTTCGTTCAGCCTCCAAACAGTCGCGACCACCTTGAAATTGGCAAAGCCACGGCACGGGTGAACACTTGTTCATAATGTGGAATCACCTGCCATTAGGCCAAGGAAATTGTTATAATGATTTCCGCAAACAGGTTTCAAAAGCCAAATAATTGTCTGGCCCAATACATATGGTCAAATGATGTGCTAACAGTTTAACATCTCGGAAGTTTTTGGAGAAACAAAATCGAATCTGTTTTTTCAATTAAGGAAAGGTAATATGTTTGCCTTACCATGGTCATGACGCCCGGATATCCAATGGTTATATTCATCCATGCGAATGATAAAGGAGCTGGAACTTGGGGATCCCCCTCCACCGTATGCCTGCAGGTTCATACAACACAGATAATTAAGCCATTCTGCGAGAAAGTTTTGGGACTTAATGTTAAATAACTAATCGAGGGGGATCAATATCCAGTGTTTTTATTAGTTCTATGCACCTTAGCAACCTCAGATGTATCGGTACTGCAATCTGTAGTCCTGAGGCACATTTTTAGATTATTACGCTGCATGTAAGTAACAGCTCCGATAGGCCTGTTTCATCAGTACTTTAATTCAAAATGACAAAAAGGAACTCTAGCCAAAAGGTCAATGATTGATATAAAAAATAAAAGATAAAAATAAAAAGAGAAAAGTTACTTAACCAAAGCACCAGAATTTGGATGATGGAGATTTACCATTTCAGTAAAAAATACCAGATTGATATATAAACCTTTGCAAACCTTGCATAGATTAAACAGTTACCTAAATAGGAGTGATGAAAATTCTTGTTGCTAAAACAAAATAGAATTACAAACAATTGAACAGTTCATTTGGAGAGCAATAAAACACCACACTCGTAAAGGAAGCATCTCTTGTTTACTTCGGCAAAAAAAAATCATATTCTCCGTTGTCAAGATTGAATTGGAACAAGAAAATAGTAATTAGATTTAGAAACTTCAAACTTCTGACAAAGTCAATCCTAAATATGCGATTAGAGAAGACATCAGACAGAAATGGATCAAACAATAAAACTAGTGCAAAGATGGTGCACAACCTTAGTCCAGCCGCTGCACTCATTTGACTAAGTTCCTTGCCGATTTCATCACTTAAATCTGAATGTCCATCAGCTCTAAACCCCTGAATAATAATCAAAGTAAACGCCCTCAAATTGAAGGACAGTTACATATTTATTTCAGGATTACATGATGCCGAGTGATGCCAAGATTAACATCAACCCCAGAATATGGTTCAATAGATTAAAATCTGATTAGATAATCGAACAAGGCTCATGAAAAGTGTGATAATAGGAAAAGGTCGATTTACCAGACACTCCCCATAAATTCCTCTGCCCAACTTGACTCTAAAAACCTTATGCAGTAGTTTTTTTGCAGCAGTTTTTCGACGAGAAAGATAGTCATTTCCCCTTGTGATCAAGTCTGTAGGGCAAATCTCCAGCAGCTGTTCATATGGGCAAGTCACACAAAATTAAATGCAGATACTATCAAGTATCAACTACAGAGTACACAAGTGTAGTAAATGTGAATTAAAATGGTGACTGGAGTACTTCTTGGGCATGTGCAATTTATACATATGTGTGTTTTAATTCTTCTTAAAATCATTTGGCAAAAAAAAAACACATTACATTAGGTTTTAACTAAAACTAAAAATTGCACCTGGTCATACATGAACGAATTAGTGAGGCAGTTCACCTTCGAGTGCCACTCTCTTACTCCAATATTAAACGCTTTGGCATCAGGTAAACTCCACGATCGAAGATCTCTATCATCAATGTATTTGAGAATTGTCTCCACCCGCTCTCGGTCTTTGTGGTCGAGGAGGCTCATGCTATTATCCTAAGAAATATTTGCCATCAAAATTTTTAGCATCAATGTAAGCACCATAGATTCAGACCTTGACTGAATCACAACTCTCAAAGATTAAACACTTATCATAAAATCTGAACCCGTGGCATCAATCTCATTCAACAATACAATGTACATAAAAACCCTGATAAAGCTAAAGTGCTAGGTTGAGCAATCTCACTTACATTTTCAAATCTGTTCTCTGAAAGTTTTGCAGAGAAGTATTCATACGCAGCCATGCAGCTACTCTTCTCAGTGTTCGCATTCAACGTAATGTTAGCATCACAATCTCCCCTTGTGGAAATTCGAGAAAGTGTAGATTTTCGGTGATCAAATCCAATGATCCTAGGTGCAACCATTGATAGCTTATTAACTGCTAACTAAAGTGAAAGAGGGATAAAAGTTTGACACTTATTTGATATTTGATAACATGCAGAAAAAGTTCACTTACTTGGATGATGTCCTTCTAGTAAGCTCTGAAGCCAAACTTCCCAAACCTAAGAAATCTAGAAAGTAACAAGTCTCCAGACCTTCGATGCATAAGTCCTCAACCCTAAGACAGTGTGGAGATGAAGAAAACAAAAAAAAAAATGCTTCACATTGTAACTATCTCTGATGGTTTCAGTGCTTGAAAATATAACTCTTTTTGGAATAGCATGAAACAAATACATATATTTTGAATGACAGTGCTAACAAATTCTACGACTATTTCAGTAGCCATACATCATTCAAGGACGAAGAGAATCGTATAAATCGCCTCCACTATCTGCAATTCTTGTTGAAATCAAAAGCAATTCAAAGCACATATTCAACATAACTTCTTCACCTCAAAAGGTATACAGGAGTACTTTCCCTTCAATGCGCACAATTAAACTAATTAACTTACTAACTGTAGGTACCATAGAGAGTGAAGAGAAGAGACAGAAATCAATGCTTTGTGTAGATACCTGAGGGGTACAACAGCAGAGAACGGCAATATGACGCAAGGTATGTTTAGCTGGGAGTGGTAAAGGTGGGCGAAGAGTGCTGCGTAAGCTCCGGAGAATGAGGGGTACTTGTATAGCACCAGGTTCGGCGTTTTGTTCTCCGACGCCTTGAGTAATGCTTCCAGAGCGGCGTCTGATCGGAAATTTCGGAGAACTACCGGCAAACGGCCAGACAAAGGAGAGGCGGCTCGCCGCAGATTGAACCAGACGGGTAGAGCCATTTCATTCAATCAGCCGCCGGCGCGTCGATTACCCTGCATCCGTTTCTCTGAAAAAGATATAAATTTCTGTATTTTTCTTAATTAATAAATAATTAAAAAATACTCTCAGCGTCCATTAAAATGAATTAATTTGAGTTGGACATAATAATTTTAAAAAATAAATATTTTATTAAAAAATATTAATTACTTAAAAATATTTTTAAAAATTTAGTTAAAAAATAAAATAAACAAAGAAAAATAATGTAGTAAAATTAATTGTATTTATTATAAATAAATATTGAATAAAAATTAATAATTAATATTGATTTTTTTATTTTACCAAAAACTAATATTAAAAATAATTTAAACGCGAATAGATTTGACAGAAGGACAAAATATATTACTAAAATTAATTGTACTATAATAAAAATAATATTAAAATAACTAAATAGATTATTTGAAATAAAATAATAATAATCAAATTTTATAATTATATTTTTTTAAATAATAAATTAATAGTAGAAATAAAGAAAATGAACTTTAGGATAGAGAGGGTATTAGTTTATCAGACTTTCTCGATTTTCCTATTCTAAATCGAAATTATAATGGTTCTTATTGAAATAATAAATTATGAATTTTAGTCTCAAAATAAAAAATAAAAATATATATAATTTTAATTTTATTGTAAATAATTTTAATTTGATTTAAAGTTCAAATTATGTTGAAAGGATGGGGCGAAGACCTTTAGGTTATCATTATCGGTATCATCTCAAATTAGCCATTAACTAACTAAATGCAATATTAACAAATCCAAATTTAATTTGCAATATAATCGAGTATTGGAAACACAAAAAAATAAGATAACACCAAAAATTTATTGTACAATTTTATTTTATAATTCAATTTAATAGTAATATTTATAAAAATATATATATGTTTGATTACTAAATAAATCACCATTTCGAATAAACAACATCATCACACACAAACATATTTGTGTTTATAATCACTGTTGCAGTTTTATTACTTTATATATATATATATATATATGTATGACGTGGGAGGTTTCGAATTTAATACTTTGCAAACAAGGGTCGACAGAAAAGTCACACTAGGCGAACTATGTGTGACAGGTGATCTGAGGCGTTTGTGTTTCAACCCATCATCTAACGGTCACAAATCCAACTCCTACGTCACCATGCCATCCTTCCGGACTACTTTGATTTTATGCATTAATGTATTCATTTGTATCTGCCTCTTAATATTAAATGTATTACTATTTATTATATATTTTCAAAATATTATATTAAAAAATGAAATAATTTTTTTTTTGCAAAAGCACCCCTAATCAAAACAAACAATACCCTTAGAAAAACCTGACAAAGAAAATTGCCGACCGTTGGTCTAAAAAATGTTTGAAATAAACATCAAAAAATTCAAATCCAGCAAACTGTAATCAACTCAGAGTCAGGATCTTCCAAATTGTTGCCCAAATCATAAACCCTAATTAATTGCCGTTGATTTCAATTTTCTCAGTCATTCACTACAAACTGTCAAATGTTGCAACGTTTCGATCCCCTGGATTTTCTCTATTTCTTCGTTTTTTCCAGGTTTCATCCCGTTCATTGCTGCCATTGATTCTCAATCTCATCCTCCATTTCACCGCGCTGCTCAATTCGCAATAAGCAACGTGTGTCTTATTGCATCATTGAGCAGAGTGTTTTGCATTGAAGAAATCATCGGCAATATGGTGATTTTTGTGTGTATTTCATCGGACTAGATGTTTGCTTTCTTAATTGGATTCAGTTAGGAATTTCTGAAGTCGGTGATAGGGGATGGAGACAGTCGACTGTTCGAAGCATTTAAGCGTGGAGTATGAGTTCGGGTGTAGATTCGTCCTGTTCGGTAGTTTCCAGGGGATTTACAAATTGTTAGCAATGCTGTTGTTGTTTGGATTCGGTTTGAAGGTTTTGTACTCTGATTGGTTTGCCGCTGCCTTGATTCGTTGTTTTCGCGATCTGATTGGGAATCTAAAAATGAGGTATCATTCAAAAGAAGCACTGGTTGATCAAACAGAGGAATTGAAGGAAAAATCAAACTCCTACACTGATTCTGATGAAATAGTGAATTCAGATTCAGATTCCGATGAAGATGATTCAGAGTTATTTGATCTCGACAGCGATGGTGATTTCGTTACAAAACCACTCCCTGGATTCGACATCCATTACAATGCTTCTCCTTCTGAAAACAACGATGATCTAAGTGATGAGAAGGAAGTTTCAACTCTGAGGGAGATGTTGAAACTCGAACGGCAGAGAGCAAACGCAGCGCGCGCCGAGCTGGTGAAGGAGAGGGCGGCGGCGGCCACAGCGGCGGAGGAAGCAATGGCGATGATTCTCCGACTACAGCAGGATAAGAGCGCGGCGGAAATGGAGTTAATTCAGTACAAAAGGCTGGCAGAGGAGAAGCAGATTCATGATCAGGAGGTGATCCAATCACTGCAATGGCTGGTGTGGCGGCAAGAACACGAGAACTTCTTGTTGGAAGATGAGCTGAGGCTTTGTAGGCACAGTTCCAACTCCAAGCGTTTCTTGAAGGAATCTGACGAAGATGATGAGAAGAGTTTCAGTGGGAATCTGTGGGAGACATTGGAGAATGTTTACTACAGCTCCCTTGATGCTGAGAAAGTGATGACTCCTTGAAGAAGAAACAGTTCTTTTCGTTGTACAGGTCAGGAATGTTATTCTTTCCTCTGTTTCATTGTTTTGTTGTTTGATTTTTGCCAGAAATTTGGGAATTTGTTTCATATATCTGGTGATCTTACTAATCGAATAAATGGATTGTATTTTTGGGGAGTTTTTATCAATCTTTTTATTTGGCTTTTTTGTGGGTGTTACACACCCTATTCTTACAATTCAATTTTTTTTTTTTCACCAAAATTATGAAATTAAATATATATTTTTTTATTATAGTATAAATTTATTTTATATTTAAAATATCGTATATATTTATTTATATCAAAATAAATAACTATTCAAATTCAATTTTTTTATCATTAAAAAATTCAAACTTACGAACAAACACAATGTTTTCCAAAACAAAAAATAAAAAAATAAAAAATTCTGCATTGATATTGCACTTATATTATGGTTTGTAGATTGCAACTAAAATCAAATTTGTATTTGTTTGGAGTATGACTTTTGATTTAGATTTGAGTACTAATGAATTTGTATAACCTAATATAAATAGGTTTTGATTTGAACATAGAAATAGACATATTTGATTTGATCTTTTTGAAAAAAAAAAAATTGATAAATAGTAAAAATTTGATAAAATTTATCAAAAAAATACACTCAGATTTTGAATATTTTGAAGAGAAATATATAATTTTTTATATAAATAGTAAATATTATTTAAATCAAAATTTTAATATATTAATTCAAAATTAAACCTAAACTAAACAAACAAAAGGGTTTGATTTTATTCTTTATAGAACAATTATTGGTAAATATTGTTGAAATACAATATACAACGGACAAAAAGAAAAAGAAGTTATATGTGGCAGGTCGGACTAAAAAAAAAGTTATAAGTGGAATAAAATTCAATAGTGATTTGGGTGTGTTTATTTTGAGAAATAACTAGTTTGAGTTTAGTATAAAAATAATATTGGATGAAATATTTTATAAAAAGAAAACGAATAGTTTAAATAATAAAATTTGCGAAAACTAAACGATCATACCCAAAGTTAAAATAAATGATTAGCCTCAGATCACATGCCACATATAGTTCATCTAGCTTGACTTTTTCGTCGGATCTGATTTGCAGAATATTAAGTTTGATCAAAAGTTAATCAAGTGTGTATTTCGAGTAGCGGCTCGATTCCTACGTCATTAAAAAAATAATAATAAATAAAAAAATAAATAAATGGCTTCAAATTGATTCCATTTGCACGTGGAGCCATGTCACGCAGATAGGAATGCGCTTAAAAAAAAAACTAGTAATTATCATATGCGTTTATAATAATAAAAATAAAAACTAAATCGAAATACACATGTTAATATGATAAGCGAGACCGAATGGACTGGATGAAACTTAGACCGGGGATCTATTCCCACATTTGATGCCGCATACGGACATACAGTCAGAGAGTCGTTTTCTGCTTTCGCTTCCGCCTCCGCCGTAGCAATCGTCGCAGCAGAGAAGATGATGCAGTTTTCAATCCAACGAGGTAATCGTTTCGATATCTGTTTTACAAAATTTTAGAGTGGATAATCTCGATTAGTGACTTCGGGGTTGGGCTTTCCGTGTTCGAGTTTTAAATGTTTCCAGCGAATATGACATAGTTGATTGGTGATGATGATAACTTGATTGAAATATTGAATTGCATCTTGGAATACCTAATCATGTGTCTGAACTTTCCCGTCTCTGTTTGATGGTGTTATTTGTTTCTTTTACTTGCGTGAGAGATGTTTACTAAATAGTTTGGCGCAGTGAGGAGCTCGAGGAGATTGAGTCCTCGGATACTTTCGGGGATTTTGAATTCTCAGTTTTCGACTGCGGCTGAACCATCTCGGAGACTTGTGAACTCTCTGGTGAGTTTCCTATATATATATATTTTTTATTATTACTCGTAGAACACTGTCGTTAGCAGTGGAACTTGAATCTTACAATGTGTGCCTGCTTGGAAACTTCGATCAACTTTTCCTGAGTTGAGAAGTGTTGGCATAGTCAAGATTTTAAAATAAGAGAATAGAATCTGATGTTAGAGGGAAAGCATCACATTCAAAAGTGATGAAATGTTTGAATAAGATGGGGCTCTTTAGAAGCAATAATTCTTGAATGTTTATAGTATCTGTCGTTAGTAAAAATACTATCAAGTTGTTTTTGGATGTTAATATTTGTGTGCTTATGGGTGGTTATGTATTTGCGATATGTGAGTAGTAGTAATAAAAAAAAACTTGACTTCATTGTTATGATTGGATGACATAATAGGTAGTATTGTACGGCATAGGGTATTGAGTTTTATGAGAATGAATATATTTGAATTTCATTATACACAGGAATAGTGATAGAAATAACTCTCGAATTCGAATGAGTGTTATGTATATCTAAGGAGGTGAGAATATTGGGATGAATTTTCTTTATGATGAGTGAGATATTTATATGTATATACTTGGTGGTTGAATGAAGACAGAAGAAAGAGTCGATTAATGTATTGCACTTACTACTCACGCCCATGGTGCTGATCTTTATCATGCAGAGGGTTCCAAATTTGATTGGCGGCAGCTTTGTAGATTCACTTTCATCTGAATCCATTGACGTTCTGAATCCAGTGAGTGAATGAGATGGTGAAAAATTGACCACGCTTTACTTTAGTGGCTAACTGTTCTTACACACTGTTTCACAATTTCCTATTTGATATTTTGAGCAAAGGCAACACAAGAAGTGGTCTCACAAGTCCCATTGACAACAAAAGATGAGTTCAATTCAGCCGTATCTGCAGCGAAACAAGCCTTTCCATCATGGAAAAATACACCAGTTACTCAGAGGCAGCGCATCATGTTTAAGCTCCAAGAGCTTATTCGAAAAAACATGGTGAGCATAGTTTATCTTTCGATGATTTTTCTTTTTCCTTTTTTGGCTTGCGGTATTGTTGATGAATGAGTATGCAGGATAAACTTGCACTAAACATTACCACAGAGCAAGGAAAAACTTTGAAGGATGCACAAGGAGATGTGTTTCGAGGACTAGGTTAGTGCTGTAGGTGTTATTCTAAGAAGAGGTATTGGTTGTGGTTGAATGTTAGTTGACTTGGATTGTCCATTTTTTATTTGTTGGGTTTGAAGAGGTGGTGGAACATGCTTGTGGCATGGCCACATTACAGATGGGGGAGTATGTGTCCAATGTTTCAAGTGGAATCGATACCTACAGTGTTCGAGAACCTCTCGGTGTTTGTGCAGGCATTTGCCCTTTTAATTTCCCTGCGATGATTCCCCTATGGGTATGTGTTAACTTTCTTTTCTTCTTCTAATTTGGAACATGTCTTTACTTTGTGTCTTTCATATTCTTCTTTTAATCAGGCATGTTTAGACTTTATTTTGACTTCCTCTCTCTTCTCCCCTGCCCCCCAATAAATTAATAGTCCAATTTTTAAAAATCTCCTGGATAAGAAGTCATTTTTCTTTTTTATTATCTTATTCTAGATGTTTCCGGTTGCTGTCACATGTGGAAATACCTTTGTTCTAAAGCCATCTGAAAAAGATCCAGGTGACATTTTTTTTCTTTTTTTCATATAATATAATGGCATATATTCTTCCAAGTGTTTCACATGAATGATGAATCCTGAAAAGAAAAGGATTAGGATAGATTGTTATTAGTGGTCCACACTATGCAATCATCAGCTAGTACTATGGGATTATAGGAGCAGACGAGGAAAGTAGGACTTAAGCATTGTTGTTTTTATTGCTTTTGAACTTGCATCTCTGTTTGGATGTATTGTATTTGTAGCTCATCTCTAATGGTTTAGACTGGTCCAGTAGAAATGATCATTCCACTTGTCTCTTAATCAGAACACCTTTTGGTTGGAAAGTCTGGTCTTGTTAGTTTGTAGCATGTGGTGAATCTACTAATTGCTAATAACCAGCTATTTATTAGACACACAGTACTTTTTTTTTTTTTTTTTTCTGCAGCTGATATACTGGTCAGGACTGTATGCTGTTTTCTGGGATGCCATTTCAATCTGTTAGATGTGATATTCATTGTGATCACCTCCTAATACACTCATTTCTGTTTCTTAAATAAATATATTTAAAGATACTTTAGTTTGTTTTGTGTTTTTTCGTTTTGCTTTTCTAACTGGATTGATGCTCGTTAGCCTTTTGTTTTATGGGGCATGCTCAATAAATTGTGTTCGTACATGAATATATCTATTTCATTAATCAGGACTGCTATATGATTAAGTACATTCTTTTTAATGTGTCTTTTATTTATTTTCTCCTGCGTTCTATTTTTTTATTTATTTATTTTTATTTTCAGGGGCTTCAATGATCCTTGCAGAGTTGGCAATGGAAGCTGGTTTACCCAATGGTGTCCTCAACATTGTCCATGGCACCCATGTAAGCCTGGATTATCTGACCATTTTGTTTCTAAATTATTTTTCATTCACGTGCTTTTTTGTTGATCATCTCAAAATAGAATACGAATGAATGGCTAACTAAAGAAATAAATTTCCACTTTGCATCTGATAGTTTTCACTTTGTTGACTTGTCTTACAGGAAGTCGTCAATGCTATTTGTGATGATGAGGCCATCAGAGCTGTATCATTTGTTGGTTCAAATCCAGTAAGTGAACATTGATTCCTCCATTTTAAAATTGAATACACAAGTATAATTTCTGTCTGCTCATTTCTCCTTTGTGTAATAGTTCATTCTAGGACACATTATTCTTTTCTATGAAGATAGTATCAGAACTTGCATATTTTTGTCAATGTTTTGTGTTTTGCATCAAGTTGATGCATTAATTTGAAATGTGTATAACTAAATTATGTTATGATGCTGACTGTCTTGAATGTCTACCCTTGAATATTATGTGCAGTTGTAATATTGTGTGAAATCCATGTATTTTATCTTTTTAATTGACTATTGCAACAGACAATCATCAGAAAAAGCTAATGAATCCACTTGTGCTTTGTGATCATGTAGGAAGCCTTGTTTAGTGACGTATACTTCAAAATCTCTACTGTAGGCTAGCTGATTTCCATCAACTCATCTTTGTCCAGTTTTTTTTTTCGTCAGCATTATTACTATTTAGACACACTCTTTTTCATGCATCCACTCACTAGGTTGCAAAGCGTAGTTCTCTTATCATCTTCTGGTATACACAATTTGAATACTGCAAATGCACCTTTTGCAACTCAATTTTTATTTTTTATTATTTTTTTATGTTAATGTTATATCATTTTTAAGGCTGGCATGCATATATACTCGAGAGCTTCTGCCAGTGGAAAACGTGTTCAGGTCAGTGTGTTGTTCTTGATTGTTATATTATTTGCTTTTACTATTATGTAGATATGCATTGGCAATGGCACCAGAGAAATTTTACAGAATGCCTAACATTGTTGGCCTGACAAACATTGCCAGTCCAATATGGGTGCAAAAAACCATGGAATTGTGATGCCTGATGCAAACGTAGATGCAACTTTAAATGCTTTAGTTGCTGCTGGTTTTGGTGCTGCTGGGCAAAGATGCATGGCGCTAAGCACAGTGGTGTTTGTTGGAGATTCAAAACTATGGTATTCTTCAGTCTACTGTATGCATGTGCTTTTCCAAAGTGATTTCTATTGCCAGCTATTATTGTGTATCTGTTGTGCCTACGGTTCAGTTACTACTTTTTACCTATCATTACTCTTTTTAGATTTGGAAGAAAATGCATATGGCATGCCAATGCTCCGGGTCTGTTATTTATAGGACTTGCTAGGCATACTAACCTTGAATCTTGTAGGGAAGAAAAGCTCGTGGAACGCGCCAAAGCCCTTAAGGTGAATATTGGAACAGATCCTGAAGCTGACCTTGGCCCGGTTATTAGTAAGCAGGTGAGTCTCGGAGCCCTTCTACAAAAATGCATTGTGAAAATCCTTGTAACTTCTTATATCCTCTTATTTACACCATAATTCTTGGAAAATATATGCATACTATCTATAATTTTAGGCAAAGGAAAAGATATGCAGATTGATCCAAAGTGGTGTTGATAATGGAGCCCGGCTATTGCTTGATGGTAGAAACATTAAGGTACTCGTTTAATCATCTTCCAGATATGTCATAGCTTTCTATCAACTTTTTAATCAGATGTTTACATTACCATACTGAAGGTAGTTTGATGTGTTAATTCCATGGGGCGATTATTTTTGATGTATGAAAGTGATGCTTACTGTCTCCATAATATGTTCCCATCTTGTGGCATATATGATAAGAATAATCGGTATGTAACATAAACAGCGGAGTTGCATAAGCCTAACAATCCTAGTTTACCATGGCCGATAGGTTCCAGGATATGAAAAAGGTAACTTTATTGGCCCCACAATCCTCGCTGACGTCACAACTGATATGGAATGTTACAAGGTATAAATATTTTTTGTGTTGAAACTTGAAACATCATATTGAACCCTTATCATGTTACACTCATTTAATTCCTCACTTTGCTTTTCCAGGAGGAAATATTCGGCCCTGTCCTCATATGTCTACAGGTATAAGGCATAACTTAATAACCCTTGGTTCCATCCTACAGAATCTTCTACTTCTTATTCTCAATACTAATTTTCTGGTTCGATGCCTCAGGCCAACAGTTTAGAAGAGGCGATAAACCTAGTCAACCAAAATAAGTAAAATTCCTCTTTCTTGCTTTACACAAATTGCTTCTTCTTCTAATCCTCATTCTTTTGCTATCCAAATCCGGCAGGTATGGCAATGGTGCCGCCATTTTCACTTCATCCGGAATAGCTGCTAGAAAATTTCAAACTGAAATAGAGGCAGGCCAGGTATCTTAACACCGATGCAAAATGTGCCTAATATTAGCTCTTAAAAAGATTTATGTATCAATTAAGCTTTTGACGGCGCCGAGCTTCTCTTGGCCTCAGGTTGGTATTAATGTTCCTATTCCAGTCCCATTGCCCTTCTTCTCATTCACCGGCTCCAAGGCTTCTTTCGCCGGCGACCTCAATTTCTATGGTAAACCCGACCCGACCCGTTATTCTCTGTTTGTTCTGTGTTTTTATTTTTTTCTCAGTTCCTTCCAGGTTTGAAAGTGTTAAATGTATTTTGTTTATGCAGGTAAGGCTGGAGTTCATTTCTTTACACAGATGAAGACAGTGACTCAGCAATGGAAGGACTTGCCCAGTGGGGTATCTCTTGCAATGCCAACTTCCCAGAAATGAATTTAAGGTAAGTTCTTTCTCTTCTCGTGTGCTAAATAAATGGTGCTGTTTATTATTATACTCGGGGGATATTCGAATTCTATTTAAATTATTTAATGGAGTGACTGATGATTGATTTGTGAATAAATTGGGTCATCACAAATTCACCATATGCTAGTTTAATTGGCATCAAATATCAATCAATACGCATTGAGTTACACTTTAAGCTACACCACAAATAAGCATAACTTATAATTTAGGAGAAATATAATTATAAAAAATATAATTATTTTATAATATAAATAATTATAAATTAAGAGTTATTTAAAAAATAGCTTTCAAACTGGTTCACCACTAAAAAAATTTAAGTATTTTGAAATTGCTTATTGGGCTTATAAATTTAGTTTAATTAAAAGTAATATATTTTTATGTGTAAATTATTTTATTTAATTTTTTTAAATTTGTTAAAACAAAAGGGATGATAAACATAAAAAATATTATTAATTTACTTATATATATTTTATCACTTTTTTTTTTATTAAAGATGAATATATTAAAATAAGTTTATTTAATTCTAAATTTTATAAAAATTAATCTAATTAAAATATATACAAATAATTTGTTATTTTATAATTTTTAATAAATATTTTTATTTAAAATTTGTACTATATATTTTTTAAATTTTAATTAGATTAACTATTTATTTTAATTTTAATATATAATTAGTATATTATAAAATAATTATTTATATTAATATATTTTCAATTATTTATTTAATTATATTTTTGGAAATTCTTATATTTACATTAACTTGTACATGATAATAGAAACGGATATGATATAAAAATCAGATAAAAGCATGTACATAATAATCAGAGGGAGAAAGTATGATATAAAAACCATAAAAGTAGTATAAACACTATTTTTAGAATTTTCGTATACAGTAACATATAGGACTTATCTCTTCATATAAAATATCAAATGTAACTATTTTATCAAAAAATAAATAAGTTATTAAATATGATAATTTATATTAAAAAAATATTACAAAAAATTAAAATAATGGTTAATAAAAAATTTAAAAAAGTGCATATTATTTTTTACCATCAATATTTTTATTAATAAATATCATATTTAATATATACTTTAATTAAAATATTAATGAAGAAAATATTTACCAAATTTTATTATGTTTAAAAGTATATCATGAAACATCCAAATATTTTCAAAATAAATCTAAATTACCTTAATCATTTATAATAAAAGACAATCCAACAAAATTGCCACATCAATTAATTTCTCTCAGGGGGCAATTACGTAATTTGCCTACCTATAAGCATGCATTTTCATACTTTTAACTAGATAAAGTTAAGGTATGTTTGTTTGGCGCATTGGATTTCTTTTTCACTGTTCATCCTATTTTCTCTTTAAAAAATATCAAATTAAATATTTATTTTGTATTTTTATATTATATTAAAAATTAATTTTATATTCAAAATATTACATCAACATCTATTTATATCACAATATACAACTATTTAAATTCAAAATTTTTACTGTTCAAATCTCAACTCAAAATCCAAACCCCAAAACAAACACTTAGTGTATAAAGAAGTTATAAAATACTTGTAAAAAATTTAATGTTAAAAGTATAAATAAAGAAATGTATAAAAACAATTTATTATAAATAAAAAAATACATGTTTATGAATAAACAAAAAATAAAAATAAATATATAGTATATTGTAGGTGAGGGGAGTATTACTTTCCTTATGACAATAAAATTATCCAAATGAAAAATTAAAATAAAAAAAAATCAAGATATATATTTTACTTTCATAAAATTTGTTTGTTTAGTCTTTTGGGTGGAGATATATATATATATTTTTTATGTGAGATATAGAAAATTATGTCGATAATATAAAAAATAATACTACATATGTCCGGCTCTAAGGGTCATATTTATTTTTTGCGTATTGATTTTTTTAGGTAAACTATAATTAGTAAATAATTAAGAAGTGTATTAGTAAAAATAATTATAGATTAAGATTAAGATAAGTAAATAATTTAATTAAAATAAAAAAATTATAAAATTTAAAATTTAAAATGCGATTAAAGTGCATAATTATATTTCCAAAAATAGAAAGAACAAGTTATGTGGGACGGACGAAAATAGAAATTAGAGACAAATTATGTGGGACGGAGGGAGTAATATAAATTAATGGAAAAGACAAAAATATTTCAATTGTGTCTTATAATACTAATATAATAATAATATTTTTACAAAAAAAAATTATACAAATATAATGATATTTTTAATGTTAAGTACGATGATGCAAAAGCTAAATGTAACCCTTAAATGCGGACGAATGAAATATTTTATTTTAAATACTTACTTTTTGTGAGAAGATAAAAAGATATTATGAACAAGTTTGTTCGGGGGATTGGATTTCCAATTCACTGTTTATCCCTTTTTTTTTTTTTCTCAAAAATATTAAATCAAACACTTATTTTTTATTTTTTATATGATATTAAAAATCAATTTTACATTCAGAATATCACATCAACACCTACTTATATCACATCATACAACTATTCAAATTCAAAATTTTTATTATTCAAATCTCAACTCAAAATCCAAATCCTCAAACAAACACATCCTATATATATGTATTGAGAATTGTGTTGGAAAAAAAATTTGGGCAAACAAGCATTATATTCAACTTGTTTTCTTTGCCTTGTTTTTTTTTTTTTTTTAATTTATATTCATTCATCAATTTGGTAAGTATATATTTTGTTATTTTTATTGTTCAAATACAAAGTACTCCCTCTGTTCAATGGTAATTTTTTTATTTGAATTTTGCACGTAAATTAAGATAAATTAATATTTTACAGGGATATAGTGTTAAAAGTAATGTAATGTCTATTTTACCCTTAAAAATTAATGTAAAATATATAAAACAGGAATATTTTACGTATTTAATTGAGAGTTATTATTTTTTTAAAAAAAATGAATGGTTTTTATTTAAACATGCTAAAATAAAAAATAAGAAATTTATAGTGGACTGAAGGATATTTTTTAAAAATATGTATGGACCTCACTATACATAACAATTATTTTTATACTTATACTTTTACTTATTTATACCATTATTTTTTATATATATCAAAACTATCATTAATTATTATTATAATATAATATCTTATTAAACTATGTGCAAAAAGTAAATATTTACTTTCTACGTCGAGGGACTGAGTATATTATACAATATCACAATTTTTTATAAAAATATATTTTACTTGTCTAACTTTAAGGTTTTTATTTGTTTTTTGTACCATATTAAAAAAAATACTTTATCCGTTCCAATACAATAGTCTTATTTACCATTTTTGTCGTTCCAAAAAAATTGTCTTATTTTCATAAATAATTATATCACCATAAACTATCCTTACTTTTTCATTATTATTACATAATTACCACTACTTTTTACACTAACATACTCGTAAGGGCAAAAAAGTCATTTATCCTTCATTTGTACCAATTACCAATATAATATCAATATTTATTAAATTCTGAGTCCAACACAATAAGACTATATTTTTTAAATGAAGGGAATATTTATATTTTAATAATGATTAATGGATATAATAATATAAAGATCAAATTGTCTTTACTTTTAGATATAAGTATATAATAAATTGAAGATAAAATGATAAATAAGTGTTGAAAATAATATTAATACTTAATATTATGATCCACATTTACTATAAAAAGAAATGTAAACCGTCGAATTAAAAAAATAAAAATATGTAAAACTAAAAGTGAACGGATGGATTATAATTTACTTTTGTAAGTTATGAGATCCAACTTTTATTTAAACACAATTACCAAACACACATTTTGCCTATTTGGGGGGTCAAGAATCAAGATGGACTTTTGTGTTTGCTTGTCTGTTTGGATCTTGACTAGAGATTTAAGGGTGCCTTTGTGTTTGGAGAATGGGATTAAATTTTTATTATTCATTCGATTTTTTTTTTTTCAAAAACATCAAATCAAACACCTATTTTTCATTTGTTATATTATACTAAAAATCAATTTTACATTCAAAACATCACATCAACACCTATTTATATCACATCATACAACTATTTAAATTCAAAATTTTTACTATTCAAATCTCAACTCAAAATCCAAACCCCCAAACAAACACACCCAATAGTAAAAAATTTGAATTTGAAGAGTTGTATGATGTAATATAAATAGATGTTGATACGATGTTTTAAATATAAAATTGATTTTTAGTATAATATAAAAAATAAAAAAGAAGTGTTTGATTTGATATTTTTGAAGAAAAAATGGAATGAATAGTGTATTTAAAATCCAATCCCTCAAACAAACACACCCTAAAAAGATCTACAGGTTTCCTTTCACATACTCCCTCCATCTCATAGGTAAATATCTATTTGTTTTTTTCACGTAGTTTTAAAAATATTAGTATTATATTGAGATATAGTGAGAATAAAGTATAAATGACTAAAATAATCTTATTAGTATGTGTGATATAAAGGTAATAACATTTGTGTAATATATTGTAAATTGTAAGGATATTTGTAATGTTATATAAGTAATACAATTACTAAAAAAGAAATTGATACTTTATTATGGAACAGACTAAAATAGAAAAATGTATACTTTATTATGGAACGGAGTGAATAATTTTTTTATTCTTAATATATTTTTTTTATTTTTTTATAAAAGAAAGTCGATATTTAATATAAAATATTATTTTTTATATTATCATTAAAATTTAATGCTTATATTTTTAGAAATGTTTGTCCGCGGGTTTGGATTTTAAAATATATAGTAAAATGTTAAGTTTAATTAATTATTTGAAGTAATGCTTATATTTTTAGAAATGTTTGTCCGCGGGTTTGGATTTTAAAATATATAGTAAAATGTTAAGTTTAACTAATTATTTGAAGTATTATAAATATATATTGATATGATATTTTGAATGTAATATAATATAAAAAAAATAATGATTTGATTTGATATTTTTAGTAAGAAAAAAATTTTAACAGTAAAAAATTGTAATAAAGTGTAACTTTCAGTTTATCTGTTTCATACATGAATAAGAAGAGTATTGGTTTATCTATTCATTAAAGTATTTATAATATATTTATATTAATAGCATATATACTTAATATTTTTGCAATATTATAAGAATTTTGAAATATGTCAGTCTGTATTATTATTCTTATTACTATTTAATTTATATATATAATGTATCAATAAAATAATTTAATGCATGCATGATGCATATACTAAGTTTACTATTTTATAATGAAGTATATCTACATAGTGACAATGTGATTAATTTACTTTAAATTAATAAAATATTAAAAATATTTATGTACATTAATAGAAATAGCTTAAGTAGCATCTTGTTAAAAAAGTAAAATTATTCATGATACAAAAATATTAATGAATTTGTTCATCTAACATCTTTTTTATGATACAAATTTCTTTTATATAATTTATCACAAAAAATAAATTATATATACATATTAATATAAATACAATATTCACAAAAAATCAACTAATAAATACAAAATATTATTTTTTATATTATTTAATTTTTCATACATAACATAAAAAATAATATTTATAAGAAAAATACAAAATAAACAAACTCATTGTAGGACAACAAACTAATCTACAATGTTTTATTGTTTCACATTTTTCATTACAAAATATTTGATATAGTATTTTTAAAAAAATATTTTATGTATATTGTTTGGTATAAAAAAAAAGATAAAAAATACAGATAAGTTCAATTCATCCAACGCAATTTTTCAATTATGAATTTTAAAATAATAATAAATACTATAAAATATTTTTTAAAAAATAAAAAGTAAAAAAAAAATTAAAATGTTCATTACAAAAAACAAAGAAGTCAAAATATTAAACGCAAAATAATTCTATATTTTTTTTATTTTCGACACAATTCTATATATCAAACATAAACAATTAATTCATCTAAAAATAAAAATAACCATAGGCTCTCTTTCTCTCTCTCTACATATATATGGAAGATGTATTTGATTTTACATTTAAAATAAAAGTTTTATTATTATTTAATTCGATAATTTTTTATAATTTTTTTATAAAAGTAAAATCAAAATATTATTTAAATAAAAATAAATTTTAGACTAAAACCAAACATTTTTCGTATTTTCATATTCAAACTTTTTATCATTTCTAAAATATAACAAACATCAAGATATTTTCAAAATAAATCTAAATTAGAGGGTGTGTTTGTTCGAAGGATTTGGCTGAATTTATATTGTTCACATAAATTTTTTTTCTTAAAAATATTAAATCAATTATATATTTTTTATATTATACTAAAAAGTAATTTTACATTCAAAATATCACATTAATATATATTTAAATCATATCATACCACTATTTAAATTCAAATTTTTTACTATTTAAATCCCAATTCCAACCTCAAACAAACACACCCTTAATATACTTTATAATAAAAGACCGGTGTGGATCAAATACTGAAAGAGTTTATTCAGCACAGATGCAGATAATTACTCAAACTTATATAATAAAATAATTAATTAATATAATTATAAATAATAAGTTTTTAAGCATGTTGAATTAAAAAAATTAGTAAAAGACAATCCAACAAATTGCAATTATCCCCCGCATTAATTAATTTCTTTCACGGGGTACTTATGTAATTTCCTAAAATACCGTCTTCGTGCTCTGTCCCACCTATAAATATGCCATTTTCTTCCTCTTGTTCTCCCTCCATCTCCATTGCAATCATTTTATATCTTCAGTTGTATGTATATATATATGTGTATATATATCCAGAGAGATAAACAGAGAGAATGGGAGGGCAGAAGTTTGCGGTGCTTCTCTGCGCGGAGGACTCGGAATACGTGAGGGAAATTTATGGCGGTTACTACGGAGTTTTTGTTAGGATGCTCAAGGAGGAAGGGGAGGAATGGGACGTATTCAAGGTACTGAAAGGAGAGCTACCGGAGGACGACGTAGTCGGCGATTACGAAGGCTTTGTGATCACCGGTAGCTGCAATGACGCTTACGGTAACGAATTTTGGATCTGCAGATTGCTGGCTCTGGTAGCGAAATTGGACGCGATGAAGAAGAAAGTCCTCGGCATTTGCTTCGGCCATCAGGTATGCGTGTCGTTTGCTTATCCGATCTGCTTGGCTGCTCTTTGTTCTCTTTTATTCTGTTCTGTTCAGTACAGTTCGCGCGTTTTGCTTGCTTTTTGAGTTCACGCCATTTTCGTAGATGTATATTCCGTTGCTGCTCGTGCGAACAGCTGTCCCTTACTTTCAGTTTTGTATGTGCAAAGTTATTTGATATATAGAAGTGGACGAAGAAAACTGCAAACTGGTTTGGTAGTTCACCTTCACACACGAAGGATTTATTATGTAAAATGAAGAATAAAATCAGGTGATTTGTAACCAGATCTTAGGCCTTACACTTGAACTTTTGACACTTTTCAAAAACTATCAACTATTAAACTTTTATTATTTTCATTTTTTTAAAACTCCAAAAATCAAAAGTCTATGCCTAACCGAAGCCTTTCGTTGATATCTTTTGAATATTGTGCAAAATCAGCTGAATAAATATTGAATTTATTTGACAAAGATGGATGTAGGTTAATTGTGGTATAGGAATATTTCAGTAATTTATCCTACATAATTAAATTTGAAATATTTTTCTGAGTAACATTCTTTATGTCTACATATGATGTATTTCATTTATTGATATTCCTTGCATAAATTCATCACACGCATACACCGTTCCTGTTTCGACGGAAAGCTATGCGCAAGCAAAATTTGAAGTCAGTTGACAATAGCTGTGTATGTTTGCGTAGAAAAGAATTGATTATCCAAACCACATGCCACAAATTTTTTTATAATTGTTCCTGAACTTCTAAAGCAACAATACCTTTAATTTGGCAACTTGGTGGACTCAAGTTGGAACACAGTTCTTAATAAAGCTGGACAATCGTGACACTCACGAAATGATCTAAGCTTGATACTGTTTTGAGCTATTTTATGCAAATTCCGTGTCCCTAAACAAAACTACACCCAAAACTAGCAAGCATCTCTTGCGTAAGGCGAATATTAGCAGTTACATTGTCTTATTAACATATTAATATGTTTAGCACAGCCAATTCTTTCACGTGATCCAATTAGGAATATTCAATTATACTTTTGATAGCTAGAAAGAAAATTACATTATATATGATGGTAGTGATTCTTTCTGTGTTTACCTGTTCCTTAAATCAGTTCATGCTTGAATTTGTCTGCCACCAGTTTAATCTGGTGGGGAATTATGCAATGATTGTTTCCCTTGATATTTGTACTCATTACAATCATGGTAACCATCTTTTAAGTGCGTTCTTGATCATCTACATATATTTCCACAACTCTTCTAATTTATGCAAAATTTCAATCACTCTTTATATACACGTGAGGAGAATGAGATGAATGTAGAAAGTAGCTTTGGTTTTGGTTTTGGTTCATATTCATAAACAGTATAGAAAGATTACTGTCTATAACCTTGTGGTCAAAATTAGGCTACTTTGCCCTTTTCTGCTGAGCTCCACGTCATGTCCAGCATATTTCGATGCTACCCATTTTGGAAATTAAAGTAGAATAGATAGATACCAAGTACGACCACTACTTGTATCACTATCACTACCACTACCACTACTGCCTAGCGTTGCTGGCTATGGTTTTAGCTTTGAACTTACCTTAAAAAGTGTCCGAATCCTTCTGCTACCACGTGTCGAGTTTGCTAGAGTCCACGTCAGATTACATGATTTTGTGTATGTGCTTGATAGACATATATTTGTGGAAAATCACACCAAATTAGCTTTTCATCTTTATCCCAATCAATCGGGAAAAGAAAGTGTAGTAATTGTGAGATTGATCTTTCCCTACACATCAACTAACTACTACTTGCTTCATAACCACATTAGGAACTGTGTTTGTTTATTATTATTGACAATATTTTATTTGTTTGTTTCCGGGGTAATTAAGTAATTAATTAATTGTAATGGTAAAATAGATACTGGGACGAGCAGTGGGAGGAAAGATTGGAAGATCGAATAGAGGATGGGATATAGGAATATCAAAGATTGAGTTGTACCCATCGAATATATTCACAAGTTTGAAAATGCCAGAGTCCCTCTCCATCATAGAGTGCCACAGGGATGAGGTTTAATTATTAGTTCTAATATATATATATATATATATATATATGTAGTACGAGTATGAATATGAATGAATGAATGCATGCAGGTAAGGGAGCTTCCAGAAAAAGCAGAAATTCTGGGATATTCGAGCAAGACAGGAATAGAGATGTTTATGTATGGGGATCACTTGATGGGCATCCAGGGTCACCCCGAGTATGACATGGACATCCTCCTCCACCTCATCCAACGCATATTCAACCTCGGACTCATTCAGGTCATCTCTCTCTCCCTCTCTCTCTACACTATTAATTCATTAATTAATCAACAATTAATAAATAAACAAATAAATAACAGGAGTCCCTGGCAGAAGATTCCAGGAGTAAGTTGGCAAATGGGGAGGTAGTAGAGGCTGCTGATATTGAAGCCTGGAAAAAACTGTGCACCACCTTTCTCAAGGGTAGGCTTCTCTACCATACTGATGCTAGCATCATTTCAGACTAGTCAACATTTAATAATTTATTTGATTAATTCTCAAGACATATGCATATATATATATATATATATGTGTATATATACCCCTTTATATCTATTCTCTAGTAGCATTACATAATTAAAAATAAACACTCAAAGCACATCATCTAGTTATTATTTATTAATTAAAAACATTTACTCACAATGTAAAATACCCCATAATGTATGTATGTATGCATGCATGCATGCAAATGGTTCGTATACGTAATAAGATCAATTATATATTAACAACCATCCATAATTAGCAAAGCATGAATGCCAATTAATCCTTGATACACTAAAAGTATGAAATGCAAATATGTTATATATAGCATGCCATATTTACTAAATCATTGAATTGAATGATACTACCTTTTGTCTATGGGATATGATGAGGGTTTGTAATACTCTTTTATTTTATTTTACTTTTATATCAAAATATCATTATTCTTATTTTATTCAGTTAATAATTTGCCCATTTTAATCTATTAAGATGATCTTCATTTGATAAGGATTATAATTCCATACCTATAATATATTCTTGTCAATTGCCATAATTATCTTCTTTTAGATAGTAAGAGTAATTTCTCAATATTATATTAAATAATTTATTTTTTATTTATAATAGTATTAATTTTTTACTAATTTTCAAATTAAAAAAAAACCACTCTTTAAATGAAAGTCTTGGTTTTAATTTTGAAGAAGAGTAAAAAAATTGATATTTTTTCTATTTCAATCTAATCATATGTTTATTTTTTTTTTTTTATTAATGTTCGGCTTAACCTAAGAGTCTTGCAAACTCATATGTCTTTGTGTTTTTTAATAGAATAGTTAGTAAGTTATTATTATGTAATAATATATTTATAATTTATATAAAATTTAAAATATTAGAAAAAAAAAAAAAAAAAAGAAGAAGAAGAAGAAGAAGGAAGATACATTTGCATGAGACAAATAAAAATATAAAAACTGTGCAGATGAATATGAATATTTATTTATACATAGCGATTAAATAGCAGCGCAGCGGATACGACCAAACGAATACGTATGCACCCACACCAAAGGTTGCGACGCCTACCAACAAACGCCATGTATACGTATATATATACGTATACAAGCAAACTGAATCCTCCCTTACCTGCGCACAAAACAACAATTCAGCGCAGAGACCGATTAATAATGCGGCGAGCGGAGTCGGAGTACAGCGGATGGGGCGCCGGATCGGTGGTAGCGATGCTGTGTGTGGTGATACTGATGGTTTTCCTTCCCCTCGTAATGGATTCCGGTCAGGTTCGTCGACCGCCGTCGTTCTCTGCGCTGTTTGTTATTCCCCTGCTTTTGGCCGCCATTCTCCTCCTCCTTTCTCACGCCTCCACTAGGAGGCGTTAATTAGTATTTCGTAATTAACTTCTCTCTGGTTGCGCCGGGCGTATATATATATATATTTGTTCGCCCAAATTGGGTAGGGCTTTGCTGAATTGTTGTTAATTAAAGGAGGAGGGACGTAGCTGCGGCTTCCATGGCAGTTCGGGAGCTGGGCTCCTGGGTGTAGCAGTTACTGTTTACTCCGGCCTTTAGGACGTGTATTTTGACGCCCGGTGTTTAAATGTGTTTGAGAAAATTGTGTTTGGTTTTGAATTTATATATTTGCTACATGTGAAATTAAAATATTATTTTTTTAAAAAAAGTTAAATTTAAATCAAATCTAAACAAATTCTTATACAAATATTTAGAGATTTATTTTAATAAATATAATATTAAATATATATTTTTAAACTAAAAAGGTATTAATTCAACTTATTTTTGTTGGCACATTTCCACATGAAATTACAAAAAATACAATATATATATATTTTTTAACATAATATATGTATTTAATTTATTAATAAAAATTAGTAGTTCGACCCAATATAGTATTTTATGTAATTGACAAAATTCATATATCATAATAAAAATATAATCATAAAAAAAGGATGAACATACATATTAATTATTAATTTATTTTTTCATACAACTAAATATTATACTAATAACTATTTAGCATAAACTTTTCTAAAATCTAAAAATAAATAAAACAAGAAGATCATTACGAGAATGATGCGAGATTTGTGGCAGACAAAAATAACAATGTGTATATGGTAATTAATAATATTATTTTTCAATTTTTGTGTAACATTATAATATATAATGAGTCCGGACGAAGGAGATATTTATATTTTTTTTTACGAAAAAAGTAAATAAGATATTTTAGATATGATGAAAGTACTTCACTCAATGTGTCCAACTTTTGAGTATCATCATTGTATTATAATTTAATATTAAAAAAAAAATGACAAAAAAATAATACTAAAAATATAAAAAATTATATAAATATAATAATATTTTTAATATTAAAAAGCAAAGGAAAATGATATTATTTATCTTATATAATACAATTAAACTCAAATTAAAAACATAAGCTCAAACCAAAACCCAACAAACCATTACCTTTGAAACTTGATATAGTTTCGTTTTAACATTTTAATTAAACAATAGAATTAGCTATATTAGTAGTATTTTGGAAGGAAAAAAAAAAATATATAACAACAAAAATTAAAGTGACTTGCGATGATATTATGAATTCAAACCCGACGACTCAAGTTACCTCTCATTGCTATTGACACATTGTACAAAAAATAAGAATAAATAATGCAAATAAAACCTCTAATTAAAAAATATTAATCAATTGGCGAATCGAAATGATAAAAGATAAATAAAAAAATTTGAAAAGATAACCGGCATTGTGCACTATAACCGACACGTGTCGATCTCAAGTAAAGAATCTCTCCGGGCGGTGACCGGGAATTTACATTGCTTCCGATAATGGGTTGAAAGAAAGGCTTCATCGATCCGCTCACTCGCTATTTCCACTGAACCGGCCAGCGCGTGACGTACACTTTCCCATTCAACAGCGCAATTCAACTGCAATCCTTTACATACACTCGCGGCTCGCCTCGCCTCGCCTCTCCTCTTAGGTGAAAATGGAAGGCGAGAGCTCGCGCACCGGCGACGGCGGCGGCGCTGGGGCCAGGACGGAGCCGGCGCGACCACCGTCAGCATCCGGCGGCCGACTGCGTGCGAGACCGGACGCATTCTTGGTTGCTTGTCGAGGCTTCAGCGTAATCACGTCTCTGGCGGCCATCCTCTGCATCGCTGTCAATGTTCTCTCTGCCGTCAAATCTTTCAAAAACGGATCGGATGTAAGCTAATGCTGTACTCTTCTTGTGCAGACGGTTGCTGACAGTTTGATTTATGGTTTGACGCTAAACTTTCCGAGCACAAATGTTTGTTTGATGCAGATATTTGATGGAATATTCCGGTGTTACGCAGTGATCTTAGCTATATTTGTGGTCGTCGCCGAGACAGAGTGGGAATTTGTCATGAAGTTTTGGAAGGTTCGCTGTATATGTGGTCGTTCGTTGGTTATTATCTACAGTTTATATTGCCTTTATTATAACCAATTGTAATTGCAACTTTTGAGATTTTGAGCTGTCATGCTTCGCGGGTGAATTGAAGTTGTTTTTGAATTTACTTTTGTGCAATCAGTTTTGTTGTTTCCTGTGTCTTTAAAGCTCGTATGGTGGAAATAAGGAGATCTCTCTATATCGAAATTACCAGTTGAAGAATTCGTAGGAAATTTATGGATTGCTGGTGAGAATGTTCCATAAATTGGCAAGAGTATGTTCCTGGAGCTGTGTTTTAGTGCATTCATTATAAGCACTAACAAGCTGATAACCATGTGACCATGTAAAGCATGTTCTAGGCCACGCTTGAACAGCTATGCTTCATGTGATGTCAGGAAATTCATGTAAGAGTGCTATGAGAGGTAGTTTTTGAATGGTCTGAGATTTGGTTGGTAACCTGGTGACGAGCACTTGAGAAGTATATGAAAATTATTTCCTCACACGAGTAAATCCTATGGGTAGTATGTATTGCACATTTAATTATATATTTGGAATCTCGCATCTGTAGAGATCGTCTAGCAGGAATGCAGGATGAACTACTTAGATGGAAATTTGTTTTAGCTATTCTATATATCTTTGAAAAGTTGATGTACCTGTTTTATGATATTCTGACCATGTTCATGCTGAGGTAAACCATCACCTGACATTTTGCAGGTCTTGGAATATTGGGTTGGCAGGGGAATGCTGCAGATCTTGTATGTCTAGCTTTTAACCAAAATCTCAAATAAAGATGAATTGTCCACTGAATTGCATCATAGTTGTACACCTATCTTGGCGTGAAGTCTATGATTATGGGTGCCTAGCTGCATAAACAATAATCAAATTGTTATATATATTCCGTCAAATTGGCTAAAATCTGTTATATATATATATATATACTGTTACATTGACTAGAATATGTTCTTTATCTTAGCTGTGTTTCATAACCAGTGTTGCAGTAATGACAAGAGCGTACCCTGAGTATTTGAGAGACGGTAGCCAAGACCTTTTTCTTCTCCAGAGCATAGGGAGCTACCTGCTAATTGCATGCGGGGTGGTTTATGTGATATCTGTAAGTTTTACTGGATCTAGTGATTGGTCCCCTACTCATTTGTGGAGATGTATGTGGTTTTGTTTGCTTTCTGGTCCACTTGACATATATTTTCCGTTCCTATTCTTCCCAAATCAGGATAGTGGCTTTTCTGGTCATTGCTTCCATTTTCATTTAGTTGAATCATGGTTTGTTATTTCAATTTGCATTTATGCTCAACCTTGCACATTATTAAGAATAGTGGCTTTCTAGTCGTTGCTTCCATTATCATTTTGTTGAAGCATAGTTTGTTAATTCAATTTGCATTTATGTTCAACCTTGTACATTATTAAGCTTTAACTGATAATTCTGATATTTGGACAGGGTGTGCTATGCATTGGCATGGTCAAACGTGCTCGCCAGAAAAAAGAACTTTCTAGGGATCAAGCAATAAAGGATCTCGAGGTAATATGTTTTGTTGCAACAATCTGAATGTTAGTTGGCCATTATAATATTTTTATGAACTACAATGATAAATAAATTAATTCTACATTACTGTTGCTGCTAATTTGAAATTCGAAATTGAGCTTTCAGCTACACATTTTTTTTTTTAGCCGGAGAGAGAAGGGATTAATTATATTAAGATGAAAGGTACTTAACATTTTTGCTATGTCAACAACCAAATCTGGTTGGCAATCTGAACTTTTAGTAACCAACAACTTATACTGCTTTACACTTGTTCTCAGCTTGCTAAGTTTGCTACAGCAAATGCTTATTCTATTTTCAGAAAATTACTTACATAACAAGTATTGCAGGAACTTGAACGACGAAGAGAAGAACTTGAGTCACTACTGTTACCAGACAATGCTTGATCCAGCCCTAGATTATGAACCTGACAAACATGCAACTATTCAATCTGGATGAGCAAGAAACATGGTCCTGGTACTCGTATTGGATGAGAGAAACATTCTGAGGTTAAAGTTGTCGATAGCTATTATTGTCAAACGATTGTGAAGTCAGATCAGGTCAGGCAGTATTGTTTGTTTGTTAGTTAATTATTCTTGATAATTCAAAGGCTTGGGAAGTTTATATGCTTGTTCAGTGAGGCTTGAATCCTACTTCTGCTACGTTCTTGAATCATTGTCCAATTATGACTACTATCGACTTAGCATTTAAAGACATGCGCATTCTTTCAATTTATATCATGATAGCGATGCTTGTCTTAACTAGCTCCTCACTATCGCCTTTAATTATAAGAAAGAAGTCCTATTTGTCCTCAGAAACTTTCAAAAATATCTCTGCATCGAATAACTGAAACAACCAAGTCTTGTGATAACGCATGTTATAATTTAACTTAAGGTCCCCAGTCCCGCAAATAGTAATTCAATTTGTTCCAGGCTAAAAGCATTAGGTCAAGCGTATAAATGGAGAGAAATTAAAACCATTCTGCTGTCTGAGGTGCGTCCAACCTGATTTTCTTCTCAAATTCCTCAAATTTGAATGTGGGGATGTCTGGAAAGTAAGAAAATTGAATGCAATTTAAATTTGCGAAACAACCACGGAAATCCGCCGAGAAGGTTTTACAATAAGAAGAAATTTAAAATATGGAAGGGAAAAACAGGAATAGATGAATAAAGCAGTAAACAATAATAATAATAATAATAATAATAATAAAGGCCAAAGCTGATAACAACTTTGGATTGACTTATTTTTATGAAGATGTTGTGTAGGATGATGTTTAGGCAATGAAGCGATAATATGTGAAATAGTATTAGAGAAGTACTAATTAGTTAGAACACGTGATGCTGGTGCTGGTGCCAGTGTGGGTGCATGGGATTGGGTTAAAGAATATATCTGCAATCATCTCCTTGATGATCTTAGATTTAGCAACACCACCAAGGCCATCGCCAAATCTGTAACAAAAATGCGTTGCTCTGACACACTCCAATACGGCATCGATGAAATGCTGTGGATGGTAGAAATCTCCATCTTGTGCTTCTTGGTTTAACTCTTTCCATGCCTCATCTATCAACTGCCATATCTTCTCTTCTGCCTCTTTCCTAGAAACTCCAGCTTCCGTCATGTAGCATTCGACTGATTTTGGCACATCTCCCCTCTCCATCTCCACCTGCAATACAATAATTAGGTAAACACAGGAAATGAAATTGATTGTACTTTCTAGTCGAGTCCTGTCCTGTGGCTGTGGGGGTGGGGGTGCCACGGCGTGGTGTGTATATTCATAGTGATTGCTACTGTAGGTACTCACAAATATATCTCTAATACTGCCCTCTTAAGTGGTATGACTGTATGTATGTATTTATGGTGTAGAGATCATAATAACTACCGGGGAAGTGCTGATGTCGTTTATAATCCGGACGAGGACTGCACACCGGTTGACTAGATCACGGTTGACTAGATCACGGTAGTTGAAATAGGCATCGGCGGTCTCCTTGTCCAATGGATTCATAATTGGAAAATAAGCATGGGACATGGCTAGAGGAGCTCCAGATGAGGTGACACCGTTGTTGATATAGTCTTCCATGGATGGTGTGTGGCCACTGTGGTACCATTCTGCTTCTTTGAGGTATGCCCCCACCAGCTCCGACCACTGAGCATTCACATATGCATATATACACACTTATTGATCTATATGTATTTACATATAGATATATATATATATATTATATGTGTGTATGGTTATTGGAAAACAGTGGGAATTAGTTCAGTTAGTTACCACTCTCCTAAAATATGGAATGGCATTGAATCTCTGTTTCTTGAGAATATCGTAAGAAGTGTCGATGATAAGTTTGTTTACTGCTATGTAGGCGATTTGCATATAATCCGGAAGATGGTTAATTGAGTCCAAGTCCCACCTTTATGCATCAAATTGTTTTACAAGTTAGTTCAGATATATATACATACATATATATATATACACACAGAGAGAGAGAGAGAGATTTGGATCAGTGGCTAACCGTTGAAATGCCTCAGCAAAGAGTTTCAGTTCATCAAAGCTACCATAGACGTCGAAAATATCATCTACTGAGGTTATGCAGATGACAGCTTTAGCATACAAAATCCTTGTATATCCCATGTCTCGAGGCTGCACTACAAGTAGTGCCCACATAAAGGATTCTACCAGTCTGTTCCTCACAAATGGTAGCTTTTCAGCGAACCCCAAGTTCCTCCACCACCTATACAGAAGGTACATATGTGTATCATTAGGTTAGGAAAATCAATACTAGTTCTTTTTGTTTTATTTACATATTTTTTTAAATCTTGAAATGTATTATAATTTGAGCTGATGGTTATTACATGGAGAAATCTTTGAATTCTTGTTGGTATGTAGCTTGGATGATGTTGTAGTGTAGTGCTGCAAATTCATGGACATCTCTATTCATGTCTGCTCTTGTCTCATAGGCTGGGATGAACCATCTTGCGTAGCCTTTTTCGATCGTCCAATGTAGTGGGAGCTCCAGCTCTCGGCGCACCATTTCTGACAGGTGCTGATCATTGATGGTTCCATCTACGAGTTTCTTTTGTAGGAACTTGTTGCCGAATTCTCTGGCTGAATCCAGCGTGGTTTCCCCAGGTTTCGACAGGAAAGAAGCTTCGTAGAGCTGTAGCAAACTTTTGGTGTGGGTGTCGTCATGATCACCAAGCAGGTTTGGATCGAATTCGACATGATCGCTCGCCTTGAAACAATCAAATACCTCTGCAGATAAGCGGTAGTTTATGAATGAGCCAGGATTTAAATGGATCTTGTAGAATCACAATAAAGTAAGTACCTTGAGGAACTGAAAAGCCGTATAGCCTGAGGAGCCTGAATTCAAGTGCTGTAGAGTACAAATCCATCTTTGCATCATTATCATTATCACTATTAATGTTGTTGTTGTTGTTCACATATTTGTGGTGATATAGGGAGGTGAGGATGTCGATGATTTGGTCCCGGAAATTTGAGGATATTCCAAGGCGATGTAAGTCATCAATGAAGTCCAGTTGGAGTTGTTTTGGAGATCCCTCCAGGTCGAGTAGCAGTTGCTTCACTTTCAGCTGCAGCTCGGAGGCTCTTGCCAGGTATCTCTCTTCCTGCAACATGAAATAACTGATAACATGATCTATAATTATTATTATATATATGTATATGGGTTACACTAGTTACGGTGTAGGGGCTATTCAAGGAATGAATAGAATCGAAATCCCATGGGGATTTTTCGTAGTTCCCGGAGCGCCGTGTCTGTGCATCTGTTGCTGTTGCTTTGCACCTGGCTTTGAGAAAGGCATTATTAATAGTGCTAATGAGGCGCGGAGGTTTGAAGTTGAAGAGGTTCTTTGCTATTATTATGTTAGGACTAGGACTAGGACTTGCAAAGTTAGGGCAAAGGGTTATGGCAGCCATGGTCATGATGGATGAGAATGATGAAGATTTATTGATTGATACATACACTAATTAATGAGTACTCTATATAGAAGAGGAAGAAGAAGAAAGAAGAAAAAGAAGGGTATGTTACTTCGTACGAGGATGAATCAGGTGCTGACTTTTTTAATTGTATCGTGTATGGTTATACTTATATTGATGGCTAATAATGTCATCACATGATTAATCGTGTAGTAATATTATTTCAATAGTGTATTCACTATTGAAATAATATTGAGTCGTACAAGAATAAGATCTCCTACTAAAAAACTACCAATCTATTATAAAATAGGATGGATCAGATGCCTAAATTTATTTGTATTTATTTAACTAGGATTCTTATATTAACCATGTGCTGCATGATCAATCATTAATATTAAAAGCATCAGCACCCGTATAATTAATTGATGATCATGTCCCAATCCTATATATAAAAAAACCTAATTCAACCAATTATTACTTAGTTGGATATATTGTAATTTTTAATTCCTCCTTTCACGGATCCACGGCACTTTGCACCCAGATCTAGGAGCGCGCACTAAAATGATGACGATGATAATGGTAAACAAAAAATTGTGTTATTTTTATTAAATAAAAAATTTGTACAAATTATATTTGATTTGAATTTAAAGCTTGTCATATTTTCTAAATTGGTCATTTGATTCTCCTTCTGGGTCGATTTATTTTCCAATTTGGTTTTCAATGACTTCTTTGATCCGAAGATGTTTGGTTTTCAGTTTAACTTTGCAGGGTTTTGGTCTCCGTGCTGGCAATTTGATCGCAGCTTTGGATTTGAATGTCTTTTTTTTAGACGATCTGAGGCTTTGATCTTTGATTTGGCTTTGCCGCTTTTGGAGGACTTTGGTCTCCGTGTTGACGATTTGATTATCGTCTTTGGATTTGTTGTCTTCTTTGGAAGATCCGCGATTTTGACATTTGTTTTGGCTTTGCCGCTTTTGGAGGACTTTGGTCTCCGCGTGGGCGATTCGATCGTCTGCTTTGGATTTGATGTCTTCTTTAGACGATCCGCAACTTTGATCTTTGGTTTGCCTTTTCCGCCTTTTGGAGAGCTTCGGTCTCCGCGTGGGCGATTTGATCGTCGGTGTTGAGATATTTTAGATATTTAGTTTTAGATTTATATTTAGATTTGATCTTATTCATATATTAGATTACTTAAATTTAAATCTATCGAGTCTGTTTTGTATTGCTTCTTATTTTGATGATCAAGAACACAATCTCATTATTTTCCCTCAAAATTTCTAACATGGTATTAGAGCCTATTTTTTTCATGCCGTAGATATAGTCTACCAACCCGTGTTTCTCCGGGTACATTCAACCTGGATTATACTCGGAGGTTTTGTGATTTTGAGATCATGCCTTTGTAAGTCTGTCTTTATGCAGATTCTCGTCTGCGATCTGTCTTGTCTGCTCTTGTGTACAATCAGAAACCTGTCTGCGATCTGCCATATGTCCATCTGTCATATGTTCGCTGCTTGTCAGATGTCTGCGTGCGATCTGAAACTTATCTGTGGTTTGTCTATTGTCTGCGTGCGACCTGTCATCGGTCTATGCGTGCAATCTGAAATGATCAGAAACTTGTCAGGATCTGCCTTATGTCTGTACTTTTTTTATTACCTGCGTGTGATCTGAAACATCTTTGCGATCTGTCTTATGTCCGTGCTTGTCCATTGCCTGCGTGCGATCTGTTTGGTGTTTCCGATTTATGTCGTTTTCGGCTCCGGTGGAGTCATCTTATTTTCGGCTCTGGTGGAGTCGTGTCGTTTTTTGCTTCGGTGGAGTTATGTTGTTTTCGGCTCCGGTGGAGTCATCTTGTTTTCGGCCATCTCGTTTTTTGCTCCGGTAGAGTCATGTCGTTTTTTGCTCCGATGGAGTCATGTGGTTTTTGGCTTCAGTGGAGTCATGTCGTTTTCGGTTGCGGTGGAATCATCTCGTTTTCGACGGCTCCGGTGGAGTCATCTCGTTTTCGGCTTCGGTGGAGTCATCTCGTTTTTTAATCCGGTGGAGTCATTTCGTTTTCGGCTCCGGTAGAGTCATCTCATTTTCGGCTCCGGTGGAGAGTCATCTCGTGCTCGGCTTCAGTGGAGTCATGTCGTTTTCGGCTCTGGTGGAGTTATATCATTTTTTGCTCTGGTGGAGTCATCTCGTTTTTTGCTCCGGTGAAGAGGCATCTCGTTTTCGACTTCAATCATCTTGTTTTTTGCTCCGGTGGGTGGAGAGGCATCTCGTTTTCGACTTCAGTCATCTCGTTTTTTGCTTCGGTGGGTGGAGAGTCAACTACTAATTTTATTTATGTTTTCTTTTTGTGTTTATATTCAAATTTCTTATAAACTCAAGTTGGTTTATGTTATACCACTTGAATTTGAGGGGGGATGTTGAGATATTTTAGATATTCAGTTTTAGATTTATATTTAGATTTGATCTTATTCATAGATTAGATTATTTAGATTTAAATCTATCGAGTCTGATTTGTATTGCCTATATATATAGGCTCCTTATTTTGATGATTAAGAACACAATCTCATTATTTTCCCCCAAAATTTCTAACAGTCGGCTTTGGATTTGATGTCTTCTTTTGACGATTCGGACTTGATCTTTGAGGAGGTAGATTTGGTGGCTTTTGGCGGCCTGCCCCTTTGACTTTTGGATCAAAGAGGGCCGAGTTTGCGCCTTTTACGAAGAACGTGATGATCACCTCGAAGCTTTGAGAGAAACTTTGAAGACCTTCACTTGGCTTTGACAAATTCCTCGACGGCTTTGAGAGCTTTGATACTTCCTCCGGCTTGAACATACGACGAAGAACGTTAACTTCATCGATTCGTCAACCAATATTGAATCATTTGTCCAAATTAGTGATTTTCGACGAAGAACGCTTCGAAGGACACGAAAAACATGAAGAATAATACAGAGAGAGTCTAGAGACTTACCCCTTTACTTGAATCCTCGATGCAACTTCAGTGTATCAAATGAACTGACCATGACTCCTATTTATAGGGGATGGGTGGCTTCGGCTTCCTTTTTCAATGGTGACACGTGGCGCATTTTGATTGGCCAATAGGAAGATTTTATAATCTTTCATGCTCTTCCATTCTTGACGGATTTGATTGTGCACCTTTCTCTCGACAAGATCTTTATATCATTGCCCTTTTTCGGAAGATATTAATTTATATATTTCATTTATTGACAAAATTAATTTATTTTGCTGCCAAATTTATTATGGCTCTAATTATGCATGTAATATTTTGTACTATATCTTCCATTTTAAGCAGATTTTTGCATTAATGGTCGATATTTATTGTACAAAAATTAACATATGTGTATAATTAAATACCGTATATTTATTTTATTGAAATTTTATTTTCTTCCAAAATACATGATATTTAATTGATTTTAAACATATATTTTTAGTGTCTAAAATAATAATAATATTAATAATAATAATTTCTCTTGTTCTCGGCTTCCTAGTAGGAAGTTTGCTACAGCAGTCTGTTTTTCTTGCTGCCAGTTTTGGATCCAGAGCTAATTCTATTTTCAGAAAATTACTTACATAACAAGTACTGCAGGAACTTGAACGATGTAGAGAAGAACTTGAGTCACTATTGCTGCCAGACAATGCTTGATCCAGCCCTAGATGATGAACCTGAGAAACGTCCAACTACTCAATCTGGATGAGCAAGAAACATGGTCCTGCTACTCATATTGAATGAGTGTGAGACATTACGTGGTTAAAGGTGTCTGATAGCTATTTGTCAAACGATTGTGAAGTCAGACCAGGTCAGGCAATATTGTTTGTTTGTTAGTTTTTCTTGATAATTGAAAGGCTCGAGAAGTTTATGTGCTTGTTCAGTGAGGCTTGAATCCTACTTCCACAACGTTCTTGAATCATTGTCCAATTATGACTACTATCTACTTACCATTTAAAGATATGCGCACTGTTTCAATTTATATCATGATATTGATGCATGTCTTCCTAGGCTCCTCACTCTCGCCTTTATTTTCCTCAGAAACTTTCAAATACCTCCGCGTCGAATAACTGAAACAACCAAGTCTTGTGATAACGCATGGTCTAATTTAACTTAAGGTCCCGGGTCCTGTAAATAGTAATTCAATTTGTTCCAGATTAAAAGTATTAGGCCAAGTATATATATATATTGAGGAACATTAAAACCATTCTGTTGTCTGAGGAGACTGAATGTCCATAGCTGTTAGGTCCAACAAATCCTTGTTTTTCTTCTCAAATTCCCCAAATTTGAATGTGGAGACCTGAGGACGAAGACCTGCTCTCGAAATTCTCTTTAGTGATAAGAGTATATTCCTCCGTGAAAATTCACTAAGAAAATGAAATGCAATTTATATTTTCCAAACAGCCTCGGGAATCCCCCGGTAAGGTTTTACAATAAGATGAAATTGAAATATTTTGATAAATATGGAAGGGAAAAACAAGAAGATGAATAAAGCAGTAAATGATAATAATAAAAATAATAAAGCCCAAAGCTGGTGACAACTTTGGATTGACTTATTTTTACGAAGATGACGATAATAATAAAGGCCAAAGCTGCTGACGACTGTGGATTGGGTTATCTTTATGAAGATGTTGTGTAGGATGATTATATAAAGACTCACTGATATGTGGAAATAGGATTAGAAAAGCACTAAGTAGTTAGAAGAGGCAGTAGTGCTGGTGCTGGTGCTGGTGCCTGTGAGGTGTATGGGATGGGGTTGAAGAGTATGTCTAAAATCGTCTCCTTGATGATGTTAGATTTAGTGACATTACCAAGGGCATCGCCAAATCTATAACAATAATGCGATGTTCGGGCACACTCCAATACGGCATCGATGAAATACTGTAGATGGTGGCAATCTCCATCTTGTGCTTCTTGGTTTAACCCTTTCCATGCCTCATCTGTCAACTGCCATATTTTTTCTTCTGCTTCTTTCCTAGAAACTCCAGCTTCCTTCATGTAGCATTCGACTGATTTTGGCACATCTCCTCTCTCCATCTCCACCTGCAATACAATAATTAGGTAAACACAGGAAATGAAACTGATCCTAGTCAAGTCATGCCCTGTCTGTGTCTGTGGGCGGGGCGGGGTGGCGTGGTGTGTATATTCATAGTTATTGCTACTGTAGCTACCCACAAATATTTCTCTAATCCTGTCGTCTTAAGTTGTAGATATGTATGTATTTATGGTGTCGAGATCATAGTCTACGGTAACTACCGGGGAAGTGCCGATGTCGTTTGTAGTCCGGACGATGATAGCACACCATTTGACTAGATCATGGTAGTTGAAATAGGCATCGGCAGCCTCCTTGTCCAATGGATTCCTAGTTGGAAAATAAACATGGGACATGGCTATAGGAACTCCAGATGAGGTGAGACCATTGTTGAAATAGTCTTCCATGGATGGTGTGTGGCCACTGTGGTACCATTCTGCCTCTTTGAGGTATGCCCCCACCAGCTCCGACCACTGCGCACTCACGTATGTATATATACGCACTTATTGATCTACATGTATTTACATATATATACATATATATATATATGGTTATTGGAAAACAATGGGAATTAATTCAGTTAGTTACCACTCTCCTAAAATATGGTATGGCATTGAATCCCTGTTTCTTGAGAATATCGTAAGAAGTGTCGATGATAAGGTTGTTCACTGCTATGTAGGCGATTTGCATATAATCTGGAAGATGGTTAATTGAGTCCAAGTCCCACCTTTATGCATCAAATTTTTTTACAAGTTAGTTCAGAGATAGATAGATAGATAGATAGATATGGAGAGAGAGAGAGAGAGATGTGGATCAGTGGCTAACCGTTGAAATGCCTGAGCAAAGAGTTTCAGTTCATCAAAGCTGCCATAGAAGTCGAAAATATCATCTACTGAGGTTATGCAGATGATAGCTTTAGCACCCAAAATCCTTGTATATCCTATGTCTCGAGGCTGCATTACAAGTAGTGACCATATAAAGGATTCAACCAGTCTGTTCCTCACAAATGGTAGCTTTTCAGCGAACCCTAAGTTCTTCCACCACCTATACAGAAGGTACATATGTGTATCATTAGGTTAGGAAAATCAATACTTGAGTTCTTTTTGTTTTATTTATATATTTTTTAAAATCTTGAAATCTATTATCGTTTGAGATGATGATCATTACTTGGAGAAATCTTTGAATTCTTGTTGGTGCATAGCTTGGATGATGTTGTAGTTTAGTACTGCAAATTCATGGACATCTCTATTCATGTCTGCTCTTGTCTCATAGGCTGGGATGAACCATCTTGCGTAGCCTTTTTCGATCGTCCAATGTAGTGGGAGCTCCAGCTCTCGGCGCACCATTTCTGACAGGTGCTGATCATTGATGGTTCCATCTACAAGTTTCTTTTGCAGGAACTTGTTGGCAAATTCTCTGGCTGTATCCAGCGTGGTTTCCCCAGGTTTCGACAGGAAAGAAGCTTCGTAGAGCTGTAGCAAACTTTTGGTGTGGGTGTCGTCATGATCACCAAGCAGGTTTGGATCGAATTCGTCATGATCGCTCGCCTTGAAACAATCAAATACCTCTGCGGATAAGCAGCAGTGTATGAATGAATCGTGATTCAAATGGATCTTGTAGAATTACAATAGAGTAAGTATTTACGTACCTTGAGGAACTGGGAAACTGTATAGCCTGAGGAGCCGGAATTCAAGGGCTGTAGAGTACAAATCCCTGTTTGTGTCGTGATCATCATCACTATTAATTTTGTCGTTTTTTACATATTTGTGGTGATATAGGGAGGTGAGGATGTCGATGATTTGGTCCCGGAAATTTGAGGATATTCCAAGGCGATGTAAGTCATCAATGAATTCCAGTTGGAGTTGTGGAGATCCCTCCAGGTCGAGTAACAGTTGCTTCACTTTCAGCTGCAGCTCAGAGGCTCTTGCCAGGTATCGCTCTTCCTGCAACATGGAATAACTGATAACATGATCTATAGTTACTGTGCTGATTATATTTCATAGCATTATACAGTACAAGGATTTAGTATAATTGAATTCGCAACACAAAGATGTTCTAACGCATTAACATATACAGAATAAAATTGACAGCACATGGTAATACTCTATACATCCATGTATTGTTTGTTCTATTTTCATGTTGCTGATTGGAGCTAATCTCATGCTGATTAGTCCCAATCAGCAATCTAACTAACAGGAAAGAAGATGGATGGATAGTAGTTACAGTGTAGGGGCTGTTCAAGGTAAGAATGGAGTCAAAATCCCATGGGGATTTCTCGTAGTTTCCGGGGCGTCGTGTGTGTGTCTGGTCATCACTTGCTGTTGCTTTGCATCTGGCTTTGAGAAAGGCATTATTAGTAATGCAGCAAGTGAGGCGTGGAGGTTTGAAGTTGGAGAGGTTGTTTATTATTCTTATGTTAGGAGTAGAAGTTGCAGAGATAGGGCAAAGGGTTATGGCATTGGCAGCCATGGTTATGATGGATGAGAATGATGATTCATTCATTCATTCGTACAGACACTAATTAATGATTACTATATATATAGAAGAGTAAGAAGAAGAAGAAGAAGGATATTTTAGTTTAAACGATGGATCATGTGCTGAATTTTGAAATTCTATCATGCTTATATATAATGGCAAATCATGATTAATCGCGGAGTAATATTGAGACGTGCAAGAATACCATCTCCTCCTACTCAAGAACTACCAATATATATATATATATATATATATATATAATATATTAGATACTTATATTCATTTAATTAGGATTCTTATATTTCCTTTGAGGTCAATGATTAATCATGTCATGTGATGCATAATCAACCATTAATATAAGCGCCCTACTTAGTTGTATATATTATAATTTTAACTTCCTTCTTTGACGGATCCACGCCTCTCTGCATACTGATCCAGGACCACACACACCTAAATAATACTTTCCTTCTCACTTTCACTTTGCTTAGTCTTACATAATTTCTCTTTTTTTTTTTTTTAAATATAAATATATATTTTAATTATATTTTAAATTTTATAATTTATAAATTTATTATTTTAATTAAATTATTCAATCATTTTAATTTTAATTTATAACTATATCATAATTATTTTTATTAATATAGTTTTTAATTATTTAATAATTACATTATATCTAAAACTTTCTGTCCCAATTAAAATAGACTAATTAGTTGAGACAGATAATAATAATAATAATAATAATAATAATAATGTCTCTTCGTCCAATAAATTACTTTGGATGGCTAAAAAATATAGTGGTTATAATTGTTGGGTAATGGATTTGATTTGTTTAATTGCATTCAACTATCTATAATCACACACATATATATATAGACTTATATTATTATTTTATGTGAATGATGTTTTTGATGATTTTAAACCATATATATTAAATTTTATAATATATAATAAATTTATATCTAATTAAATTTAATAAATTAAAACGTTTAGAATTGATAATATTTAGTAAATTAAAGTAAAAATATTTTATTTTATTTTATTTAAACATACAAAATTTATGTGTGTTATAATTTAAGTCTATTTAATTTAATTGCAGTTGATTACCAGTAAAATGGAGAGATTATGTGCTAAATTTTTTTAGTAAGCACATCATAAATTGACAGATAACAAAAATAACAAATATATGGGTTTGTTGTTTTCTACGGAACAATTATAAATATTATTTTAAAAATACAATTTATACACATATTAACGCAATATATATAATATACTTCATCAGTTTTTTTATAAATATTATATTTATATTTTGCATCATTATATTCACAAAGGTCAATTTTTCGATATAAAATATTAATATTTTTTTATCTTACCAACACAATTTTATCCCTAATATAAAAAATAAATTCATCTCAAACATGAAGTGAACAAACGGCCAAGCATGGTTGGAACTATAATATTTTTAATATTAAAAATATAATTAACTAAATTAATTTTTATATAATAAAATATATTTTAAATTACTACTATATTTTACTAAAAGTAAAAACATAACTATAATAATAAAAATATATCTAATTGTTATAATGAGTGGACTTTATTCTTATTCATTTATCTTTTTTTTTTTATTATATGATTTTTAGTAATTTACAATATATTACTCGTTACATTTATATTATACAATACTATTTTAATTTTTCTATTTTATTCATACCACCTTAATATAATACAAATATTCTTGCAAAAAGCAAACGAAAGAAGTATATTTTTTTTAAAATCTACACATCCAAATAATAAAGTTTAATTTTATTTTTTTATAATCAAAGAAAAACACAATTTAATGAAAACTGAAAGGATGGTTTCTATATTTGTATTTAAACGGTAATTGATGTAATATTTTAGTAATATATTTGCACGGTAAGAAAAAGTGAAAATAAATTTCAATGCTTCTAGTCAAAAACAAATAAATTGAGAAAAATTTATATAAATATTTTCCAAAGATTGTATCCTGTACGTTTCCAAATATTATTATATATCAGCTAATATAAATATAATTGTTTAATAACAAAACTTTTACTGTATTTTCTGAATTTCATAGCACCAATATAAAAATGACTCAAAAGTAGAAAAAGATACCGATGTTGGATAGAATCCTAGAAAGACAAGTTATATCATATGGGCTGAAAGTAACATCCAATTATATATATATATATATATGCTTAGGCAAATCCATGAGGCTATACTGCATAGTTGTGAAAATTCAGTTATACAGCACACGGTACAAATACAAGTAGTTCCTTCTTACCACAAAAAAAAAAAAATAAAAATAAAAATTGCAGCCTCTCGTTTCCGGCTCCGTTTCTGTACGTCGATTCCGAGTCTGACAGTAGAACCAACAAACAATCATAAGCCACACGGCCTAAAAATCATCTCAATCGCTGACTTGTGCACCCGAATTCGATATATTCATAATAAAGGTGGCGTACCTTCATGATCGTAATATTGAATTACGATAAAAGTAGCTCAGCGACGACTTCTTCTCCGCGTGCTGAGATGTCGTAGCTTTCCTACTGCTGCTTTTGCTTTGATATCTGTCCTATTTTCATCTTCGGAGTCTTCTACAATGAGATCCTCCTCCTTGTTGCTCGAAGATGACAAGCAGATTTCATACCTTTTTTTCTCCGTTTCAGCAACTTTGCGGATGGGTTTCTCCTCATCGTTATGAGCACACCTCAGCTTTGGAAGATGGAAACAACAAGAAGTTTCGGGAGATCCAGTCAAGAGACTACTAGATTTCCGGGTGAGAGGTGTTCTTCCTTCATCATGCTTTCGGGTTTCTAATATGGTCTTGTCGTGTCGTGGAGATTTGTCCCATCTCTTACGTCCTTCCTGTTTTCAAGATAAAAAGGAATAACTACGAATTATTGAATAGTCGCGCATATTAAAAAGTATACGAGCTTGATGGGAGGTATTACCTCCTTTGTAGGGAAGCGCATGTTGCTGAATTCATTAATTGGCACCGACTGATTATGAGGTTGACATCTTTCATCACTCGACACCTTGAATTCATGAAAATCATCCTCTGAGTGAACCTTGACACCAAGTCGGGATTCTTTCAGACCACTTTCCCGGGTGGATTTTGCACTGCCGTCTCCCTTATTTGGAGTGGTGCGAAGATATTTGTCATCACAAGAGGCTTGAGGTTGTTTGAAGGATTTTCTTTCAGCTATTCTGTAAATTAGATTCCTAATTTGATCACGTTTTTTCAGAGAAACCTCGTCGGGATGGAACCAGTCCTTGTGAAGCTGCAGACAATAAATGAAAATGAAAACAAGGGTTGTAATAGCATTTAGAAAGAACTTCAATGCAGAATATTATAAGGATGAATAAATGATCGGGAATGCTAAAGGATGATGCTCATGTTCTTTCCTTAATTCAGGGAATCTTATCGATCAGATTAGAAAGAAGCCATCTCGTAAGGTATGTCCATAATGACTTTCAAAATAAAAAATTAAACAACTTACAAAATCAAATGTAGGTGTTCTCGTGCTTGTAACATTCCCCAGAAATAGTTCGGCATAGTGAAGCAAGAAAAGACCACAATCAGTCAAATTTTCTTGCTGCGGCAGCTGAAACAAAAATTATGCGTCAAAAAAATGGAGAGGAGAAAATTTTTGGTTTGTCTAAAAAGAAATGTAAAAGCAACTAAACAAATTCGAAGATTTAACTAGATTTCATTCCAGTGTTAATTAGTCAAAAATAACTACTCTGATTCGTCTTACGCATATCATCCAGCATTTTCAATTTCAGGCAATATAAATCATTTCAACAGAGGCACCAGCAATCATGATTAAAAAAGGGAACCTGAGGTTGAAAAAACTTCATGTTCCTAAACTTCCATGCAATCTGATTGCCCTGCTTATTCCATTGCTTTTTCCATTCTTCCCACAGATATCTGTCATTTCAAGATAAGATAGTTCATGTAGTACATGTCGTGAATTCACACTATCTAGTCCAGAACATCACCTACCCAACAGCTTACCTTTGGATAACATTCTCGAGCCCTCTATGGCTTCCTCTGATAGAATCCATGTGTATAATGCAAGGTATCTTGGATGAGTTGTTCGTACCAATTTCTGGAAAGAGTTACAAATATTTTAATCAGGGAATCAGCAATATCCAAATAAACATAATCGCTGATATAAAAAATCATGCCTCTTGAATTAGCAACTTCCCCAGGATGGCAGATAACAATCAGACTCCAATGAAGGCTGCCAACGGAAGGAAGAGAAGGGACTTAGAAAAAAATATAAAACATCTTGCCAATTTTTTTGACAGCGGGATGGATTTACCTGTAGTTTATAGGTATAAATATGTGATCTTTTTCAAAAAGGTTCACATGCCTTGTCCATTTACGAACACGTTGAAAAGCCTTTCCCCCATCCCAAGGTCCAGATGTATCTTGACCTATATCCACTAGCTTTTGAAAGAAAAATGTGTTGAAAAAATAGAATCTATGCGACTCCTCTTGTTTGATTTTTGTCAGAAGATATCTGATATTCAACAAAAACTTGTTAGCATACTTCGTTAGATTTGAATAGGAGAGACATTATTTTTGCTAGATTGCAAAACCTTATACATGCTATCTTGAATAAAGATTGGATGCTGTCATTATAAATTATTTAGCTAAAGACAATCAAAGTTGTTAAGAGGTCAATCTCTTATATAAAGGAAAACATCAAGCTTTTAGCGACCTTCAGAACATCCCACTTGAAATAAAAGATCACAAATTTAATTCAACAGCTAAAGATAACAAAACATTTGCACTCCAAAAAGGTTTACTTAATCAAAGCATCAATCCAAGGCACAAAAAATTGGGATTTGGGTTTGGGTATGTGATATAAATGGTGTTTGATATGATTTTTTTTAGGGGGAAAAAAATTGAATAGTGGGGTTGGGACCAACCCCACATCCAAACATATTCAAAAGGTTCAGTTATATATGCTGAAATGGCAATCATAATTTTTAATACTCATGTAATTTGTCTTCGTTTAAAGAATGAGAAGATAAAGAATATGGACAATTAAATCACTTTAAACTAGAAAATCAACTCACATGCTAGGAAGTGCATTAAGAGTTACAAAATAAAACTTGTTGAACCATAGTAGTTATACAAAAAGAATTAACAAAACATATTAACCAAACCTGTTGAACTTACTTCATGTAAAAATCAATTAAAGTATCATTGATGAAGGTTTTTGGTTGTAGTAGCCAAATATCATCTCTACTTATGAAAACAGCATCTGGATCCCCTTCTGGATATACTAGACCTTCAAAGGACTCATCGAAAACACTTGCACTGCAAGTCAGTGGATAAATATTTCAATGCTACATTCAGTAATAAAAAGAGAATTGAGATATCAAGTTCCGAGGTGGGAAGCATCCATCGTCGTACTGTTTCCATATAACAAACCGCGATGGAAATAAAAAAGGTTCAAGCACATGCCAAGCATCAAGACACTTCACATTTTTTTTTCTTGTAATAATAACCATTTTGCACAAAATAATACTTCCAACATTGTGTCCTCAGGATTTGTGGAATTGTTTAGGGAAATGTTTTCATGACCATGAAAAGTGCTAGAGGAGATAACGAACACAAGAATGAAGAAACCATGGGAATATGTAATTTACCACGTAATGGTTCTCCAAGCAGATTTATATTGCAGATCCAACGATTTAATTTCTTCTTGCTTTTTGTACCAGTGGGGAGACTTAAGAACTTCAAATTCAAATTCTTCATAATGTGCATTTGGTGGAAGAGAACTGGGATCCGAGTGCAGATCTGAAAGCATGAGTATATTCAAAAATATATAACCTATCATGTTTACAATTGTTTCCAAAATCTTGATTTGAAATTAATACTATAAGTAATACAAAATCTAACAAAGTGACAAGCATGGGGAACATTCTGGGCAAAGTCTATTAACACATTGATGCTAGTTACGGATCCATGCAGATAATTAGCCGTTCATACTTCATGAAAGTTCATTTATGCACTTCCACCAACAATGTTCACTTTTGATAAGAGTTACGCTAAGATTTAAACAAGCATTTTACCCAGGATACAAAGCATGTTGACCATGCAAAGTAAATCCAGCCAAAAGTATATATAAAAATGAGAGCGCATAACCTAAATCCTCATATCCAGTTTCGGCATCCCTCGTGTTCTTGAGTCTCATGAGTATCTTCACAACATCAGCTCTAGCCTAAAGTAAGCAAATCACAGAAAAGTTATAAATTCCACAATTCTCAAACAGAGATCAGTCAATCGAATTCAAGAAAAAGTTAATCACACTCACACTTTCACACTGCTGACATTCAATTTTCAAAATATCAATGTCAAACCATTCAACACAACACGGTACGCCAGGATCACAATGGGGTGATCTCTCCAGTCTGATGCAGTTTCGAGAAAACATCAAACGCTGTCCATTATAACACCGATTTTTATATATAACATATTTGGGCTCCACAGAAACCACTGGTTCCTGCAAAATAGAACGGACAATTAAAAAGAAACAAGGAAAAGCATACTGATAACACTTTCATGCTGACACAATAGGAGTTCCATGCTTGAACCCCATTAACCCATAAGAAAAACTCATGTTTATACATCTACTTGTTAACTGTGTTCTTTCAGTGCAATAGAAACAAGACTCGAACATTTATGGAGTCCAACTGTGTACAAAAAATAAGAAAGAGCCAGTATCCACTTCATTTAACTCTTTTCTTTAGCACGTGAACTATTGAATGTCATATGTAAGTAAGGCACCTACACAATCATCTGTCTTCGGGAATTTCCCATCATATGAAGATTGTTCTTTAGTTGTGCCTGAAAAAAAGCCAAGATACATGGAGATCAAGCCAAAATACATTGTCATAAGACTAAGATATTGTTTTTCACATGATAAGACCACAACCTTCAGTGTCATCAGCTATATTAGACAACTCCATACATGCATCTTCATCAGAATTTACATAAAGCACCTTATTCTGCATGTAAGGATTACAAACAAATGAAGTATGCTGCGACATCCACTTCCATTGATTAACTTATAAAAAAATAGAGGGTACGCCAAAACATCAATTCACATAAAAGGAAAGGAAAGTAAAATAATGATTAAACTAATTACATGCTTCGGAACAGTTGTATGACCTCCTGAGTTCCTACTTTCCTCGACGGGTGATATTGCAATTGCTCCACAAGAACAATTATTACCCTGAGGCTTTAAGAAAGATAAAAGGCAGTTGATTTGCAGTTGGATAACAATGTGAAAACATGAAAATGTATGCAAAAAGATTGAAAATAACTCCAGCACGTGGCGTTTCACTTACACAATGATATTGCGAAGTCTCTGTGCCACTTGCAACTGCAAAAGTAAATAAATAAATAAATAATGCAATTCAGAATGCCATTTGAAGTTTCGCATAGCAAAGAATATGATGAATACGTTGACAAAGTCAAGTATTTCACTTAATGCATGGAGAACCATATTCAAGTTTAGAATTAATGTACAGACACCATCTATGGTAAGCTCTTCGGAAGAGAAAGGTGCTTAGCCAATTGTAAGAAACACCATGCATTATTACATTGGAGATCATGAATTCATTATAATTCTGCTCATAACAGAGATATTTTATCACTTCATGGCTCACTTATCATTCCCAGGACCAATGATGGACTATACTATAAATTTTTTTACTTGGCATTCTGTTTAAATAGAAAAATTTTCACAGACCAATGGAGTCTCATTTCTAAGACTTGAAGCGTTGCGAACCACAGACGCTATAGATAATCCGGGGCCCACTTATTTATGACAAAATTCTCTTGCTTTGTTTTCAAGTCTTCACTTAAACTATCCTACACACGTCAAACTCGCCCGAAAGCAACACATTCCACGTGTCAGAGTAATTATGAGTCATAGCAGCTCCGGAGAAGCTGGATTCAATCTTTAATCTAATAAATGTCAATCTTTTATCAAATAAATGCCTGTTATAGAAAGCTGTACACTTGATCTAACAAATGCCTCTCCTCCAGAAAGTCATCTAGTTCATTGCACGTAAAATAAATCCATCTTTCGAGAAGCCTGGTATCGATCTTTTATCAAATAAATGCCTCTTATAAAAGGCTGTACATTTTATCTAACAAATGCCTCTCCTCCAGAAAGTCATCTAGTTAGTTGCACGTAAGATGAATCCATCTTTCGAGAAGTTAAATGCATCTTATAGTAGGATCAACATTTTATCAAACAAATGCCTCTCCTCCAAAAGGTCATCTAGTTTGTTTCACGTAAAATAGCATGACAATCTGGAGACAATGTCGATCGGAGCCAAGACATTCAAAACCTAAACAATCCAAAACAAATTTCAAAATCTTCTAATCAAACGGCAAGTTTTAGTATGACTCACAGAAGAACAACCCCAGCATATGAACCATCCTCAAAAACGAAGAATCACGTATACCATTAACAAAAAAAAAAAAAAAAAAAAAAGCATCTCTAACACAACATAATCACGAAGCGTACAGCAACACAATGATCACGCCAACATGGACTTACAGCATTCAAGGAGACGATACTTGTCCGCCGATTGACGATGGTGAGCGGACTTCTTGCTAGGGCTTTTCACCACAAACCTCGCAAGGTTTTTGCGCGATTCGTTCTCGACACGCAAGTCAGCATCGGCGAATTCGAACACGGAGAACTTCCCGACGTCGCCTCCGCCACCTCCATAACTCCTTCCAGCAGCGTCATTACCGCCACCGCCACCGCCCCTGCTATACTTGCTCGAATCCCTCCTCTTCACCATCGTGATCACGAAAATCTCAATCAGTAGAGAACATTTGTGTAATGACACCACCGCTGAATCAGCATAGACAGAGGCACTTAAAATCGGCGCTTAAAGTGGGAATCCTCCCTATTTATCGTAGCTTCATTAAAATCGTGTTTTTATGTTTTCGACGATTTAGTAATTAATTTCAAGAACGCGATTTCTTCATTGTAGCTTTAAAATGAGACAGAAAGCGCTAATACATCTATCTCTATCTATCTGCAAACAACATTAACAAAAGAACTACAAACGAGATGTCCCATGAAGAATGTTTGCAGAGTAATGGAAGTGCAGGAAGCCATGGAAGCTTCATAGCCAAAAACCAAAGCTTGAAATCTGAAAATTAGTTCATTCTGCACCATCAGCACTGGCTGCATTCAGATCCACAGACAAATCCAGCACCTAAACAGAAGAACAGTCATATACACAATATGATACGATTCGATTAAGATTACGATTACGGTTTCGATATTGATGCTGATGCTTACCTTCCCTGTAATTCTTGTGTACATATCCAACACATCCATGACTGTGGACTCAAAGTGTGTAGTGGCGTCGTAGCTCTGCACAAGCAATGAGAATCCATGTTAAGACTACATTGGCACAATTGCATCGTATTTTAAAAAAATATTGCACAAAATCATTCTCTGCAATATTTACGAAAACACGATGGAGTCTAATGCCATGTAAGAATTTAGCCACATTCGATGAGGCATTGAATAGTGTGTGTACCATGGAGATGAAACAGTTGTCATCTTCGCCATTACTATTTGGGACGTATCTGTCGTAGGTTTCATAGAACACTTCATCAACTGGGCCGAGGAGGTCCACTCCCGGCTTCAATTCAGTCTCCGGATTGTCTGTCTCAGCCTCTGCTGAAACGAATGCTATGTATTTTCCATTCGGGGCGACATTGTGCGAGTAAGAACAGCAGAAGAGGTACCTGTCATCGAAAAGCTTATAGTTAGAGAGATATTATATGTATGTGTGTATATATATATATATATGTTTGTGCTAAAAGTATAGCCTTACATATCTGAATTTCGACCAAGCTGCTTCTGTGGGAGAATGACTTGAGCAGAGTGGGAATCATCGGTGTCGGGTATCGGGTGGCTCATGATGCATATGGCACGCGCAACTTTCCCGACCATCTTCACCTGCGATGAGAATTAACCTTGAGACTACATTACTGTTTTATTGTTTCAATTCATTCTCCGGTAAAGGACAGAAGGATACCTTTTCTGATAAATATGATGGATCACAGACGACTTTCTTGCACTTAGCAGTTTCTCCTTCGGATGTGACACCGACTGCTTTTCCATCGCCATCGTATTCCACCTGACGACATTTTTCGACTGGTTAGTTAACTCAGAACAATGTGAGTATGTAGTTAAGATATAACCTTGCATTCAGGCTTGTTTAGCATGTATGTGCCGCCATAAACTGCACTCAGACGCGCAAATGCCTGCGAACCATCGATAAATAATCATCAAGGCTAATAAAACTCATGTGATAAACAGAAGGAATTAAAGAAACAGACCTGAGGCAATTCTCCTAATCCATACAACGGATATATGTACGGCGATCCTGCCTGAAAGCGCGCCAAAGATTCTACGTAAAGCTGTTAAGAGGAAGGAAATGCGCATTACCAACAATTCGAACAAATTTGAGAGCTTAACAAATGACAGACGATCGATCAATGCACAACAAACTCAACCTTTATTCGCCTGATAAATTCCATAGCTGGCTGGTCTAAGTAACTATCGCTGCTATGCAACGCCAAAGCATGACCTATAAAATCAATTGTGTCGGCTTCTAGTCCATATTTTCTGCATAGCAAAAAGTAATGTGAGATATTACATCGAAAGCGCAGTTTCTGTGTCCTGTATTCTACTACATCAATGGCTATGTCGAAACTTAGGAACAAGTAATCAAGAACTAACCCGATGAGTTCTCTTGCGGTGACTGTGCCCAAATCCATCCCTGCATGAGTCTTGGGATCACTTTCATTGAAGTCCTGGACGAAAAGGAAAAACTTTCTAGCACGACGTTTCTCAAGGATCCCCATCAATGGCGACTTAAGCGCCTCGACATCAGTTGCAGGAACTTTGTAAATCTGCAGATCAAATGGAAATGCAAATTAGATTCACAATGTGTCGAGATTGAAAGCAAGCGTGTCGTGCCATGTACCTTTCCTTTGTTGTAGACATAGCTTCCATCAACGGCCTTGAAGTGCAGATACTTTGTAACATCCGTGTGGATCAAAACGCGCACCAACGCCCCATTCGCCATCATAAACTAAAGCAAAAACAACATCATGTTCAACCATTTTAACCTAGAAGATGTGCATAAAGAGATCGGCTATTCTCTTTAGAGTTTTTTCTTTTTTCCAATTCTTTTTATATACAACTTCACATTCACTATAAAAACGTACGTATCAATTTAACGTATAAAACTTCACATCGCACAATTATTTCATCCAAAAACCAAACCGCGAACACTCAAAAAGACGATCATAACCATGTATTGGATGGCATACCTTTGGAATCATGTCGACATTGTAGTCTCGGCTGGAGCCTAAGTTGTCAGGGGCGTCATCGCTGCCCCTGAAACGCTTCCAGAGCTACAAAAGAAACGAAGAAACCAATGCTAAAATAATCCATGGAAAACTTGGAGTTTGCCGTCGATGATTGGATAAACAGCTACGGAAGTAACGAAACATTGGAGTGTTCTAATCAGTACCTGGTTCAAGTGAAGAGAGCACGATTCTCCTCCATAGTACTCGTTTTTGTCCATGTGCAGCACCTGTTCGTCCAAATCATAACGGCTTCGAATTTAGCGATCAATCGTGGAACAACTGAATACAGAAGCTAATGTGAAACGGTTCCAATCCAACAAAGCATTTGGTAGCTAAAGATGGAGGTGAAATGTGAGGGCGATCGATCAATTCGAATTTCACATACGCAATACATTTGTGTGTATGTGTGTGTTTACCTTGAGGCCATCGACAGAGAGGAGGCCACTGAGGATGCACTCCTTGAGGCCCGTTCCCAGAACAATTACGTCGTACTCTTCATCCATGGCTTACCTCGATGGGGCGCAGCGCCGGTGGGTAGCTCCGAAAACAAAAATCCTGAATCGCAGCGGAGGGAGGGAGATGAGAAGATAGCAAAGAAATAGAGATGGAATCGGCAGCGTACGGACGCAGAGTGAACAACGACCCCAAAACCGCGCGATGGGACACGTGTCAATGCGCGAGTCGTCGGCGCAATCTTTCAAGCCTTCTTTCTAGCTGAATTTTACAATTATTATTATTATTATTATTATTATTTTATTTCTATTAACAACCGCTTGCTTATAAAATTTGGATATGAATTTTAAAAAATATTGCAAATACATCAAAATATCTTTATATTTTTTTATAATTTTTTTTATAAAATATTTTTTTATTAGTATTATAAGATATGAGTAAAAATATTTTTATAATTTTTTAAATTTATACTATATTTTGATATAATAATTAATATTCAAATATCAATATACAAAAAGTAAATAAAATCATTAAAGTCGGACGAAAATAGTATAATATTATATTGACTTATCATTGTATAAAGTCAGTCAATAGATAAGGTGAGAATTTTCTTTTATAGCTTGAATGTTTATGATTGTCTTTTGTTTTAATTTGAAATTTGACTGTGAATTAAATTTCAATTTGAATTTAAATCTTATTTCGGTTGCACCTCAAAGTATAATTTTTGTTTACATATTCAAAAACAACATTTTATATACTAATATTATTAAAATATTTTTAATTTTTAGTTAAAAAATTATAAATATAGCATTACACATATAATTAATTTATACATGAAAATTAACTAAAGCAGATCCCATGCTGAACATATAAAATTTAACATGTCAGAAAATTAATCTCAACACTTAATTCCAAAATAATGTTTAAATTGATTTAAATATCAAGTATGTACATGATGAATTTAAAATACACTTGAGTACATTATCCAAATACTAAATCTCCTTTTACTAATTAATAAAATATATTTATTTTTAGTCTATTATAAAATTTAAAAAAACCCATTTAAAAATAAGACGGAAAGAATATTATTTTGATGTATTTTAAATATATAATATATTAAAAAAAAACATGCAGAGTATGTTTGAAATCATAATCAAACAAGTCGCTCAAAAAAAAATTGGGTAAACTGTTTTTTTAGTCTCATAACTGGACCCTTATCATTTTAGTCTCATAGGTGGAGCATGTCGCAAACTAGTCCCATAAGTGAAAAGTTTTCGCTGTTTTAGTCCTTCGGTGCCGGAGACGCGTGGCTCGCCGGAGGCCACGTGTCCGCCAGGTCAGCGACACCTGGCGGACACATGGATTTTATTTTTTATTTTTATTTTTTTAAATTTTTTAAAATTTTTTATTTAGTCTAATTAAAAAAAATTAAAAAGAAATTAAAATAATTATATAAAAAAAAATCCACATGTCTGCCCGGTGTCGCTGACTTGGCGGGACACCTGGCGGACACGTGGTTTCCTGTGAGCCTCGCGGGCGTCTCCGGCGCCGGAGGACTAAAACAACGAAAATTTTTCACTTATAGGACTAGTTTGCGATAAACTCCACTTACTAGACTAAAATGATAAGAGGTTCAGTTACTTGACTAAAAAAATCAATTTACTAAAAAAAAAAAATTGAACAAATTTTTACATGAAGGAAAGACGAATGGGAGGTTATGGACTTATGGCTATTGATTATAGGATTCCCAAGATTAATGATTAAGCATATATAAATAATAAAAAATAGAAAGGTTTGTTTGCTTAAGAATTTTTTTGTTTTATAATTTATATTTTTATCTTTTCACAAAAGTAAATATTTAATATAATATACTCCCCATGTCCTAATAGTTTACTATTTTTGTCCGTTTTAAAATAATAGTTTTATTTTCATAAATAATCATATCACTATAAAATTATCTATAATTTTTCATTTTTATTACATAATTGCCACTGTTTTTTACACTATTACACTCGTAAGGGCAAAAAAAAAATCTTTTATCCATACATTTTACAACTATTAATACAATATCAATATTCTTTAAATCATGTGTCCAATTCATTTATGGGGAGTATTATATTTTTATATTATTTACGCGATTATCCATCTGTATCTCATAGTAAAAAAAAATAAAATAATTGAAGGATAAATAAGAGAAGTTATAAACCAATAATGGAATCCATAAATGAGTTAATGAATGGAATGATTAATGATAGATATAAAAAGAGAGATGCACTGATGAAGCAAAGGTTGAGCAATCCAAATCATTTCCAATTGTATTAATTTCTTTCATTTTCCAAATACTTTTGTTTGTGTTATTTTTCATGAGTTTTTTATTCTACAATTTTTGTTTTTAAGATTTTTTATATCTACTGTACTTTTTTTCTTTCAATTAATTCAAAAAATAACACGTAGGAATTCACCCGAAAATTTTACTAGAATTAGTCCGAGAAACCCTTTTATTCCATCCACCGGCTCAACATTTTGGTAGCCCACCATATATTAGACTTTGGGGTGTGTTTGCTCGGGGGATTGTATTTTAAATATATTGTTCATCTTTATTTTTTTTTTAAAAATATCAAATCAAACACTTATTTTTTATTTTTTAATATTATACTAAAAATTAATTTTACATTCAAATTAATTTTAAAATAGTAATTTGTTTTTTAATAAATTATTATTAAAAATAATAGTATTTTATTAATTAATAAAAGTGTGTAAAATGATTTAATATTTTTTCGCTTAGAAAGTATAAATAAATTAATGATATTTTGTAATTTGTACAAAAATAAAAATACTTTAATATTTATTTATAAAATATTTTTACTGATACTCTTGAGTGAGTGAAAAAAAAATGATAAAAATAGTATTTTGAAATAAGAGAAAAAAAATATTTAGCAAAACAAAAAACGTACAATAGAAATTTACAAATAAAATATATGAAGAAAAACTATAATAAGCGGGCTAAATATTTAAACCATGGTTCCTCCATATTGTTTAGTGTTACTATTTCCATTTCTTTTTTTCTTGATACTTTTTTACTTTGAATAAAAAATATCAATTATTTTATACGTCCTTTGTCTAACCTTATTTGTTCATTATTTTGTTTTTTATAAAAAATAAATAGAGGGAGTATTTTTTTAGACCTAATTTTTGTAAAAACAATTTTTAACATTACTTTTTATTGACTAGAGTTAAAAAAAAAACACAGAAACCAAAAAGCAAAATTGTTATTTTTGCATACACGAACATCCGTAAAAAGAGATGCATGGATAGTCGATATTGTTCTTACATGGTGGATACTAAAAATACATTTAAACAAGCTAAGCCATTTGAGGGTTGCAAACTAGCCCATGTCTTAAGTCTGCAATCAAAGTAAGCTGCAATATCATAATCATCAAGCATCAGTTCATCACTGTCACTTGCCAACTCCATGGATCGACAACGAGCGAGTCCGATGACTCAATTGAAGCGCAAAGATAGACATAAACATATATATATATATATATAAATGCATACCGGAGAAATTATGTGTAATGGCAATAATTTAGGCATACCTTAGCTTGAGAGAAGTGTCGGACAAGTTCCTGTCCTCCTCCGGACAATGGGCAAAGCCGTGGGAAATAGTGGTAGTTGATTCAGTGGAACACCCTTGCTCCATAGCATGATGACCTGTACACTGAATGTTCTGCTTCCAACATTATCAATCTCAGCAAACCGATCAAGAACACGATTGCATATGCCCTGATCAACACAATTTCCAAGCGAAAAAATGTACCTCCACTTGATGCTGCAGTTTCAACCGCGAATTTTCTTCAATTAGGTCTGATTCCTGCATTTGATCACAAAAAGTAGTCATATGTTCGGCGGAAAGGTATAATATGTAATTAATGATGTATTTTTCAGCTCGGTTAAGTTTTTAGGTGAAATGGTCGTTCAACAAAAGGGGATTGATTGATTGATTGATCAAAATGATGTTATAAGGTTTTTGAACTTGCCCTCATCTTCAGCTTGCTGATCTCATTCAAGAGCTTGTCGTTCTGCGAATGCATTCAAGAACAAAACACGTATTCAGATTCGATGGTAAATAGCAGCAGGAAGGTAAGAATGAAATTAAAAGATTAGGACAAGCATGTAACAAACCTTTGTTTTTCCAACGCGAGCCAGTCCTGCCTCGACCATTCTCTCTACCCTCGTCAATTCGTTCAGGCCGAGACCTTGGAGATCTTCTCCCATGAGTTGCCTATATGAATAGGTTTCATTTGTTTTTTCAGTTTCCTATTAAAAATGGTAATACAGAGGTGATTATATACTTCAGCTCAAGGGTCAGGTCACTGAGTTCCTTGCAGACGGTAGCGTGGCTGTGATTGCTCCTTGTCTAAAATGCAAAAGAGAAATTAAAGAAGCTCGTCAGAAATTAACAATCTGCATCAACCACAGCATCTTTTTACATATGAACTTTCATTGAATTGGTGATAATTAGGGAAGAATTAACAATTTTCTACAAGATTTAACTACCTGAATCTGTTTCCCAACTCTATTAGACTTGTCAGCTTGTTGTTTATGCCTTTGCACGAGTTGCTTCATGCTTCAAACATCAAATGGATTTGGAAGACAAAAAAAAAAAAAAAAAAAAAAAAAGACTGTAAGAAACAAGCACAACCACACTTCTTTGCAAAACTTCTGAAAAACAAAGAAAAAACACGTCTTTGCAGTTCTTGTCATATCCGATTCCCCATAGAACAATAAATTCAATAAAATACAACACATACAATAAAATCTTGGATAGTTTTTAGAGTATTCCATTGTTGCATAGGGCACCATCTCAGATTCTGAGCCTCAAGACCCAATGTATGTATGCAATTAATTTTTAATAAAGTAATGTTCTTGGAGAGAGCATACGCAGTAAGCAAGTTTATAAAGTTCATCACTGTTTAGGTAAAAGAAGTGGCCCTCAACGAGAGAGTACATAATATCCAGAGACCTATTACCCATAGTAACACCATTGTTGACTGCTTTGGGACTTCCCGTACAAATGAAATGAAAGCACAACAGCATAAAATCACAGGCAAACCAGTAGAATTGGCTAATGAGAAAGATAATACAAGATCCAGATGAGTTTCCCCAAATTAGGTATTATTCTTTTTCATAAAAATCACACAGTTCGAGATATCTTCAATGCATGTGTAGCTTCTCTCTAGGTATTCTTCCTAACATCAACTGGTTCCAAAAGTTAAAAGCACCAGCAGATTGCAATTTACAACTAACTTGCTCAAAATGAGAGACAAAGATCTAAGCAGAAAATGATATGTGAAAATTAGGGCATGCTTTGGTAAGATGAGCGTACGGTACTTTTTCTGTGCAAAAATTACCTCGAGGAAGAATAGTCGAACAGCTTGCCGGTGGCGGAGAAGACGATGAGAGCAATGTCAGCATCGCATAGAGTGGAAAGTTCTTGAGCCTTCTTGAAAAGCCCTCTCCGCCTCTTCGAGAACGTCACTTGTCTCGCCGTCAAGTTATCGATTTTTTTAATCTGAATTTTTTGCCGCACCATCTCTATTTCCTGCAATCAAACAGATGTGTAATTTCACATCGAGGAAGAAAAAAGGAGCAAGAGAGAAGAGAGAACTGAGAAACCAATTAAAGCGTATCTCCAAAGTACGACACAAAATCCAAACTCAGGAAAACCCTAATTCCCAAAAGATAAACCAAAGCAAAATTGGAAACCACACTGGATGCTGAATCTTTCTAGAAAAATGATGAACAAAAAAAGGGGGAAACAACATGTAGCAAATCGGTTTGGTGCACAAAAATAGCATCTCCCTATGAGAATGCAAGCTCCAGATAAGGAAGCACAGATGACAGACCTAGGTGAGGATCGGATTGGATTATCATCCACGAGCTGAAAAAAACAAGAAAACAACGAATTAACTTTAAACACATATGGATACATACGACATTGAATGGAGCGGAGACGAAGGCACGTCCATCCGTCGTCGTCCACCCATGGATCATGTGGACGACGTAAAAGCAGATTGCAAGTTGGCCAGTTGCTTTGCTTGGTGGGTCAGACGTTATTGACGGAGAAAATTGCAGTTTAATTCTATTATGTACAAAGTAGCACAACAATTCAAAAGATTTTTTATTTTACTTTATTTTTATTTTTATTTTTATTTTTATGTAAAGTTCAAAAAGTTCGATAAATAATGACATTGTGTGTTCGTTTCTATTCATCCAAAATTTTCCCCCCAAAAATATCAAATCAAATATCTATTTTTTATTTTTTATATTATACTAAAAATTAAATTTCCATTCAAAATATCACATCAACACATATTTATATCAATATCATACAATTATTAAAATTCAAAATTTTTACTATTCAAATCCCAATTCAAAATCCAAACCCCAAACAAACACACCCCAAATACTCCTCAGTTGCTCCGCATTTATTTTTGTGTTATTGTAATTAATATTAAAAATATCTTTATATTTGTATAATATTTTTATATAAATATTCTTCTGTTAGTATTATAAGACACTAATTGAAATATTTTTTCAATTTTTTCATAATTTATACTATATTTTGATATAATAATTACCCTTAAAGCCGGACGAAGATAGTATTATATTGTAAAGTATTTGTAATGTTACATATATAGTATAATTACTATAAAAATAGATATAAAAAGGGACATAAGTAGTATAAAAATAATAGACTTACCTAAGTAAATTAATTCTTTTCTAGAAAAACATTCTCTCCGTTCAAATTCAAAGTATCATTTTTACAATTTTTAATTTGTTTCACTTCAAAATATCTATTTTAATTAATCATAACACTAATTTTATAATACTTTTAACTTCTACTTAAATTATAAATATGTCATTATATATATAATTATAAGGTCAAAGACCAAAAATATCGAAACCTTTTGCGCACTTCTACTAAATAATAAAATACTATTATTTTTTAATATGCTAGAACATTCATAGTTCTGCATAATACATATTCCTGTTATTCTAACCTATTTACTTCACTCACAAAAAGTTACTTCTGCGTTTGTTAAGAATAGATTCACTTATGTCCCACAAGTGATGACCCAGTGGTTTAGGAGTTGGACTTGTGATCGTGAGGTTATGAGTTTTACATAATATTAGATTCAGCCGGCTGCGGATTCCCACGTCATAAAAAAAAAAAAAAAAAAAAAAAAAAAAAAACTTGATTGGTTTTTTTCAAATGAAAAATCATATCACAAATTATTATTATTTTTTTTTTATATGAGAACGTCTTTTATAATAATATATATATATATATATAAAAGTAGATAATGATTTACTTCACAAAAATAATCTATTTTTTATAACAAACAAAAAATAAAAATAAATATACTTCATTCTTTATGACATAATGAGTAGCTTTTAGAAGGTAAATTACAATATCTCAAATCTGTTATTATTATTTCTAATATGCGATACTTTAAAGATTCTTTTTTATTTATGTATTATTATTATTATTATTATCATTATTATTTACCTCTCTAAAAATTACTTATAAAAATATACCCAGCAAAAAAATATGGAAAAAAATATTTAATAACAATAGTTAAAAAAAAAAAAAAACTATCAAAATTATACCTGTTGATGTAATTTTTCAACAAAAATAAAGTAAAATTCAAAGATATAGAAAATATCCTTAAACTTGATTAATTAGTACCTGAGATTAGGAATCTCTAAACACTGTATGGTACAGAAAATAAACTGGAAAATAAAAGACTGAAATTTAAAGTGGTGATCCCCAAATCTGACTTTGCTTTGTTGAAGTTGATTGAAGATGCCTTGCCAAATGATGATTCAAACCTTTAAATATTCTCTGGGAAACCGCACCGAAAACCGTCACCCGAACGGTTACAACGTCTCCTTCCCAACCGTCTTCCAACCCCTCTCCTGCTGACACGCGTCCTCAGCAGACCAAAATTATCCCTATATTTCACTCTTTAAGCCGACCACAGACCTTCCGCCCTTTAGGCCCGACTGCCAATCTACAATAGTATGGGTCCGACCGCCAATCCTCCCGACTTGCGAACCAACTGGCCTGAGGTCTTCCCGCCTTGAGGACTTCCCGACCTGAAAACCTTCCGACTTGAGGTCTTTCCGCCTTGAGGACTTCCCGACCTGAAAACCTTCCGACTTGAGGTCTTTCCGTCTTGAGGACCTCCCGACCTGAAAACCTTCCGACTTGAGGTCTTTCCGCCTTGAGGACTTCCCGACCTGAAAACCTTCCGACTTGAGGTCTTTCCGCCTTGAGGTCTTCCCGACCTGAAAACCTTCCGACTTGAGGTCTTTCCGTCTTGAAGACCTTCCGACCTGAGGTCCTTCCGTCTTGAGGTCCTTCCGACCTGAGGACTTTCCTTAGTAATAAACCTATGTCCCTTGATTTCCTCATGGTACCCTTCAGTCAGTTCAATCAACTCTATTGCCAGGCCCATTCTTCTTTTTACCTTGGGCTTTTAACCTAATTCTAAATTTCGTACGTAACAATACCACATTAAAAAAAACATATAAAAATAAAATAAAATGAGTCGGAGCCGGTAGTGTGATGTCACACTATTGGGTGTTTTTGGGAAAGCTAACGGCTTTTTTGACCAACTGATCCTATCAGCTTAGAGTTGGGTAAAATTTATTAATAATTATTGGTTGATACGAAGATTATATTTATGAGAGAGAGTAAATATAAAATAATTATATTATTTGTAATTTAAATAAAAAAAATTAATGATATTTTAATTAGTGTATAATTATTTTAGTATTTGATCTTCGTATACATCACATATGAATTAATTTAAAATCACAAAAACCAAATTTTGTATTTTGTAACAATATTAGTAAAGGTATCCGGCCATCAATATTCAATAGTATACGGTGGAGTATTTTATTTATTTTTATGGATAAATAACTATTTAAACAGTACTATATATGCAAATGTATCTTCATTCGATCGAACATAAATTTTTATAAAAGTAAATAATAATTATTAATTTTTTTATAGTAAAAAATAATACAAAAGTAAAATATTTTTTACTTATTTTTCGATAATATTCTAAAAGAAAAATTAGTATAAATTTCAACAAAGAAGAAAGTAATAAAGTATAATTAAAAATGGAATTAAAGTAACTGACATTTTATAGAGGGGTCAGAGGATCCATAGTGGTACGATGACCCGGTACATTGACGGTGGCGATAAATCTGGTTCTGAGGTCCTGGGCTCACCTAATATATTGACGTTGACAAGGCATTGATAGTGGTACGATGACCCACTAGCTTCAATTCTCGCCTATTCTCGTACGGACGCCTAAACAATAATAATTATAATTCTAATTATAATGTCTCACTTAATTTGTCACTATTTTTATTTTCAATCGCCTAGCGTAATTTTATTTTATTTTTTTGAAAATTTGATTATACACTTTAATCATATTTTAAATTTTAAATTTTATAATATTTTAATCTTAATTAAACTATTTATTTTTTTCATTTTAATATATAATTATTTTTATTAAATAATAATTATTTCTACTAATACACATCTTACTTACCTATTAATTATATTTTACCTAAATTTTCATATTTACAGGAATATGCCTAAAATATATGGGACGAAAAGAGTAATAATAATAATAATACTCTATCAGTCCTCACGTATTATATCATACTTTTCTTATTTTTGTGCATCTTAAACATTAACGCTCTGTTTATATAACACATTTTTCTTCATTTGATACTATTTATTTTTTAAAAAAATATCACATCAAATATATTTTTTCTCTCACAAAATATTAAATCAAATATTAATTTTTTATTTTATTTTATTTTATTTTTCAAACTTTCTAATTTTCAAAACCCTCCAAAAATCCCTATCTAACAAACCTTAAGTTATTTTCTTTTTTGAAAATATATATTATATATTAATAATATTTTAAATTTTAAATTTTATAATTTATAATTTGTAAATTTTTTATTAAATTAATTAGTTATTTAAATCTTAATTACATCATATTGTAATTAATTATTTACCAATAATATTTTTTTTCAAATTCTCCTGTTTACCTAAAATATAACACTATATTAGAAATTGAGAGAGAATAATAGTAATAATAATAATAATACTCCCTCCGCTCAGTTGTAAGGGTGACGTTTGCTTTTTGCACGTAGATTTTTGAATATTAGTATTATATTGGATTGTAGTAAAAATGACAAAAATACCCCTATTAGTATGGTATAATATAAAAGTAATGACATTTGTGTAATATATTGTAAGTTGAAAGGGTATAAGTAGATAGTACAATTATTAAATTAGGAAATGATAACCTTATTTTGGGACAGACGAAAAATGAAAAATGGTAACCTTTCAATTGGACCGAGGGAGTAATAAATATAATGCTTTTTCTATTTCATTTGATTTGTCTATTTTTTTAATTGTCCTTTTATTTTATTTAAGAAAAATATTTATATTTTTTAATTTTATAATTATTAAAAATAATTTTAAATTTATTATTTAAATTTTAATTTATAATTACTTTTCCTAGTTAGTTATTTACTAATTACTTTTTAATTTCTTTTTTAAAGAGATTTTTTAGAATTTTGCAAGAATATGTTCTTATTTTTTATTTTCATTTGTTTCATATAATTTATTTTTATTATTTTTTAAAATATAATTATAAATTTTAATTACATTTTAAATTTTAAATTTTATAAAATACTCATCAAGATTTTGATCCACAATAAGTTTCTATCCAAGTTTCTATCCGCTATTTCTTTTAATTTTAATTAAATTATTTAGTTATTTTTACCTTAATTTATAATAATTTTTATCATACAATAATAATTTTTACTATACATTTTTTAATTACTTACTAATTATATTTTACCTAAATTCTCGTGCTACAGTAATACACTCAAGTTACATGGGACAGAAAGAGTGATACTTTATAGGTTAGTAATTGTATGTGTAATGATATATTTGTAATTTAAATAAAAAATAAATATATTTTGACATTAGTATATAATTATTTTTACTGAAAAAATAAAACATATATTTTTTAGGGGAACGAACGAAAATAGTAGAAATGATTATTTTAATTATGACAAATGGAGTATATTTTATTTAAATGTTCGTATATACAAAACACTAGACATAAATGTTATGTTCTTTTGTGAATTTTACTAAAAAAAAATTATTATTCATATTATTTCCTTAAAAAATATTAAATCAACCAATTATAATTTTATATAATATTATAAATTCATTTTACATTAAAGATATGACATCAAAGCAAAAAAAATCTTAAAATTTTGAGATTGCAGAATTACAGAATTTTAGAAAATGTAGAGTCCAGTTTTAAGCTTTTATATATATATATGATTGTTCAGTACGAGATTATAACATGTAGCTGTTACTTCATTTATTTTATTTGTATTACGTTAACCTCTGCGACTTGTTTAATGTAAAAATAGAGGCTGAACCGCGGTTGGAACTGGAAACCGGTTGTTCGAACCGACGGTTCACGGTTCGTAGAATATTTCCGGTTTGATGGCGAACCGGAGGTTAGAAACCGGCTGTCCATGTCTTCGTCTGCAACCAACTGCTTAATTTATTACGAATTCAACAAGATTGCGGAGATTACGATGAAACAATTCTGTTTAGGGAACATGATGCATTCAGCCCTACCACTTGAGCAATCTTTTCCCCCAAAAATAGTAGGGCACTTCAGCTCCACTTGCTAGAAAACAAGATCTGTTGTAATGGCGGCTTACGGAGTGTTTCAGTCATCGCCCCCGTCCTGTCCGTCTTCTTCGGACCTCTCTCAGATTTCAACTAGAGCCTCCAACGTGAAATTTTATTGCTGATTTGTAATTACGAGCTGCAATTTTTCATGGAGGTTTTTTCAATTTTATTTAATTTTTTCGTGGCAGATCTTCGGCTCCCAGCTGAGATTCCTGGAAATTGAGGCGAGTCACTTGCGAATTTCGGGTTCTTTAAAGTATGCCATTGTCCTATTTTGAAACTTGGCTTGATTTTGGTTGTTAATCACTGGTTTGCCGTTTTGATTGTGATGTATGTGTCGAATAATTCATTGTTGGGAATTTTGCTAATTGCTGTTGGTTAGGAATGGCAAATTTTGATTGATTTTTCTTGTTTTGTTGCATTGATTCTGTTTGATGAAATGCCACAGTGACATTACACTGCTAGATATCTTCAGCTTGTAATAAAACGAGTAATTTGTGATAAAATGATCGATTGGCTGAGCTATGTAGATCATCAATCAAACTGTGAAATTTGAACTTTCTTTGTACGTATTTGTGAAGTTTGAACCTCTCTTGATTAACTTGTCGCCTGCCAAATTATGCTATATGTGTTCTTGATCGTGGTTCATTGCGTAGGTTATGTAATAATGTAATTGAATCCTAATGCACATGCTCTGTTTTTCTATGCGATAATGTCTATAATGTAGAAGAAGTTCGACTGTAAGAGTAAAGGCATCGAGCAGTTCTCGACATGGAGTTCGGAAAGTTATTGATAGCAAGCCCAATGTAGTAGGCTTGACCGACGAGGCATCCAATCATTTCAACGAGTTGAAACTGAGGTTTCTTGGGTTCAAACAAGATGTTTTCTTGTAAGAAAATGTTTTGTTCAAACCAATTATCGTTAGTTCGTGTCATTAGATCGATTGGCAGTGCTAATCTTTTAGTCTAAATGCTTTGCAACTTCTGCAGGAAAAACTTAGATCACTACGAAAGGCTTTCCGAGGCCCAAGCACCGAAGGTTATTTTATTTTTCGTAGTTTGTAAGAAATTTTCGTCGACATTAATGAAATCACGCGAGAAAAATCTGATGTTTTGAAGGACAGTTCATGGTGATTGCTTGTGCAGACTCGCGAGTCTGTCCTTCGAGAATCCTAGGATTTCAACCGGGAGAAGCCTTTGTGATCCGCAATGTGGCGAATCTGGTGCCACCTCACGAGGTGTGTAATAATTAATGTCGAAGCCTGTCTTAACGAAGTTTTTTAGATACAGGTTTTACGACTGCCCTTTCCTTTTTATGCAGAATGGACCTTCGGAGACGAACGCTGCTCTCGAGTTTGCTGTTAACTCTCTTGAAGTAAGTAAATACTTTGCTTCAGATTTCTTACTTGCCTTAGATCTCTTCGAGAAATCACGATCGTTTTTAAACCTGAATCGTAAATTGAGTTCAGGTCGAAAATATACTCGTTGTTGGTCACAGCTGCTGCGGAGGAATTAAAGCCTTGATGAGCATGGAGAGCGACGACGTTACTTCAAGGTTTATTTATTTTTTTTTGTCGATTTTCTCATGAGTTGTTGTGTACGGTCTGTTCTTACATCTTACGTCGTTGTTGTGTTTTTACAGTAGTTTTATTGAAAATTGGGTGGTCGTCGGGAAGCCTGCCCGGGTGAAAACCAAGGCTGCTACTTCAAACCTCGGCTTCGATCAGCAGTGTCGGCATTGCGAGAAGGTGCACTTCCTTTGAGTTCCCTTTTTTTCTTTTTTTGGATTCGATTTATTACTGTTCATATGCATTGAATCTAGTTTGCCACTTTGCGGAGTTTTCGCAAAAATTTCGCTGCCCGGTCAGCGAATCGGGGGATCAAGGGGGGCGAAGTCCCCGTTGCCTAGGGTCCGGGGGCGCTGAGTGGCCCCCGGCTGACGGTATGCAATATTGGGCTTTGGAATTAGTATTGGGCTGAGCCCGGCTGGTGTATTTTCTCGTCGTGAATAAATTGTTTTCCGTTCTTGTCCGTAGATAGCCAACACGTTGTTAGTGAACCATCTAAATCTGTGTCGCATTTACATTTTTTGTTTGTTATTCGATCATTAACCCTAATTCGTCGTAACAATTGCATCAATTCGTCGATGCTTTATGGTGTATTGATTGATTGTCTGCTTGAATTCCGGCCAGGAGTCGATCAACAGGTCGTTGGTGAACCTGTTGACGTATCCGTGGATCGAGGAAAGCGTGATGAGGGGGAAGCTGTCGATCCATGGAGGTTACTATGACTTTATTGATTGCAGCTTCGAGAAATGGACACTCGACTACTGCGGGGGAAGTCGCGATTCGGGTGACGGCGAATACGGTACTAAAAACCGGGAACTATGGACTTGATTTTTGTTCAATAGGCAGGGAAGTTTTGCTTATTACTTATGAACATTGTGTTGTGTTGTGTTCCTCTTGCCTTTGAAACATGAAAGATTCATTACATCATTTCTATGTAATAACTTGCTGACTATACAGAATGGTTGAAGATTCGAAGGGTTTCCGTTGGTAAAACTGGATGTTGTACGAACATTGAACGTTGTTGCGAAATCTTTATTTTTTGTTCTTTGGAAAGATAAAAAAGAAGAATATATATATCAAAATCAGAATACTCACATAAAAAATGGCTCACATTTTGCCTACAAAAATATTTAATTGAGAGAAAAAAAAAAAAAAAAAGTTTTTGATTTGTACAAATTAAAATGGAAATGAGAAAGACGTTTGAATTTACATTATGGCTGCCCAAAATATCGTCTAACCTAGAATCAAGTCGGAAAGGAGGGAGTACTGTTTAATTAAAAATCCAAAAAGGAAGCACTGGTAAACCTTCATGGTTAGATTCAAGCGGAGTATGTTGGTAAGAAACATGGGAACACTCAATTCAAAAGATACAACACACCAGAAGAAGAAGATAGAACACACCTATTTCCCACCAAAACTCACCTATTATTATTATTATTATTTTATCTGGATTTCGAAATTGGTCATCTATAAAAGCAATCCCAAATACACTGAGAATGATCACCATCATTATATCTTCACTACTGTAAATCCTTATCCAATAATTACCATGGCGCAGACCGATTTCCTCTCCCTGGTGCTGTCGTTCCTCCTCATAACCATGGCGGCCGGCGGCGGCGGTGCGATTTTGGCGGATGCACGCAGCCTGGTGGAGCTGAACTTGCCCGACCTGCCCGACCTCCTTCCCGAACTTCCAGAACCGGTGGAGGGGTTGCCTCATCTTCCCGACGGCTTTCCCGAGATCCCGGACCTCCTGCCGTCGTTTCCTCACTTCCCGGAGCTCGCTAAGGCTAATCCCGCCGCCGCCACATCGGCGGACACTCGGAAAGAGGCTTCTCAGTCCGCTGCCGCCGCCGCCGCCGCCACCCCTTGAGATCAATTTTTAATTAATTCATAATTGAGCCGCCTGCCGACCGGCGACGGCGGCGTTATATACAGATATATATATATATGTATGTATGTGTATGTGCGTATTGTACGTTTAGGCGTGCGTGGTGATGGATGGGTTTACACTTTACATGCAGTAATTCGTTTGCGGAGTTTGTCCGAAAAACTATCTTATACATGTGTAATGTAAAATTGAAATTAATATATACTCCCACCGTCACCGTCAAACTAAATTTACTTTTATTTTTCTTTTTTATATCCATTAAATTCACATTTAATTATTATCTTTCATTCAACACTTATATATTTATTACATTCTCTCTCCTTATTATTTTTTATTTATTTATAACTTACTTTTAAAAATATTTTAAATTATTTTTTTACTTTTATCACTTTTTCAATAAAATATACTCTATCCATCCGTTCAAATACAATAGTCTTATTTATCATTTTTGTCCGTCTCAGAACAATAGTCTAATTTCCATAAATAATCATATCACCATAAAAATTATACTTACTTTTCCATTATTATTACACAATTGCCACTACTTTTTACACTAATATACTCACAAGGGCAAAAAAGTCATTTATCGTTACTTTTTACCAATTACCAGTATAATATCAATATTCCTTAAATCTCGTGCCCAACCTAACAAGACTTTACTTTTGGGACGGAGGGAGTACATATTTTTTTAATTTCTGTGCCAAACTCAAATATTTTAATTTTTGCGGATGAAAAAAATACTATATTGAATGATGTATAAAATATGTTATATATATATACACACTTTTGTTTTGTTTGAAAGATTTTGGTGGACTTCTACTATTTACAAAATTTTATCCCCCAAAAAATATCAAAACAAACACTTATTTTTATTTTTTATATTATACTAAAAATCAATTTTACATTCAAAATATCACATGAATTCATATTTATATCACATCATACAACTATTTCAATTCAAATTTTTTACTATTCATATCTCAATCTAAAATCCAAACCCCATACAAACACACTTAAATATTAGCATGATATTTTGTTCATTTTTTTTATTTTTACCTCATTTTCCTTTCATGTTCCGGATATATCATATCAAATGTTATTTTTATAGAAAACTCAAGCTCAATGTAGGCATAAAAGAAAAGCATTTGATTCATATAATAAACATTAAATAGAGTATTAAAATTATTGTAGAGATACCATAAAAAACTAATTGTACTCTTATTTTTTAATAATAAAAAAATTAAATTTGAATAATTGGTTTATATGATATTTTCCCTATTCATTTTAAAAATATATATTTACTTTTTTGTGCAAAATGTTAATGATAACAATAGTAAAATATTTATAATGAACAGTTAAAAACAGTACTTTTTCCGTCTCATATACCGTGTCTGCTAAACTGTAGACACGGTATTTTAGGAGGGATATAATTAGTAGATAATTAAAAATGTATTAGTGAAAATAATTATCCTATAATATAAATAACTATAAATTAAGATTAAGATAATTAATTAGTTTAATTAAAATTTTATAAAATAAATTAAAAAAGTTAAAATGAGATTAAAATGTGTAATAATTTTTCAGAAAAGAAAAGTGACATGGAATGTGGGACGAACAGAAACGACAACGTGGATATGATATATGGAAGGGAGGGAGTATTATTTTGTGTAAAAACAATAATGTGAGGGTAAATAAGATATATTTATAAAATTATAATGAATAATTAAAAATAATATTGATTTGTGTAAAAACAATAATGTGAGGATAAATAAGAGATATTTGTAAATATAAGTGGAATCCATAATTATTAAAAAAATAATTACTTTTTAATCAAACAATAATAATAAAAAAAAATGATATATACTTTGTGAATAAATAGATAATATTAAATAAGTATTAATTTTGAATACAAAATTAACTTTTAATATGATACTTATTAAAAAAATTTAATTTAACTTGTTAGGGAGAAAAATTGGTGAACACTGGGTGTGTTTGTGGGTGGGTTTGGTTTTTAAGTTTGGATTTTAATAATAAAAAATTGAATTTGAATAATTGTTTGATGTAATATAAATAAATATATGTGATATTTTGAATATAAAATAGATTTGTAGTACAATATATATATAAAAAAAAAATAATTATTTAATTTGATAATAAAACTCATAAAAGAACACAATCAAATTTATATTGTACATATCACATATATTTCATTATATATACATATAATCCATCTAAAAAGCATCAAGAATTTTAAATTTATAATCTTACAATAATATATTCACTATCCACGGGCATGTGCTCTCACTGTTCTAGTGCAATATTTTTTTTTTGTATGAAAATTTAGATGGATGTGTAGGATAAAAATTAAATATATTTAATTATTTTATATTATAAAAATATTGCATGATATTTGAGATAAAAAAAAAAAATTGTATAATTGAACCAGACAAAAACAAATTTTACAGAAGGGAGTAGTTAATAATGTTTTTTTTTTTTTTTTTAAAAAAAATTTAACAATTTAAAATAAAAAGTATATAATCCCAGCTTGAAGCTGGTCGGGTCAGGTGATCCGGACCCGGCCCATTAGTAGTTTACTTAGCCCAATTAATCAATATTATTGGGCTATTTAAATTGAAATATGTAGTGGGCTGATTGTATGTTGCGTCCAATGAGTAATTTTTAGGCCCATTTAAAATTTTGTATAAATAAACGGGAAGAAGCGAAGGGAGGAGCGAAGAAAAGGAAAGAGGAAGATACGAAAGAGTAGAAGAATATTGGGAGGAAGGAAGGAGGGAGGGAAAGTATGGCGACATGGGACGATGTTAGAAGTGGAGATGCCACTTCCGGGGCCGTGGAAGCGGGCGTCAACGTCGGTATGTGCTAATTTCTTAAACCCCGGTCGCAATTAGGGTTTCTTTTCACGTGCGCTCAAAGGGGAGGGCTTTTGTACTGTATTGGGGGTTATTGGGGACGCTTCGGGAACTTTTTGGGTGTGGAAATTATTGTATTTTGGGTTGACAGATGAGGAGGAGGAAGAGGAGGAGGAAGAGGAGGAGGAGGCTGAAGGGGGCAACCATCTTCTCGGATTCATGTTTGGAAACGTGGATAACTCTGGTGATCTTGATGTCGACTATCTTGATGAGGTGATGTGATTGTTGAATTTCTTGGTGGTTGGGAAACTTGAATTGGTTCAATTAATTTGCATCTTGTCTGTGCTCTGTGAGTGTCAGCATGTGGTGGGTGTATTTTATCTTTCAAAATTTTGGGATTGGGGGTAAAATGGAATGCCATGAATCGGGGGCGACTTTTTCTTGGTTGAAGTCTGACTTGGCAAGGGCACTGATGAGATTGCTTGATCTGTGTTATAGAAAAGGAGACGAACAAGAAGTTAGAAAAATTTAACTGTTAAAGGAAGTTATTTGGTTGAGAAATATATTTCTTGTGTCCTACATAAGGATAACAGTGAGCAGATTACAACTTAAATTAGTTAACGTGATGTTGTAGTTTTGGAAGTTCAATTTATGATCTATTTATATCAGACACAGTATGTATTTCGGTGGATAAGATATAGGCTGCCTTTTAGTTTTGAGTCCTCGCTCTTAAAGGAGCTGAGCAGAAAGCATCTAATCTAAATCTAAAGGATCGAAATATAGAGATTCAATGAATGGTGTAATGCTATTTTTGTTATTCTGAAAATCATTCTAACTGTTGTGATATCTCAACTTTTAGTTATTATTTTGGATTTAATACGATTCATCTGCTGTGTGAGATTTGTCCTCTTCCATCTCGTTCATATTATTACACGTGGCCAAAGGTTAGTTCTTAATCTTTAAATATGGGAAAGGGAAATTGAATGGTAATTTCTGCACTTTTAATGTGGACGCATTAGAATTTTCGTGATCTGGGGGCCGTGAAAGTTGGCTTAGTTTGTCTCAGAGTAGCACTAACTAACTTGGGTTCCTTTTATTTTTTGATCGGAACTTGGTTTCCTTTTTCTTTATATGTTTGATGGAGGGTAGAAGTTGAGAACGTTTATAGGTTTCGACTAATACAACAACACTTTGCTTTTGGGGGCCACTCATGGGAATCTCTACTTTGAGCTTTTCGATCTCATTAACCTCATGAAAATGTAACAGGTAGTTTGCATGGTGTAATAACAAATCTGTGGAATGGTATTACATGCCATTCATCAGAAATGGTTAGTTATCATACATATACAAATTAACTAACTAGGAAATAATTATAACTGAAAATCTCCTTTAGAAATTCATCCATTGTCAGAGGCATTGGTGGATGCATAGTGATTAAGGCACCTGTTTGTATGCTGCTCGTTCTTGCAAGTCACTTTTGAAGTTTTAGGTGAACAAGAGGGATTGCTTGATAGATGTTTTTGGACCCTGTTTTGAGGCTGCTACTGATATTCATTCTTCTGCTCTGAGTGATCTCTGTATCAATCTCCTAACCCACTATGTACATAATGTGCATAATTCTGGAGATTGTGAGACTCTCTATCTTAAATTCTTAACCCCTACTTAGTTTAACCGTTAAATATTCAGTTCACCTTAAATCACCTCCGATAAATCTTACCTAACAATATGCAGTAAGCTGCTAATATGGCTTCCTAACTGCAAGGTCTCTTTCTTGCCGTTCCCTGATTCAGTTTTTAGGGATGTTCCCCTGCATTTTTGTGAAGGAATTCTGCATGTCATGGGCAATGGTTATCTTGTTTGTGGCCTGTTTGACATTGTCATGTTCAATTGCTGTATGCTCATTTACTAATGGTGCATTTGCTTGTAATGGTCTATGTATGATTGTTAATCGTAGTTACAATATAATGAGTTATTGATGAGGGTTTCCATTTTTGGGTAGTATTTCTTTCTAACATTTGAGGCCATGGGAATGCAGATAGTATTTATGCATATCAGTTATTGCTTCCTCCCTAATCCTCTTTTACTTGATTTGGTCTGTTTTTTAGCAGTCATTCTGAAGTATTACATCTTTGCAGGATGCAAAGGAGCATCTCTCTGCCTTGGCTGATAAACTTGGCCCATCCCTGACAGATATAGATGTATGGGGTCTCAACTAAATGTTTAATACTATAGCTAATAGCACATCGATTGTTTTATTCTGTGATATCATAGATCTGCTATTTTTTGTAATAATTACATGTTCTCTTTCTGAGTTTCAGCTCTCCATAAAATCACCACAGACACCATCTGATGCTACAGATCAAGGTGATGATGCTACCAGGGAACACTATTTCATACACTTTATGAATTTGTTAGTATTTTATTCCTCTCTTATAGCATGTTGCTTTGAATGACATATATATATATTTTTATTTTGTCACTGTTATTTTTCTTCTGGAGCAGTATACTGTTAGAACCTGAATTCTATATTTCAGTGTTGCAGATATGAATTTCAATATGCTGCTAATGTTACTGATATTCTTGTTATTGATGTTGTTGTTGGATAATACAAATTTGCTGGAATATTTTATTTAGAAGTAGATTTTGTGCAAAGACTAGGTCATCCCAACTCTGGTAGAGTAGTAACTGATATGAGTTTGATTTGATTCAGTTGGTGGTTCATGACACATAAGTTGAAGATTATAAATTAATATTTAACTGGGCCAGATATGAAATTGGAGTTTGGATGACGATATCTGGTAATATCATATTTGAAGCAGCTTCAGCTCATCAGCTGCACACATAGAATATAAATTGCATGGAGTGGTTTAGGTATTCACGATGAATAAAGTAGATGTATGAAGCCTGAACACATTACATGGCTTAGGTCATCAGCTGCACTCATGAAACATATAATGCAATGGTGTAGGTATTCCTAATGAATAAAGTAGTTTTATGAAGCCTTAACATTGTACATGGCTTCAGATCATCAGCTGCACGCATAAAACATAATGGTGTTGGTATTCCTGATAAATAAAGTAACTTTATGAAACCTGAACATTATACGTGGATAGGAATTGGGTGAGACTGATGCATAGCAAGGTTATGCTTGTGCGAAAATGATGTTTTGGTGAGATCAGTTCAACCACCGCTGTTTTTATATGGTAAAAGGAGGAAATTCCTGATGAGTATCAAACTGGGGGTGCTGATATAAAGTTAATATTCCAAAACCTGCAAAGGCTGTTTGTTTTACGCATGCTGAATTTGATAGTACTGAACATACTGACTTATATTCTTCGATGGTTTCATGTTGAGATTTCAGCTATTGAGTGGAAAATGTTTATATAATTCAATAGACTCAAATAATTATTCTCAATAAACTCCTTGTTTGTTCATTATCACCTCTATTGAAGTATCAGTCTAATCATTTTTGCATATCTGAGTGTGGTATAATGTTTTATCTTAAATTGTCTATATGCTAGGAATTTATTCATTTTTAATCTGTTACAATTATTCAGTACAATTTAACTAATGTATAAAGTGATCATAATTTAGGGATCATCGTTTCCTTGTTTCCGTGCATGTTAACATAAATCTTTGAATTTGGGTCGAAGTTATTTCTCTACTGTGTTATCTCCATGTGCTTTAGCAATTCAGTTATCAAATGGCATGTGGTTCTAATTCAGAATTGTTTCCCTTTTTTCTTATTTACTCTCCTTGCAAACTAGATTATGACAGGAAGGCAGAAAATGCTGTTGATTATGAAGATATTGATGAGCAATATGATGGACCGGAAGTTGAAACTGCCACTGAAGAAGATTTTTTGTTGCCAAAAAAGGATTTTTTCTCTAACCAAGTTCCCGTAACTTCTTTGGAGAATACAACTTCTGTGTTTGATGATGAAAATTATGATGAAGAAGATGATGATTTGGAAAAGCAGAACACATTGGTGGAAGGCAATGTTGAGGCTCAGCAGTTCTCTCCATCAGGTTCCCTTGACTTCCAAATGTTTTGTATGCTGTAGTCACACTTTCTATATTTTTGCGAACTCTTGGTCTGATAAGGATGTTACAAGCCTCTCATGGCATATCTTATCCTGGAGTTAATATATGCAATCCGGTAATGCTTATTCAATTTAAAAGTTTGATTTGTCTAGCAAAATTTCAGGAATTAATATCTTATGTGGCCCCCCTTGTCTAAGCCTTCATTTGAGTTGATTATTAGTGTGATAATAACAATTTGACTAATGGACTCCCACAATTTTCCACCCAATAACACATAAAGGAAGGATTCCAAGTTTATCTGTGCCTGTGATGCAGTCTTAATATCCCAGAGCCCCTTTTCAGACCTTTAGTTTTGATTGGCATGTATGAAGTGTTTGATGGTGATGGTTTTCATGGAAGAAGGCAGAAGTGGAAAGGAGCTATAGTGGAGGATGTCTGTAGACTCTTGTAAAAATTACAGTCTTGTTCACATGAACTACCAGGAAAATGAAGAGTGACTGATAAAACTGATATATTTTGATATTCATTACATATTTAAGCATTATGTCAATTGCAAAGCATTTATCATTTAAGAAAATCAAGAGATCGCTTTCAAACACCTCTTATTTTTGATATATGTGCAATGTTAATCCATAATGCTTGTGTTTCTAATATACTCTACATTATCAGGTGAGCAAAATTACAGTCACGAAGTGCTTTCTCAGGAGGCAAGTCTTCCAGATGATTCACACACCCTTGAAATGGAAAAATCAGATACATTTTACTCTGAGGAGGTTAGAAATTTGTATTATGCTACTGGATCCATGTCAAGGATCTCTCTTAAAGTGATATTATTCATTTCCCTTTTCCATCGATATTATTCTTATGTGATCTGATGTACTATCTTTTTTAAAACTTGTAAAGTTATGGCCATGCTATAAATATTCCATAGTTAGCTAACTCTCTGTGTTAATCTATACTTAATACGAATGGAGGTTAAGAATTGAGGTTGGGCTATACCACAAAATTGTGACCATGCGAACAACCCAATACCTTTTCCTTTGAACTGTAGTTATATATTTTGACAATGATTATTATGGAAAATTTGTTTCATAGATATGGTTAGATTTAGTAGTAATTGATAATCTTTAGTCATATGTTAGATGCATACGAACATGCACTTCTATTTGTAATGCTATGGCCTATGTATTGTACAGCTTTCTCTAGAATGCTATAGTTTTAAAAAAGTTGTCATTGATCTTTTTAAGTATCGATAGTACTATGATGAAGAGCTGATTTTTGTGCTCTTAGAAGGTTTAAAGGTTAACAAAGTCTTTGATTGCTTGTTATGATATGAAGCCCCTCACATTTAGTGATTCGAGGTGCATTCATTGCCGTTTCATGCAAATGATGATGAGATGCTGTAGCTTGCAAAACATACATTTATTTATTTTTATTTATGTTTGAGGTGTTCTAAGTGTTTTATTTGTTGATTTGAATACTGTTGATTTTTTTTGAAATTTATAGTTTATCCTATCTGAGCTTTTATAAAATGATTTGATATAAAGTTGATGTTCATTTTAGTGTGTAGGCTACATGCTTTGTGAATATCAGGCATGAACATTTATTCATATTTCTATATGATTATGTGATTTACTAAGTTGATCCTTTTGTAAATAAGTAGGAAGTTTCAAGTTCTTCAGAAGAATCACTGGGAGATGATATGTCTTCATTGCTTCCTGTTCTATATGTGGAAGATGGAAAGGCAGTCTTACGATTTTCTGAAATTTTTGGTGTTCATGAACCATTGCAAAAGACAGTGAAAAGAGAATGTCGATATGTAATACCTAAAGGTGTGTATAGTTTTGTTTTAGTGTTCATGACATTTTCTTTGTCGTGTCCTTGTAATCAATGCATCAATAGCAAGTTATAGAAAATATTTTAGTTTGTACATCTCTATCCTTTGTTCAATTTTCTTTTGGGATGTTTGGCAAATCTTTCTCAATTCTATCTGCCAACTTAGATATTACATACACACATCTACATTTTACTATCTATAGCATTCTGAAGAAACAAATGTTGTTTCCATCTGATAGAGAAATACAAGTCCATGGATGCTTCTGACGTTTTTGAAGAGGATGAAGAGAAATTTATGAAAGCACCCTGTCAAGATTTTTCCTGGATGAAACTATTTCATAGAAAGAGTGATATTCTCAATTTGGGTGTTGAAGGTGATGTGATGAAGTCTGGAAATGTTCAGGAATCAAGAAACATGTCTTTGGGGGTTGCTGACAATCAAAAGGATACATTTATTTTGGCTGAACCCATGAAAGATGATCCATTAGCTTCTACTTTCTCAGGATGGAACCCACTAGCCTCACACAAGTTTTATCCCCTGGATCAGGAAGATTGGGAAGATAGAATTGTTTGGCATAACTCTCCCACTAATGTGCTTGCTGAGGGCTATGAACTGTCTGGACTTGATTCTGACACATTTGTTGATAAGGAAAGCGATTTGAAAGTTGAAGTGCAAACTCTCAACCGAGAAATCCAAAGTGAACCTAATCATAAGGATCGAACTCTATTTCTCTGCAATGGTCCCATTTCAGTGGAGTCTTTTGGCTCAAGTGAATATTCCAAGTGTACAAACCATTCAAGTTCTCAATTTTCTGAGATAAGTCATCCCCAACTGCTAAGGTTAGAATCTCAGTTAGACAAATCTAATCCAAACTCTGAAGGTGTAAAAGATGATGCTGCCAGAGGAATGCAGGGTAGTGATGTTACAAGACGTTTTAGTGAGCTAACCCTACAAAACAAGGATATAATTGAAGGATCTTGGTTGGATAATATTGTTTGGGATCCAAATCAATCTATGGCAAAGCCAAAACTGATTCTTGATCTTCAGGATGAGCAGATGCTTTTTGAACTTTCAGATGCTAAGGATGATAAACACCTGCAGCTTCATGCAGGCGCCATGATTATGGCTCGAGCTCTACATCCCAACAGTGGGGATTCAGTGGAGCCGCACAACCATGGAATTCAATCTGCAGGGCGTTTCAATATCTCCAATGACAAATTTTATTCAAGCAGGAAATCCTCTCAGCAGCTGAGGTCTCACACCAAAAAACGGACCTTTCATGGGCTCAAAGTTTTGCACTCAGTACCAGCACTTAAGCTGCAGACAATGAAAGCTAAATTAAGCAAGTAGGGACTCATTATCTTTTGATTCTTTGCATTTTCAATGTTCTTTAGTCGTTCAACACTACAGACATTAAGTCCACATTATTTTAGCTTGATGTCAGTCATCCATGAGACTAATTGCACTAGATCAGTATTAACCTGACACGGAGTGGCATGTTAATCTTTTCTATAAAAATACCTAGAATGTTGTAGTACTTGACTACTTGTTTAACAACACATTTTCTTTTAGTAATGTGTGCACTGTGTTCCATTAAGTATATGTTGGTTCTTCATCTGAAGTTCCTATTATGAATGCAATCCAATTAATTCCTGAACATTAGCTACATGTCCTTTTCATTCTTCCTCTTTAATCACATACCAGTGACCCACAGATAGTGATGTGTGCTATTCCTTGACAGTTAGGAGTGTAGCATGACCTGATATTTAGTTAATTTTTGGGTAAAATACAAATGTTAATTTTGGCTTAGTTCTCTGTCCCATGTTACTTGGAATATATTTTATTTTTGATCTATTATGGCAACATTTAGTCACTTTGTTTATTCTACTACTCTCTGTTTCTTTACTTCTGTTCTATTTGTGAAGCAATTGCTTTTTTGCAGCAAAGATGTTGCTAATTTTCATCGGCCAAAAGCTTTGTGGTACCCCCATGATATTGAAGTTCCATTTAAGGAGCAAGGGAAACTAGCCACACAGGGACCAATGAAGATCATTATGAAGAGTTTGGGTGGTAAAGGCAGTAAGCTTCATGTGGATGCTGAAGAAACCATCTCCTCTGTAAAGGCTAAAGCTTCAAAAAAGCTAGGTTGGATTTTCTAATACTGCAATGTCTTTTTGGGCATAATACTATTCTAAAATGTTAGACTGAATGCATGTTTTTATTTCACCATCATTGAATTCCTAGAAACATTACTGTTCTCTTATGTAGATTTCAAAGTAACGGAGCCAGTGAAGATATTTTATTCTGGGAGGGAGCTTGAAGATGACAAGTCTCTTGCTGAACAAAATGTTCTTCCAAACTCTGTGTTGCACCTAATTAGGACAAAGATACATCTTTTGCCTCGTGCGCAAAAGCTGCCTGGAGAGAACAAGTCCCTGCGCCCGCCTGGGGCATTCAAGAAGAAATCTGATCTTTCAGTAAAGGATGGCCATGTTTTCTTGATGGAGTAAGTTGCTTGCTATCTTTTTATAGTCTGTTTATGTTTCAGCAAATTCCTGTCACATGTGTTCAATTATTATCATTTTCTCAGTTCTTTTCTAGCTCCTTCACAGAACATTGTTGAATAATTTTTTGAAGGCAGTAGCTGTGGTATTTGGGGATGTTTGTAGTAGACTTAATCTAGAATAGAGCAATATGTTTTGACTGTGATCCATTTTTGTATTGGTTTAAAATTGTTTGATTATGATCATTTTGGTACCTATTTGTTTGTTAATACAAAATGGTGTTCAATTCAAAGTTATGTCTTTGGCTGTGACATTCTCCCACCAAATCTATTTTGTCTTTCTTGTAAATAATTCAAGTAGACATTGTAACTGCAGTTTGATTCAAATTCAGGTACTGTGAGGAAAGACCTTTACTTCTTGCCAATGCTGGAATGGGTGCAAGAATATGTACATATTACCAAAAATCGGCACCAAACGATCAAATGGGAAACTTGTTGCGGAATGGAAATAATGGTTTTGGGAGTGTTATTATTCTTGATCCCGCCGATAAATCTCCTTTCCTTGGAGATATAAAGCCTGGCACCAGCCAATCAAGCCTTGAAACCAACATGTTTAGAGCTCCCATATTTCAACATAAAGTGCCGTCTACTGATTATTTATTGGTGAGGTCTTCAAAGGGCAAGCTGTCTATCAGACGCATTGACAGGGTTAATGTTGTTGGACAACAGGTAATTCTTACCTTCTTTGTTAAATTCTGTTCTTTGTTGTTTTCTAAAGCTTCTGGTTTATTCTAAGGAGGGTATTTTCCAGTTGAATTGCTCTATTGGATGATTACTTTGATCCACAATGAGCTACTAAAGGCTAAAATAATTCTTGTTTTCTTGCTTGGAAAACTTGGAATAAGAGGGAAATAAATTTATGACTGGTTATTCTTCCTGTGTCACTGGCTGGTTCCAGGTTCAATTGGGTTTCTTGTAAATAGACACATTTCTCCAAATTTTCTTTGAATACTCACGGAATCCTCTGATAAACCTATATTGAAACAACTAATGGCTGTTTGTGTATCACCAGATTGGTTGCATGCTTTAAGACTTAACACAGATGAATTTTTGTCTTTCAGTCCGAAGCTTCCATTACTTACATTAGTTAATATTGCTTAAACCAGCACACATATTACTGTTTCTTCCGATATCATTATTCACACTCTCAACAATATTCACTTTGGCACCACTACCGATAATTACAATTATCCACACAAATCTTCAATTAATGATAGAATGATTAAATGCTACCATTTATCTACTGCCTGCCTTTTGGTAGTTGCTTCAATTTGTGCTGGTTTTTTACCCGAGTTTATTATGGAGGACCGCTTTTCAGCATTCACATTTCACTGGGATGCGCTCCCAATTCTTTTCCATAAGTAACAACTTCAAAATGCTTGGAAGCAGCTTCGTAAACACTGATTTTACCAGGAAACTCTGATCTTTTGATGGAATCCTCAGTGTGCATAAGCTGACCATGTTACTTAATTATCTCATGGTAGAATCTGATGGCCAGTCTTATTCAGATGGTAATGGTTATTGGTTGGATAACATTCTGTGATACATCTGTGCTAGCTACTGTGATGTTTTTAAAGTGGTTGATCCAGTATCTTTTTACTTCAGTTCCTATCATGAGTCAGTTTTATCCTACAAGTTTTTCTTTTCTGTTCTTTCTCTAATTTAAGAAATTAATTTTAAGCGGTCGTCTAATTTTGATGAATGATTTCCACTTTATCATGATCTTGCTAATCCTTTTGTATGTAGTTATATGAATGATTGACATGGTATCTGCTATAACTTGTTGTCTCATCATGTAATGTAGGAGCCTCATATTGAGGTAATGTCTCCTGGTTCCAAAGGTATCCAATTCTACATCATGAACAGGCTATTGGTATACATGTATCGTGAGTTTCGTGCAGCAGAAAAGCGTGGTTTGCGTCCCTCTATTCGTGCTGATGAGTTGTTCTCACAGTTTCCTAGTTTATCTGAGTCATTTCTTCGGAAGAGGCTGAAGAATTGTGCTGATTTACAGGTTCTGATCTTACCTCAACTTTCCTTGGCCTTGCCAAAACTCACATAATGTGGGCACAATAGCTGATACTGTGTAATAGCAAGAATTCTGACAAATTACTCTTGGAGGATTAATACTAGATAAAATGACTATAAATTGAGCAAGAAAATATTCCAAAAGAGTGCATGGTTTTTTTAGTTGCTTTGACATCTATGTATATATATATTTAATTTGCTTCAATCTTCTTTTGCATTTACTAGAGAGGGCCAACGGGGCATTTTATTTGGGTCATGAAACGCAACTTCCGCATTCCTTCAGAGGAAGAACTAAGACGGATGGTGACACCTGAAAATGTGAGTATGCGCAGTGTGTACTTATGTACAGTTTATGCTTTTTTTGATTGCCACCTTTCAGATTTTGGTGTTTATGTTCTTATACTAGTATTTGCTTCATAAGGAGAATGATCTGTTTATTGTTAGTTTTATGTTGCCATAAGGGATGGAATGGTTGTCTGTCATCTTTTCCTTACACCTCCAATTATAGTTACTGATGGGTGTAGAATCTATATAATTATCGTTCAAGGACATTATCTAGTTTCCTCTTCATACATTTTAGTTACAGATTTGTTGGAAATGCTTTAGAAGGGTATGGGGGAACTAATGTAATAGTTCAAACTTATTTGGTATAGCTGGGCTGGCCATATGGAGCATGAAGAATGGATTTTTTAAAAGATTGTTTATATTTCCTTAAGAAGCTGAATTGCAAAGGAAATAATGCCTAATTGTTCAGTTTTTTGAGTGTTTTTTTGCCACCTAAAAACACTTATCTAATATTTTGTGGGGCTACCCAGAAAAATACTCCTGTCTGTTTTATACAGATTGCTATATATATATATATGTATATGTATATTCATTTTCTGTGTAAGAATGGTTCTTGGAGTTGGGTGAATATAAAATTGAATCATAGAAGCTTTCTAGCACATTCCAGAATTTAGCAAACCACACATTGTTAGAAGTTAGCCAAATTATGCCTTTTCTTTTTTTATTCTTGTACTGAGATTTATAAATCCAAGAGCGTTTCTAATATCTTTCATCCATGTCTTAGGTCTGTGCCTATGAGAGCATGCAAGCTGGTTTTTACAGGCTCAAAAGGTTGGGAATCACAAGGCTAACTCAACCAACAGGTCTATCATCTGCAATGAATCAACTTCCTGATGAAGCAATTGCTTTAGCTGCTGCATCGCATATTGAGAGGGAGCTTCAGATTACACCTTGGAACTTGAGTAGTAATTTTGTTTCATGTACAAATCAGGCAAGGAATTTCTCCCTGATTTTACCTTTGTTAACATCTTATTTTCTCCCTATCAACATCCCGGCTAATCTGCAGCTGCATCTTTATTTTGCATTTACATTGGAAGCAATTCTACTTTAAGGCCTACCTTAAGAAGCATCACTCGCTACTGATGTTTTGATAGATTCATATTTTAGAAGTTTCTTTAGGCTATGTTACGTATTCTTATCTTGATTTCTTTCATTATAATTCTGATGTTTCATTTTAAGTGTAGCTACTCCTTTTGGGTCTGCATGTTATGTGCTCTCTATGATATTTTATTTTATTTTTTTATTTTCTTGGTAATCTATTGCTCCTTGATTTTAAGTTGCAGCATAAAAAATTGTTTACAAATTGTATGTTATTTTTTGTCCGTGAACTGTGGTGAAAGGGTCATTATGGAGTAAGGATGGATCGATACGGTATATCAAAAATATCGAAATATAGTATGGATCACAAACATTTTTGGTATTTATAAATTCATATCCATATTGTATGGAAAATTTTGGTATGACAACCATACCATGAGTGGTATTTTGTTTGGGCACTTCTGTTTGATTTGTTATGATTGTCCTTGAATTTCTTTCTTTTACTGAGTTTCTCAAGTAGAGTTGCCTTCATCTTAAAATTAACAATCTTGAACGTATAGCAAACAGTAACTATGCAAAGTTTTATCTGTCAAAAAGCATACTTCTTTGTGGGAAATATACTTGTTTAAATCCTTTATGGGTTTCACATCGAATAATAGCTCCACTTTATTGATGTACAGGATCGAGAAAACATTGAACGCCTTGAAATCACAGGTGTTGGCGACCCTTCAGGAAGGGGCCTTGGTTTCAGTTATGTTCGGACAACTCCTAAGCCCCCAATCTCAAACTCAATGGCAAAAAAGAAAGCTGTAATTAGTAAAGGAACAACTGTGACTGGAACTGATGCTGATCTCCGCAGATTGAGCATGGAGGCTGCAAGAGAGGTGATTTGTTTATATAATATAAAGTATTTTATTCTCATGGGGTGTTGGTAAATACGGATAATTTCTTACATTTTTCAGGTACCTCGTAATTTAGCATTGCATGTGGGTAATATTTGAACGTTAAAATTGCAGAATTATACTAGTGTAGTAGTGTTGCTTTTAGGAATTAAAATACATGTGACTTAGTGGGTGTTCCTTGCCATCTTTTACTGCAGCAAATTCATGCTCTATTCTGGGTAGCAATTTTAGGTGCATCATACAAACAAGAGAATACTTGAAATTATCAAATAGATTCCCTGGAATCACTTTAAAAAATTGTTTCTTCTTGATTTCATTTTTGGTAAGTCAAAGGGGATGAAAAACCTGAATACACACTTGTAACAACTGGTGTATAGTTTGTAACGCATGGTTATAATGTGTATCTCTGTTCATATGCACAGCTGCTCCTTAAATTCAATGTTCCAGATGAGCAAATTGCAAAATATACTCGATGGCACCGAATTGCTTTGATACGCAAGCTTTCAAGTGAGCAAGCTGCATCTGGTGTCAAGGTTGATTCTACAACTGTGAGCAAGTTTGCCCGTGGGCAGCGAATGTCCTTCTTGCAATTGCAGCAGCAGACACGAGAAAAATGCCAGGAAATATGGGATCGACAAGTTCAAAGTCTCTGTTTGGGTGATGGGGAAGAGAATGAGAGTGAATCAGAGGCTAATAGTGACTTGGATTCATTTGCTGGAGATTTGGAAAATCTTCTGGATGCAGAAGAAGGTGAAGAGGGTGAGGAGGATAACTATGAATCCAAACATGATTCTGTTGATGGTGTCAAGGGACTGAAAATGAGAAGGCGCCCATTGCAAACACAGGCAGAAGAAGAAATTGAAGATGAAGCAGCAGAAGCTGCAGAATTATGCAGAATGCTCATGGATGGTACAAATTCTATATATCTGTGCTGTTTTAAAAGTTGAATGAATATGTTCTGCTAAGAGTTAAAATATTTTCTTATGTGGTTCGCCAGTAGTTTCTTTTTATTTGTTAGAACTCTGTGAAATGTGCAAATGCTATGAAATTGGTGCTCTGCAGCATACAGGTATTAAGCAGTTACACGTATCACATTCTAGCAAAATGAACTTCCTTCCCCCTTGAAGGGTGGTATGTGCCTCTCTATATAGGGATGATGTAGTAAAGCAATTAATTTGAAATAATTTCATGCTCTATGAGGAATCTCTTTACTGTTTGTGGAAACACAAGCAGAAACTTGTAGAGTGTTGATATAAGATATGTGGGATAGGGGGTCAGATTACATGTCTTGTCTTGTCTGATACAAGATATGCAGCATATTTTTTCGTGGGCCTTAAGCAATAAGCATACAAAATAGTCTATAAAGTATTTTTTGTGTGAAACATATGAAATTATCAATAAAGTAATATTGGATATAAATGACTTGTTTAATTCTCCTATCACTTGTACATGATTTGTGTATCTGAAATTAATTTGCTAGAATGTTGTTTTGTAGATGATGAAGCTGATCAGAAAAAGAAGAAGAAGACCAGAGCAGCAGTAGAGGAAACTAAGATTATTCCCTTTAAGTCAAAATTTGGCTCTGAAATAGCTGATGGGATTAAGAAACACAGTTCAGTTTCTAAGCGACTCATGCAACCAGAGGGATCCTTTGTATTGCAAGATAGAACTCAGAGAGATCAGAAGGAGGTCCTTTTTACTATTGCTTGTATATCATGTTTTTGAGATTTCTACTAACTTCACCTCGCTGTTCATAATCTTCACACTTTTAGTTTTTTTTTTTTTTTTTTTTTTTTTTGTGCAGTCAGAGAGCCTTTCTGCAAAGAAGTATCTTCAGGGAAAATTTAAACCGAAGAAAAAGAGTGAGATTGAACAAATAGGTTTGCTCAACAAAAAAGTTAAGATACTGGGGGATGGGATCAATGTAAGTGTCCTACTTGAATGGTGATATGTGTTTTCAGTTAGGCTGCATGACAGCGTTTCAGATGAATGTCTTTTTTACAAAATGGTATTTTGTATTCACGAAAGAATGTTAGATTGTTGTTGGCAATTCTGAAAGTTTTTATCAGCTGTTTTTATTTTAGTTAGTTTGGTCAGGTATTGAGGGATAGGGTGGGGAGATGAGGCTGCTGCATTGATTTGCACCATCATCTCCTATTTAATCTTGTGTTCATCTGTCCTCCAATGCAGGTGATCAAGGAAAAAAAATCGGCAAGAGAGAGTTTTGTTTGTGGGGCATGTGGTCAGGTACAAGCATATTTAAGAACAATATCCTTAAGCATCTAAAAACGTATGTTAATAATATTGATCTCTATTACCTCAGCTTGGCCATATGCGGACCAACAAAAACTGCCCCAAGTATGGGGAAGATCCTGAGATGCGAGCAGAAAGCATAGATCTTGAGAAGCCCTCAGGCAGACCCAGTTTCGGAGATCAATTGGAACAAAACCTGCAGAAACCTCAGATAAAGAAGCTTATACCGAAGAATGGGACAAAGATTAGTGGGTCAGAAGTCCCTGAAGATGATAAGCCTACTTCAAAGGCAAAAACACTGAAGGTCAAATGCGGTGCACCTGACAAGATTCCTGATAAACACACACCACATTCACAGAGCTCTGATCGACCCGTAATGTCAGATTCAGAGATGGGAGACAAAGCTCCGGTTAAAGTTAACAAAATAGTTTTTTCCAACAAGACAAAACCCGAAGATTCACTGATTGAGACCCCAAAGCCCGCCATTGTGATAAAACCACCAGTAGAGGCTGATAGAGACCAGCCGCGGAAAAAAATTATAATTAGACAACCAAAGGAGGTTGTAAATGTGGATGACAATAGCCCGGACGGAAGTTTTGGCTTTGACTTTAGGAAAACAAAGAAAATAGTGGAATTGTCAAGTTTCGACAAGCATCATGAGCATAGGAACAAACATTTCTTTGAAGAGTCGTCAGGAATGAGAGATCCAGATAGTAACCAATGGTGGATGGAAGATAGAAGAAGAGCTGCTGACAGACATCAAGAAGAAAGATCCAAGAGGGTGGAGAAAATGAGGATGATTGACGAGCAACGAACATATGAGTTACAAAGGTACGAGGAATCCATTCGAAGAGAAAGGGAAGAGGAAGAACGGCAAAAGAAGGCAAAGAAAAAAAAGAAGAGAAAACCTGAAATAAGAGATGATTATTTAGATGATTATCCCCCTAGAACGAATGACCGGAGGATGCATGATAGAGAAAGAGTGGGGCAAAGGAGGTCGGAAATTGACTATGGAAAGCATGGAATAGATTATCCTCAGGCTTCAAAGCGGAGACGAGGAGGAAAGGTAAGTGGTTTTTGTTTTATTTTTAACTGTACCTATCAGCATTGTGGAATTCTTGTGTTTAATAGGTTTGTTTCCTTAAAACATTCGCAAGATGGAAATCCTTTTCTGGTGGATAACTACTTATTATAAAATCTCAGGTCGGTTTGTCTAACATTTTGGAGAGTATCGTGGAGACGCTAAAGGCAAGAAAAGAAATATCCTACCTATTTCTAAAGCCGGTAACTAAGAAAGAGGCTCCCGACTATCTGGATATCATAAGTCATCCAATGGATTTGTCTACAATAAGGGATAAGTCGAGAAGGATGGAGTACAAGACCCGGGATGAATTCAGGCACGATGTCTGTCAGATTGTATACAATGCGCATAGATACAACGACAGAAGGAATCCGGACATTCCTCCCCTGGCAGACCAACTTCTAGAGCTTTGCAACTTCCTGCTAGATCAATACGATGCAGAGCTGACAGAAGCCGAAGCTGGGATCGACTAAAAACATACACTTAGCAGGTAGGCATTTCTGGTTCGATCCCATTCGCACGGGCCTCGTGCTCGGTTAATTAGCTGATGTTGTTGCAATAGAGCCTTTCTTGGCTTGTGTATGGCAATTTTGCAATTAGCAGCATAACAGTTTTGTGATGTAATTAAAATCTGGCGTCTGTATATTGAGAGGGCTGTGGGTGGGTGGTGGGATGAGGCTGTGCTTCCCCAGCCAGCATTGGTTGGTATAGGATTGTTTCATACATACATGTTCTTTAGCCTAGTTACAGGTTGACACAGAAATGTATAGTAATCTAATCTATATATACATATAATATGTTCATACTAAGTAGGCTTAGAATTATTCAATTTTCATCAATTGTTCTGGTTTTTTAATTTTGTTGTATGTGACTGCTGAGATTTGGGAATTAGGGTTTAGGGTTTCATCCTATAATCTATTGCGCAGAGATTTGGGAATTAGGGTTTCATTCCTTCCATCACTATTTCTCTAGTGTAGTCAGTGGTTACAGTGCTGGTTTAACTAAACATATTATTATTATTATTATTATTATTATTATTATTATTATGATTATGAAATAAATTGATCACTGGTGGTTAACACAGTAACGGCGTTTGTTAGGGATCATAATTGCAATTTGTTGACAATAATATTATTAAATACGGCCGTTGCACCTGCTGTGATATGACATGACATATCCTAAAGGCTAACGCCTAATTAGTCTCTCTTTTCACACCTACGCAATTATTGACACTAAATATTCCCAAATTTCCAATATTGGTTGCACATTACTACAATTACAATGCACAGCAAAATGATTAATTTATAGTACTACTATAATTCATATCTATCTCAGACCTAATTATAATAAATAAATTAATCCACACAATTTCACATGGGAAAAGAAATTAGGGTTTAGAGAGGTTGGGAGGGCATTTTCGTCAATGATAATAGGAAAGGGTATTTCGGTCATTTGAGTTATATATAAATATTTATATGAGTGTTGCAGACCTTGCATTGCTTCCTAGTTTCACTCAACTGCTATCCGAACTCACTGTTCATCTTCGCTTTTCTTCCACCCGTTTTGGTCAGAAATCGATCAACCCGCTCGTTGTGAAGATTCTCGGCTTGATTTTCACTTTCCTGTGCGTAGATCTGTAAGCTCTGAGCGCGCTTTGCCTATGTGGTCGATTCTTTGTTTGGTTTTTGTTGTTAATTGTTGAATTGTTTGGTAATTACGTCGTTGGAAATGCGAATGGTTTGTGATATTGATTTGTGTTACAGGTTGAAACTGAGATTTCTGTTGGTTCTATTCGATCCCCAAACTTTTGTTTCAAAAGTTAAAAATTGGTTCTGTCAAATCTTCCTTTTGCGTGTTATGTGTGCTTTTTAGTGCTAGCTAATTGACTGTTCTTGTAGGATCTCACACAAATATATTTATAATATGTTCTTATTTACAATTATTTTCAGGTGCTGTGGAAAATACAGGTTATATGCACTTGTGATGTGTTGAATTGGATGCGGAGGTGACCAAAATGGGGTGGCTGAGTTTTTCACTTGACGTGTTTCGTAATGTGGTCTCCTTGAACTTGTACTGCAGGGTTATTCTATAATTTATATTTTTTTTTTTTGTAAACCTTTCCAAACCAGCGAAGGGAACCATTTTGTTTCTTCTGCCACTATTTAGCTCAATCAATGGGATCCAATCACTTTCCTCTTAGTTCTTGTTTCTTTTACATTCTATAAATTAGCCTATAGATAGAACATTCAAAAATTTTAGTTGTTTCTTCTTGATCTTGGTTAGTATTTGCCCGTTGATCTAATTTTTCTTTTGGAAAAATTCTCTCCTTGCAACTTTTTCTTCCTTCTGTTTAATTATCCTCCTGAAGTCAGCTAAAGAGTCAAAAGTAGTTATGGTGTGCCAAGCAGCGAGTCAGGCGCGATTCAAAGCATTTAAACACGAGAATGGGATTGCTGATAGATCAACAATTATTGTTAGAGTTATAGCATGCTTTCAACTTTTGCAGAATTGCCAGGTTTGTTATTCATTGTTTAGTAATTATTTTCTATTGTTTTCTATATCAACTAATTGTTTTTCGGAAATCTGTTTCCTGCACCCAATGAGAACTATTGAGGTTTCTGATTTTACCCAATGGTATGATTCAGGCTGAATACTTCCGCCACTTGCTGAAGCCTGTCACGTAGATTTGTTCCAAGTTTCAACGCATCAATTCAAGCTAGCAATATATTTTTGTTTTATTCTTCTTGTGTTTAGAATCTCCAAAGTAACCTATTTGCTGAAGTCAGTACAAGCAGATCTCGCTCAGGTATATTTTATTTTTGATGCAACTTGAATGTTTTCTTTACTCTAAATGAGTGGTTTTGTAACGGTGGAACTCAAATCATGCGTGCCAGGTTGCTTCTTCGGCTGGATGGTTACGGCCGAAGAGCCTCAGACCTGTCAGCAGTTTGCTGCTCCAAATTTGGGAAATTTGAATCACATGGCAGCACTGCTACAGACAGCACAACATTGTAGTTTGCAATACTCTGCTCCTGCATTGACATCCAATGCCGTTTTGTCAGGAGAACCTAATCCCGATATGCATGGGCTGAATGCAGAGCAATTTAATGCTGTTGGTGGGTTTATTGAAAACCAACCTTCATATACTACCCAGAAACCATGTCCAAAATATTCCCAAGGTATCACTCCACACGAGCTTGGGATTCCGGACATGTCTGTTGACACTTGTTATGCTCCTCAGAAAAGATTTCTGATATTTGATCAGTCTGGGAGTCACACTAGATTGTTCTTCAGCCCTTCATTTTCTCTCCAAAATCAGATTGGCATTTCCAAGACTCCGAAATTAGATCAACAATTTTTTACAAGACATTTAGTTGAAGAAAACTGGGGTGAAAACCATTTGACTGATGGAGAGGATGAGATGAACGAAGATTCCGAAGACATAGATGCCCTGTTCTTCTCGGACACTGATGATTCCCAGAGCAAAGATTGCGACACTGAAGGTGATGACAATGAGGTAACTAGCATGGCACGTGTTCTATTGAGCAATGAACATGCCTGCAGCAATGAACTTTCACTTGAAGAGCTCACGGAAGAAGTTGCTAGTTCAAACGGCACACAGAAAAGGCGAAAACTACTTGATGGTAGGTACATACTGCCATCATCATTGCTGAATAACAAGGGCCCCGTTGAGCGGGCTAGTTCGTGCACATATGAGAATGATTTGGAGTCAAGCTGTGCTGGTTGTCAAAAGTCTTGTGATGATATCAACTCAATTAAGCGAGAAAAGAGAGTTAAAGTCCGGGATGTATTGAAGTCCCTGGAGGCCATAATTCCCGGGCTAAACAGCAGCGATCCACTCCACGTCATTGAGAAAGCTATTGATTTCCTAAAATCAATGAGGATCGAAGCTGAAGCTCTTGGGCTTGGCTATCTGGATCATCAATTCGCCGCCTCTCCTTGACACTAGCCATTCAAACCAACCAAAGGTACAAACAACCTACCTTTCTAATGTTGTGTGTCGAATAAACTAGTCGACAGATTTGATAGTAAGGTGGCTTTTACTTTCTCCCCGACTTTACTCTGCTTTGCACCCTAATAGCCAACGGGCCAATGAATGGCGTGCTTAATGGGGATAAAAATTCTCTCTTTACTCTCATCAGTGGAGAGAATTGGGCCCTTAATTGTTGACTTGAAATGATTGTTCTAAAGCCTTTAGGGATTAAAGTTTAAGGCGGGTATGAATTCTTGCCTATGGTATATAGTGGTATGATGTGCTGTAACTGAGGACCCCTCCCCCACCCCACACCACTTTTCTTAATCCTCCCTGGATTGATGAGAAACCTTCTATGGTTTGAGAGCATGCGTGTTTGGTGATAAAGGACCCACCCCACCCGCCATTCTTGATTCTTATGCTTTCCATTTCCTTGAGGAAAGTCTGTTAAGTAGTGAGTGGAAAGATATTGGTCTCTAGCAGGGGCCCGCCCCCCTCCCCCCTTGCCCAAGATTCATCATGAATTTGGTTTTGCATCCTCCATTTTCTATCTATCTATCATCATATCTTCTTGTTTGTTTCCCTTTTCTTTTTTTGTGAGTGTGAGAGCTTTTCTGTTTCTTGATTTCATGGCTGTAGTGGACATGAGCCATTGTTGGGAGTTTTAAGGTTGTTACTGTTTGTTGGTAGTAATGAATGGTACTGCTAGTTACAGTTGCTGCTCAGGTTTTGCAGTAACATAATGTATTCTATTATTCCCCTGTTAGTATTTTGTAATATATATGTATTTTTTTTTTTTCAGTTTTTATTAGTATAATATTGTGATCATGGCTATAAATGCATTTTCTAATCTGTCTTTTTCAATGTGTTGTTTTGTGCTTTCTTGATAAGAAAATGATGTCCAATTTGCTTTCTCCTGTGGTTTTGTTGCTGGTGTGGAGCCCCCATTGTGGAGATGTTTTTAGTGCTAATCTTGATTTATAAATAAATGTAATATATAACAAAAAATTAAAGTTAAGAGACTATTTAAATTATATTTTTTACTCCACTGTTAGCAAGGAATATGTCAATTGTTAGGTTTGCATGCATGGATGATTTTTTAATACTTGCTTTTCATGTTTTTTTATTTATTTATAATAATAATGTTCTTGATGATGATGATGTAGGGTGGTTCAACCAATGATAGGTAAATATAGGCAAGGTATATTTAATTTTAATATGATGTACATAATTTATTACAGTGGTATGTTTCTGAATATTGATTGGTTCACGGACGCATCTCTTGACTTGGTTCATGTTTGGATGTCATCACATTCATATATTTTTTCCATCAATTTCACAAATAAATGGGGTGATTTTTCATTTTTTTTTTTGGAATAAAATAAATAAAAAAGTAATTGAATCTTTTATGCTTGTTATTAACATAATTAGAAGTGTATTTAGCTTTAGATGGAAAAAGATATTAAGATAAAGGATATTTGATTCAATAAATAAAATACAGTAATGGTTATTATAAATTTACCCAATAATAAATTTAGATACACTCCCAAAATTCAAATGAAAAGCAACACACTAGAGAAATGCAGAAAAATTGAGGCCCATATGGATATGGGGCAACAAAGTGAAGAAAGTTTGAGAAATCTGCAATGAATGATGGAATTCCATCTCATTTCGTTTCAATTTCATTGCATCAAGTCAAGAAATTGAATTCCTCCATCTTCTTGGAGCTTTCTTAGGCTGCTGCTCTACATTCGACCCCGCGTCATGAGCTTCCGCCATTTTCGTTAGCCGGTTGCCGAGCTTCTTCCACCCGGTGGCCCACCCGGACGACGACGCCGTCTTCGGCTTCGGCCCCTTGTCGAGCTGCCGCTGCAGCGCTTCCATCTCGTTCTGAAGCTCCGAGTACTTCGCTTTCACGGTCTCGAGTTCGAATTTCAGTGTGTTGATGTCCTTCTTCGCCGCAGCCCAGCCTTCCTGAAACGACTGCGGCGTCCCCTCCAGCAGAGTTTTCCGATTCGATATCAATGGCTGGTAGCTCTGGGATTCGCCGGTGTCTTTTAATCCGGTGTTGGCTATGGCGTTGCTTATCTTCACCTGCTCGGAGAAGAGGACTTGAACGACGACACGGAGCGGGAGACGCTCGTTTTGCGCGGCGTGCATGCACGCGTCGATCGAGAGCTTCTGACAGTCCATGACGCGGCAGAGCCGCTTCCTCTCGTGTTCCGTCAGCGTCGGGTGCGCTTTGAGGTAGGAGTCGACGGCCCTGTACAGCCCATCGTCTGAAATTCTTGCGGACTCCGGTAATGCCTCGGCAAGGACCTGGAATTTCGTCATCGACAGGTTTCTGTCGCGGGATACCTCGGTGAGATAGCTGTCGATGAGGCGGGCGACTCGCATTTTCGCGTTTGGATTAGCCCCCGTCGCCGTTCCGGTCCCTCGTTGGATCGCGTCGTATATTTTTGCGTCGGAGAGCGACTGCCGGCTCGGGCTGGAGCTTTCCGACTGCTCTTGCACGAGGAAATGCTCGAGCAGCCTCTGGACAAGGTCGACATCGTAGAGGGACTCGATTTTGTTGTACGATGGGATGAGAAGATCCGGCAGCGTTGCCTGCTCCAGTTGCATCCCGACGCGTTTCTCGAGCTCGGTGACTAACGCCGGCGCGACTTTCAGCATGTTCGCCATCCTCAGCAGCCGGAGAAGGAAGCAGCACGACACGCTGTCTTTCTGCGGCGGGATTATGCTGATCAGGCTTTCGACGATCATTCTCTGATCTTTCGCCTGAACGAGCGACGGAGCGTCTTCTTTCGTCCCGACGACGATCATGTGCAGCCCGCCTTTCCAACCGCCGCCGCCGCCGCTGCTGCCGCTGCAATGGCTGTTTATACTGTTACTTCCGTCGTCGACAGCGCCTGATCCGGGCATCTCTTTCGTAACAACGCCGGGGAGCCATTTCGTGGCGTAATGCGTTATCGCAGCCCCGATCAGCTCGTACCTCATCCCCTTCACCTTGATCGCGGTAATAACTCTGACGAAATGATCGATCCGGAGAATCGAGACATCCTCGAACCACCAGTCAGGTGGCACCGGAGAGTTCCTGCTCGGGCTCGAGTCCTTCATCTCGTTCCATTTGGGGCTCGACACGGATCGAGCGGGGCGTCCCGTGTAATGCCATCGTATGCCTTTTGGATTCGCACAGGCTTTCCAGGCGATCGACTCGCTGCACCGCCGCACGATCTGGAGATTTTCAGCCCACGGTGAGAGCTTCTCGCAGCTTTTCAGAACGACGATAGAGTCGCGCCAGGAAGACAGGACGACGTAGCTGAGGAAAGCCTCCGTTTTGAATATCAGATTGCCTTCTTCCAAGTCTTCCGTCATTTCGAGATACTCGGCCGCGCAGCGCAGGCCGGATATGTTGGTTGCCGTTAGATCGACGGGGATTCCGTAGCAGAATTTCGACGCGAGTTCGAATGCGTCGGGACCCCCCGGGAGATCGTCTAGAGCAATCTTGCTAAACTCTACGTCGCGAGACGATTCGTATATGACTCTGTTCATCTTCCCGCTTCGGGAGAGCAGAGGATACTGCAGCCATGATCGATACATACATTATACATAGATATATATATATATATATATTCATTCATTTCATATGATCTGATAACCAAAATGCTGCAATGAATCCATAGATATACAGTTGATCTTTTTTTAGTGAGGCATTTCGTCGAACACCGAATGCTGCATACCTTATGCAAATGGAAACTGACTTCGCCAATTTGGACCAAAATATCACTCGGAATATCAGTCGAAACATACCTAAATTCAACCAACAATTGATTCATCCAATCAATAATCACGTAGAAGATTGATCAAATTAAAAAAAATAAAAATAAAAAATTCATACATACCATGATTTCCCTCTCTGTTCAAACCCATCAGTCTTGACGCCGGGCTTGCTGCTGCTCGACAAAACTCCATTTCCATAATCCCGTCCTCCGATGATCGAATCACTTTCCGAATCCCACATAATGAAAGAAAGAACGAACACAAAAATCAACACCGCACGCAGTAGCAAATGCACAGAAACTAACTAACTGCAGGAGGGAGATGGTGATGAGTGATGAGCGATCGAAGATGTAAAAAGGGGGAGAATCCCACATGGGGAATGCTTGGAATTATCTGAAACTGGTCGGCTGCTGCTGCACGAATTTCTAGGGCTCCAACAGTCTGTGAAGTAATGGGCAGCGCACTGTAAATTTCTTGCATCACCAATAATGGTGCTTTGCATTTTCTTTGCCATGAATTTCTGATCATATATATATATATATGTATATACTGACTCAAAAACCCTGAGCTCCATGGAATTGGCACCAATGCTCAAAGTAAAAGTGTGGTTTGTCTGGGAATTATTGCTGCCCTTTTTTTTATTTTTTTGAGGTTGTCTTTAACATGTAAGTACTTAATTGTGTGCATTATTATGTCAATGGTTGTTTCTACGAACTTACTATTCAGAAAAGGGAGTAGGAAAAAGACAATCTTTTTGGGTTTTGTGGAAGACATTTGAATGGGAAAGACCACACAAGAACACACTTGCATTAATGCATGGATGGATTATCGGATTAGTATAAGACACAGTGGGTTCCATTTTGGGGTATCCTAAGCATTATGAGCTAGCTAGCTATCTCCATAATCAGCACCATGCATGCCTGTTCTTTCTATTATTTTTCTATTTTATTTAATATATATATATATTATATATATAGAAAGAAAGAAAAACAATACTTGTATATAGTTGATTCTTTGTTCTAATTAATTTATTCTATTCTATAGATAAATGACGGTGCTTTCTTGATATTAATCATGGGTTTCCTACTAATTCTCTTGAAAATTCTTCTCTTATTATAAAAACATGTGACATGTTAAATTATTAATTTAATTATTTTTTTTTTTGGTGCAATTAATTGATTTTATCCATCTTGGTAAAGTCATTGGAATGAATATCATGCTTGATATGACCTTTGAAGAAGACAAATTGACGTTTTTGGAAGCTATTTCACATGTAATGTGCTGTCCAAATTAAATATTTTCCAAAGTATGGAACCCCAAAAAAAAAGAAAATCCTTTCTTGCAACATAAAATTTATGTAATCAACATTCCATCCACATCTATATCAAACTGTTCAATAATTCATCCACATGGATGATGCATTCAATCCAATAATTCCTCAGAATTGGCTAGATTAGGATTTCACGAAAGAGTTACTACTACAATTCAAGTAATTAAATTAATTACAGTCGCAGGAAGAAATCTTATTCCCCTCAGAAATTCCATTTCCAAATCCAATATTTGCAGCTTTTCCGATGCTGACGTCGTTCAGAACATCTCCTGCCCACTTCAAGAAATAGCTTCTGTTGTGTCCGATTTTCGCATTTTTATAAACCGTCATACACCGCCGGTCATTTTCCGGCAAATTGCAGACATCGGAATCATCGCCGCCGCCGGGGTCCCGCCACGCGCCGCGGTGGTTCATCCCCGACCAGCTGGCGATCCAGTGGTAGACGTACTGTCCGATTCCGGCGAGCCTCAGCCATCCTTTGGGAAAAAATTCCATTACGCTGCTGTTCCGATCCATCAGAAAAATGTTCGTCAGCTGCGCGCCGTGCGGCGACACCACCACGTCGGTGGAGCTCATCAATTCCACCTGAAAAATTAAATCGTTTAATTAATTGAGATCGATCGAATCTCCATTGATGAATTGGATTAATTAGGTGTGTTTTGGATTTTGAATTTAAATTTGATATAATATAAAAAAAAAAAATTGTTTGATTCGAACTTTTCGAGGAAAATTTTGAAAAAAAATAGTAAAAGTTGCTCGCCTGCTGACAGAATGAGAGATTGTTGGCGTGGGCGACTCTCAGGCGGCAGCCGGCGACTTTCCGGCAAGCATCTTCGAATATTCCGATGACGGCGGAGTCATTCCGGAAAGACCTCGGCCCGGTTCTCATCAACATTGTGACCCTAATTACAGGAATGCCATGATCGTTAACCTCGATAGGTTTTCCAATAATTTGGACATTGCAGAAAACCCTAGCTTTGCATCTTAGGAAATCGTAGACTTGCATGCGCCTCTCACGTGACATGCCGCCTTCATTGTGTCTCATTACAACGGCCCTTTCAAAGCACGCCGGAAAATTGAATCCGCCATTGATGCTGGCGTCGAAAGTTTCGATCTTTACAGGGGTTTCGAACGTGGCTTCCATTAAAGAAGTGAGCCAAGGTGCCATGGAGGTTCTGAGTTCTCCCCAATGGTAGAGGATCCATCTGGCGGGGGAATTAGGGTTCCGGCAGCGGTGGTGGAGGTGCCAGGCGACGAAGGGGACGGCAGCGGAGAGGGCGTGCCAGATGTTGTGGTAGTTGTAGTGGTTGTAGGAGATGAAAGTGAGACCATTTAGGAGGGTCGAATTGGGGGGCAAGAATTGGGGCCAAGCGAGGGCATATGAGTTTCGCGAGCCGTCGTGGGTGTCGCTGCCATTAAGGCACAAAATCCGGCCTTTCGAAGCTTTTGAGGGGAATTCTTGGAACTGGACATGGCCGTTTTCGCGGGTGTCGAAAAGGGAGCTCATGAACCATGTGTGGCCATGGAGGGGGTTGTTGGAGTATCGAAGGTCTTTGAGGGGGAGGAAAGTGATGGATTCTTGGAGCATGGTGGCTATGGAGGTGTTGGTGCAGCTGCTGTTATGGTGGCTATGGAGGAAGAAGGATTCTGGGGTTGTGGTGGTTGTGGTTAATATTTGGGGCCATAATTGAGACATGAAGAAGAAGAAGACGATGAGGATTGATAGGGTAAAGAGGTAGAAATGGGATTTGAATATTGAAGGGTTTTTGCGTGTGTGTTTGAGAGTTGCAGGTTCTGAATATGGCCTTGCCATGGAAGAAAAGGGATGATGATGATGATGATGATGATTAAAAACTATAAGGAAAGAAAGAAAAAGTAATATAAATTGCAAGATTTTAGGGTTTAAAAAATGACCACTTGATTATGGCTAAAAACATTGGTACCATAACTTAGAATTTATTTAATACAACAAGTATAATTATACCTTCTTCCTGAATTTCTGCAAAACATGATTCTGAACTCTAACAAACAGAAAGTTCAAATAAAGCAAATCCAGAAGGTCATACCAGCAAAGGTTCATAACCCTTTTTCTTCAGGATCACGTGGAAACTTGTTGCCTTATCAGCCATTCCAGCTTCCTCGTATGCTTCCAGGAGCCTTCTACACATCGACAGATTGAACTCCGACGCCGCCGATTGCTTCCATTCATCAACTATTCTCGCCACCTCCTCCAAATGCCCGAGCATAAGGTACGAAGAAATCACACAGACGTAGTTTCTCCCCGATACATTTTGGCCAGTCATCATCCTCGTACTTTTCCAGATTTTGTCGATCTGTGACTTGTCCCCAAGGCCACCGTACAGAACAAAAAGGAAGTCGTAAGATATCAGCTGCCTCTGCATTATAGCCTTGTTGTTTTCCATTACAGAGCTGGGATCTGAATTCATTAAGCGACTGGAAGACAGGTATATCTCAGCAAGTTGCAGATATCGAGTCCAAGTGTGGTCAAGGTTCGTGTCCAGGTTCATCTCGCGGAGAATCTTTTTTACGTCGTCAATACTCAGGGCTGCAGCATGGGAAGTTAGCCATAGATTATATGTGAACAAGTCCAGGGCGACGTTCTGGCGCTTCATTTCTTCGATGATTGGTGGTACCTTCTCCAGCTGCCCGACTGAAATGTAGAATGTCATTAGCTCGTTGTAAGTGATGGCGGTTAGAGGAAGGTTTGCGCACTTGATTTGCTCGAAGAGGTCCTCGGCTTGCTCGGTCAGCTTCAGACGGGCATAGCAGTGAAGTAGAGCAGTGTATGTTTCGCGGGTTTTTGCTGAGGAAGGCAGTCCTTCGAAGTAGCGCTCTGCTGCATTGACTCCGAATACTTTGGTCATTAGATCGATGCGGATAGCATAGTCAGTCTCAGTTAACTTGTACTCTTCGTGACTAACCATCCACTCGGATATCTGGACAGTGCATAAAAATCATATCTCGGCAAAGATGGATAAATAAGGTAATATAAATTCGAGAAGAAACTACACATCATCACAGGTAAGGAGCAAGATCATAATACTTTAATTCATAAAGTTTTGAACTCATAAAACTTTAATTCAATAATCCACGCGACAATTTCAGGGTATTGCATCACTGTTAGATTCCTTCCAGTTCATACATCATAATAACCAAGACCGGCTATTGGAGGTCGAACTTTTTATCCAGAAAATATAAAGAAGACTCGGCCCATAAAAGAAACACATGAAACCTTAACTATGGATCACACGGATTGTCCATTCAACTTTAGATATGATATTTCGCACGCCATCGCTTATGTATAGAGTTGGAAGGAAGAATTAACAGCCAATCCACAGAATACTGAATTTCAGTTAAACGATAAAACTAGTGAAATAAAATTACACACTAGACTTCTCTATCATCGAATTTATCCTTTCATTCACTCTGACTGCATTGTCTGTTAAATGATAAATATTCAGTGGGATCCTCATATAGATTTGCCTTATGATCCAAAGAGTAACAATCTCGATTACAAGTTTCAATTCCACCATTTAAGTTCCAAAAAACTTGAATTGCTCAATCTACCTATAATTGGTCATATATTAGGCTAAGAGCATTTAGTTTCAGCATATTGCATCATAGCATAACTCAAATTAACAACAGCTACGACGATTTTATGCATTTCCCGAATGCAGTAAACAAAACCTAATCAATTTTTCCAGACAATAGACACTCAATCAATCAATCGAAGAATTCGAAGCAGCAAAAAATTAAAAATACAAATTGCAGCAGTTATACAGACCTCGAGAGCGTGCTTGAAGCTGTTTGATTTGCGAAGTTCATTACAGATGCTTCGGAGTTCAGAAATAGCAATTCGGTTGCCGTCGTCGACCCAATTCTGTAAAACGTTGGTGGCACTTCTCTTGGGAAGCCTGAGCCTCAAAATTTTGCTCCTTAAATCGTCGTTTTCTTCCCGCACAAGTCCATCGACATCTCCATCATTTGCTATTGCACTGGATTCACTTTTCATAGCCTCGACGCTGGACGAAATCCCTCTGAAAGGGATATTGCTATCCCTTCGCACATTCCTAAAATCAGAAAGGCCAGCTTCAGTAGAGCTACAATTTAGAAATTAGAAAATGAAGAAGTTGAGATCGCAGCGTACCGTGCAAGAGTGAGGAAGACGGAGCGAACAGCCATGGAAATCGGCGGGAACCCTTTTTTAACTCAGGAGCAGGCAAAGTGGAAAGATCTCGCCATTTTCAGAACTTTGCTGCTGCGGCCCATTTGACCTATCATTTCTTTTTCTTTTTCGAAATTCAATAATAATAATAATACTTTTTATTTACTTATTTTATTAGCGAAGAATAATTCAGTTAAAATTACTAAGTTAACCTCTAAATCCAAATATGTTGGAAATTTCTTTTAAGTCAATATTTAACTTCGCTTTGTTCACATAATTAGGTAAAAATAACTAAGGGTGTGTTTGTTTGAAGGATTTTGGTGGATTTCCACTATTCATCCAATTTTTTCCCCCCAAAAACATCAAATCAAACACCTATTTTTTATTTTTTATATTATACTAAAAATCAATTTTACATTCAAAACATCACATCAAACCCTATTTATATCACATCATACAACTATTCAAATTCAAAATTTTTACTATTCAAATCCCAACTCAAAATCCAAACCCCCAAACAAACACACCCTAAGTAAATAAATATTTATCAATTCTTTATTTTATAATTATTATTTTTCTATTTTGTTTTTTTGAAAAAAATAAAGTAAATAGTCAGCTAAAAAATTTATTACAACTATTTATCTTATTTAAAAAATATTACTTTTTCTTTCCGATTTAAATGTTACTTAAAATAATATAATTTTAAAAAAAATTTAAATTATATACGATATTTTTTAAAATTATATTTTAGTATAATTTCTTAAAAAGTCGTAAAATTAAATACTTTAACAATAAATTCAATTTGATTTTTGTAAAATTATAAAAATTAAATAGTAAAAAAAGATTAAAAAAATTAAAAACATACTGCAATATTATTTCTCTTGATTTGATAAATAAAAAAATAATAATAATAATTTATTTCTCAAATTTCATTTATTTAACTCAAACAAATAAAAAAAATGAAAATATTTTAAATTATCTGATGTCATTTATGCGTACCAAACACACAATTGCGTTGTAATGTGACTGTTTGTGAATTGTGGAAAGTATAGAAAGAATGTGTATTAAAATTGGACATTAGGAATTAATTGTATAAAGTTTATAAAATTAAACGTATGTTTATAATCAAACAGTTTTGGACCAAAAAAATATAATTCATCCGTCCCATTTTCATTTTAATCCGTCTGATAACAAATTATTTATTTTCCTTTTTTAGTAACTATACCTAACGTTACAAATATCCTAACAACTTACTATATATTACACAAATGTGATTACTTTTATATCACACATCCTAATAAAGTAATTTTAGTCATTTTTATTTTATTCGTCTCAATATAATCATAATATTTTTAAAACTACGTGAAAAAAACAAATAAATATCTAGTTATGAAACAGAATGAGTGTATATTATGTATACTTTAATATTAGAGAATTTTGTCAAATAAATAAAATACAAAATATTAATAATCCACACCGCAATTTCAATCGGCGAGCCACGGCGGCGGGCAGCGGCGGCCATCTTCTCTTTCGGCCAAAAATATTGTTGTTACGTACGAATTTTATAATTAGGTTAAAGGCCCAAGATATAGGGAAATTTGGACTTGTAATCGAGTACGTTTGGCGGTTAAGGAATTTTCGGGGTGATTGGTTAGACCGGCTGTCCTTCCGAGCGGATAAGCGGGTCGGAAGGTCCGCGGTCGGATAAGCAGATCGGAAGGCCGCGGTTGGATAGGCAGGTCGGAAGGTCCGCGGTCGGATAAGCAGATCGGAAGATCCGCGGTCGGATAGGCAGATCGGAAGGTCCGCGGTCGGATAAGCAAATCGAAAGGTCCGCGGTTGGACAGGCAGGTCGGTTGGTCCGCAGTCGGATAAGCAAGTCGGAAGGTCCGCGGTTAGACAGACAGGTCGGTTGGTCCGCAGTCGGATAAGCAAGTCGGAAGATCCGCGGTTGGACAGGCAGGTCGGTTGGTCCGCAGTCAGATAAGCAGGTTGGAAGGTCCGCGGTCGGACAGGCAGGTCGGTTGGTCCGCGGTTGGATGAGCAAGTCGGCTGCTGTGGAAGTCGGCTGCTGCGGAGATCGAGTGAGAGAACAGTAGTTTGGTCGGATGGTCCGCAGTTGAATAAGCAAGTCGGCTGTTGTGAAGGTCGGTTGTTGCAGAGATCGAGTGAGAGAACAGTAGCTTGGTCGGTTGGGTTAGGCGGCTGGTAAGACAGTTGAAAACACGTGTCAACAAAAGAGGAATTAGCAGACGCTTGAGAGTAGGTGTTGTAACCGTTCGGGCGACGATTCTCGATATCGTTTTTGAAGAGTATTTAAGAATTGGAGTCAGCAACTGGTAGGATATCTTCAATCATTTTCAAACAACAGCAAAGTCAGGATCATCCTTTAATTTTCATTCTGTAGCAAGTTTAGTATTTAGAAATTTCTAATTTTTTTTTTTTTTTCGTATTTTATTTTTTATTTTTTTATGGTTGAAAAATGGCATAAACAATTGTGTCAAGTGGATCCCGAAATTTTGATTAAAAAATTCAAACACACAATCCAAACAAAACAAATCTGGTTGATTATTACAAATTCAAATATACTAAGACTGTATAATTAACTAATATTTCCGCTGCCGGCGGCGGCGCTTTTAAAGAATGATTCTTACTTCATTCGTGGTGGCGGATCGCCATACGTTCTAGAAGGGTCTTGCCGTCGACACGAGAGCCTTTGAAACGTTCAGCCAAGTATTCCCCGTAATTCATTGACTTGTACAGCGCCCGCCCATCGTTTTCCACCAGCGCCGCCGCCGGCCCCACCGTCGCCGCCTTTGACGGCCCGTTGGCCGCCACGATCGAAATCCGCTGCTTCTCGCCGTTCACCACTGCTCTGTGCATAACGCTCTTGCACTTCCCGTTGCTGAAAATCTGAATACAATACGACGTCGTTTCTTTTAGTTCTTCGAATTAATTTGATTAATGGCGCCATGGAATTGTACCTCGAGCTGATCGGCGACGTTGACGAGAATTGAGCTGGGAGGAGAGTCGACGGCGAGCCACTCGCCGTCGCGCTGGATCTGAAGTCCGGCGACGCCGTTGTGAATCAGCAGCGTGAAGAGGCCGGGGTCGGTGTGCGGAGGAAGACCGATTGCTCGATCAGGCTCCGGACATGGAGGATACAAATTGGAAGTAAGCATCTGGAAGGAGGAATCCATCAACAGCAGTTGATCCACGTCCTGTTTCTCCAATTCCAGAGACTCCGCCACTGCTTCCACCAATTTCCTCGCCAATTGCCGCATCCTCTTCGTATATTCTGAAACAACTTCTCTGCCATGGAAAAAAAAAAAAAAAGTACCAAATCAATCAATTGGCCAAAATTAGGGTTTCCAAACGTCGTCGTTTAAATATAAATTGGTACCTCAACGATTGGGGTTCGTCGGGGCAGTGGAATTCCGGATGGACGTAGAGCGTGAGGTAATCTCTCCATAGAGAGGCTTGCTGGAAATTGGACCATTGGATTGGATCTGAAGCGGTTTTGGCTTCGTACTTTTTCTTATCGTCGACGGACATGGCGAAGAACTCTTGTATTGCTGCACACATTGAATTCATCAAGTCCTCCGGAACTCCATGATTGACAAGCTGTGTACGGACGCAAGCAGGGAATTGATTTGTTCATCAGATGCCTGGAAATTAGATTAAAACGCATAGATATGATCTGTAATTGAAAGGGGGAAGTGAGAGGCAAATATTGTGGCCGGCCGGCGCGCTTACAATGAAGAATCCCCAGTCGTGACAGGCTTGGCGGAGGTCGTGGACGGCTTTGGACCGCCGGTCGGAATCGTCGCCGGTGAGGAGAGCGACATCAATGACGGGGAGCGAATTTGCAGTTTCTGCCATTTGGGTAACTGCTTTTCTTCTTCTCTCCAATTATAACTACTGTTAGCTATTGCACGCATATAATTCAATATATATAAATATATCGGCAAGTAAGCACAAGCCGAACAATAAGCAGCTTGATAACAAACAATAATACATGGCAATATAATATAAATATAATACTGTGTGTCCGTAAAAAGAGTAACATTTTATTTTTCAATATTAGTATTATATTAATTTATATTAAAAAATAAAAATATTTCTATTAAATTATGTGATAAAAAATAATAATATTTGTATAATATATTGAAAGTGGTAAGAGTATTAATTATATTAGATAGATAATAAATTATTAAATTAAAAAATAGTATTTTATTTTATTTTTTTACAAACAAAAATAAAAAAATAATATTTTTTTATGGGCGGTGGGAGAACATAAATTAATAGGGTGTTGTTGTCAATATAAATTTAAAAACATAATAATATTTCAATTACAATAAATAACTAAAAATAATATAAATATAATTTTATTTTTATTGTTAAAGTAATAATATAATAATAAAAAATATATATTTATAAAAAATAAAATATAAAATATTTTAAAAATAATTAGGGATTGAATTTTAAATACATTATTCATCTCATTTTTTCTTCAAAAACATCAAATCAAATCTCTTTTTTATTTTTCATATTATACTAAAAATTAATTTTATATTTAAAACATCACATCAATATCTATTTATTTCACATCATATAATTATTCAAACTTAAATTTTACTATTTAAATCTCAAACTCAAAATTCAAACCCTAGTCACAACCAACTGATATATAAATAATAATTTACTGTATTTTTTAAAAGAATTTTTTTTATTTTTTTATTTAATATAATATAATAATATTAACATAAATAAAATAAATTTGAAAATATTTATAATATATATTATTATTAAATTACTATAAAAAATATATATATATATATATATATCTTGTCATAAAATAAATAAAAATGACAAAAATAAGTGTAGTATAAGAACTATTTGACAAATTGGATATCTATCAAAATGGGTGCCCCCGTATGTGTGGCCCGGCGGGCGGTGGTGCGTGAAGTTTACAAACGAAATAGTTACGGTGTTAACAGGAGAAATTCAACAAATATAAAATAGATAAACGCTACATGATTTTTATTTAATAATCCCTCCGTTCCAGATACCATATATATACGTTCTCGTTTATATCCGTTCCACGTACTATGTCATTTTTTTTAAAAAAAAATAATTATATACTTTAATCTCATTTTAAATTTTTTAATTTTTTTAAATTTTAATTAAATTAATTAGTTATCTTAATCTTAATTTATAATTATTTATATTATAGAATAATTATTTTCACTAATACATTATTAATTATCTACTAATTACACTCCTCCTAAAATACCATATTTACAGTGTAGCAGACACGATATTGGGACGGATACCATATTTACAGTGTAGCAGACACGATATTGGGACGGAGAGAGTATAATATATATTATATTAAATAAAATAGTTTAAGTGTACTATATTGTGAGACTATGTTATATGTTATTGTTATCAATATGTGGTACATTTATATTATCTTAGTATAATGGGTGTATTGTATTTGTTTGTCGGCTATATTATGCATTGTTAGTTATGAAAAATATTTATATCACATTAATATTGTTAATCTATTGTTTATTTTTATATGATATATTGTTTATTTTATATTACGTGTTATTAATTCATATATTATATATTTATCTCATATTAATATAATTTATGTACAGTATGACTTTTTATTGTATTATATTTATCTTATATTAGAGAGAAATTACGGTATTGATTTTTCGAAACAGTACATATAAAATATACGAATAGTGTGTATTTTTATTTTAAAACAACACATCATGTACGGAATAAAGACACGCATTATTTTCGAGTAGCGGTTACGGATTCAAGAATATATAATATGTTGTCTTTGTATCGTATTAATATATATGATATATTATCTATAGTAATATCGTGGATTGTTTATCGACAAACGATAACATGTAAGGACGATATTAAAATTTAATACTCTAACTACCACACTAGTATTAATATAATTTAAGTATTGTCTTGCGGTAATAAATTTCATCTCATTACATAAAACTATTCTAATACTCTCTCCGTCCCACTTATCATATTCACATTGTCGTTTCTGTCCGTCTTACATTCTATGTTACTTTTTTTTTTTTAAAACTAATTACACACTTTAATCTGATTTTAAATTTTCTAATTTAATTTTTTTTAAATTTTAATTAAACTAATTAGTTATCTTAATTTATAATTATTTATATTATAAGATAATTATTTTTACTAATATATTTTTAATTATCTATTAATTATAATTATTTTAAATTATCGTGTCTACAGTGATCATCTGACCATGGAATTACTATATTAGTACACCGTGGGAGTACTATATTAGTATAATCTTAAATTTAGGTCCATTCCAATGCTTACCAGATAATGCATATTAAGCATGGTAAGAAATTTATTAAAACAGAAAAAGAAAAAACATTAATTCAACAACAGTTTTTTCCACCAATCGCGTGGTTTACTTTTTTGACAAACGAATGCTGATTGGAGAATAATTAGCGGGTGCACAGGAAACTGGTGGTCGTCCCCGCACCAGATCCGATCACTCGCAATGCATAGGATTGTTGAGGTACTTGGTCACCAAGTACTCAGAATACGTCCGCGGCGCGTAATACGCACGCCCGTCCTTCTCCACCAGCTCCGATGCCGGCCCCACCGGATCCACCAGCGACGGCCCACCCGTCATCACCACCGAAATCCTCTCTCGTTCGCCGTTAGTCGAAGCTCTGTGCTTCACGCTCTTGCATCTCCCGTTGCTGAAAATCTACATCGCCCGCCGGTCAAACCAGTCGCCGGCGATCACGCCGGCACCGCCATTGTTGAACCACATAAAAGTCAAATTAAGGAAACATAAATTGAATTCGTTAGTTAAGTACCTCAAGAAAGTCAGCGACATTGACTAAAATGGAATTGTCTTGTCGGGAAGATACAGCGTTGAACCACCGGCCGTCGTTCTCGATCTGCAGTCCGGCGACGCCGTTGTCTATGAGGAAGGAGAAAAGTCCGAGGTCGGTGTGCGGCGGAATTCCGATGTTTTCGCGGTGGTGAGGACACGGCGGGTAGTAATTCAAAATGAAAATCTGAAAACCCTCGTCCATCTTCAAAGCTTCTTGCATCTTTAAATTATCCAATTCCATGGCGTCCGACACTGCTTTCATCAGAATCTTCGTCATTTCCCTTATTACCTCGCTGTATTCGACCACGGCATCCCTACAACCCCGCAATTCTTACAACATTAATCGTACAAACAATAATTAATTAATCAATTGATTAAAATTAGGGTTTTGCAGTACGTACCTTAGGATTTGGGGATTTTGGGGAAGATGGAAGTGGTGGGGCTGCAAATGGAGTCTTAAGGAATCTCTCCAGAGGTAAAACTTCTTGTTGGAAGTGTATACGACGTCGTCTCGGCCGTACTCCATGGCGTAGAGATCGGCGGTGTACTGATTCTTCTCGTCTTCGGGCAATCTGAAGAATTCCATCCCTGCTTCGATCATTCCATTCATTCTCGCCTCCGATATGCCGTGATTCACCAGCTGCATTCATTATTATAACCAAAGATATATAAAATTTAGGATAGAAACAAATACAACATACTCCCGGACAATTGGTTTTTATAGTAAATTAAAAAATAATAGTATTTTATCGGCAGCGGAAGTGTGTAAAAAATAATAATATTTTTGTGATTTGATTTTATGTAAAAAGTAAACGAATGTGTAATAATATATTTGTAATGTAGATAAAAATTAAATATATTTTGATATCAGGGTTTAGGATTTAAAGAAATATTTTGAAATATAACGGACAAAAATTGTACTTTGAATTGAGATGGATATAGTATTATTTATATTAACATAATATAAATTCGACATCTTAAACGACTGAACACAATATAGGACCGAAAACACTAGTAATAAAGATAGACAATACATCGTATAAATACAAATATGATATGAATTGTATTAATATAATACAAATATAATACGTAACTCACAACCATTAAAAATAGACAATATATGATATAAAGACAAACATCACATAAATTATATTAATATAATACAGATGCAGAGGTATACATAACACAATCTCACAATACACGAGATACAGTTGATTTCCATGTTGTTCGATTGTTTTATATGTTGACAGCATAAGCAATCCGTTTAGGGTGCGTTTGTTTGGGGGTTTGATTTTGAATTGGGATTTGAATAGTAAAAATTTTGAATTTGAATAGTTGTACGATGTAATATAAATAGGTGTTGATGTGATGTTTTGAATGGAAAATTGATTTTTAGTATAATATAAAAAATGAAAAATAAGTGTTTGATTTGATATTTGGATGGAAAAAAATGGGATGAATGGTGGAAATTAAATGCAATCCCCCTAACAAACACACCCTTATTAAATTTATCTATCAGTCATCAATCAACTTCCTATTTTTAATCATTCTCAGAAAAAAAAAAAAAAAAAAAAAAAAAAAGTTCTTACGAAGAAGAATCCCCATTTCTGACAGGCGTCGAGGAGTTGCCGGCAAGCTTCGGACCGGCGGTCGGAATCCTCTGAAATTAGGTCTGCATAATTGATGGTCAGAAGCGAAGCTGTCTGTCCTTCCACATCATCGAGCAGCGCCGCCTTCATTGCGTCGAAAGGATCAACCGCCGGCGGCGGCGATGAAGGTTCCAACGAGTGGTGAGAAACAGGCGCAGATGCTGCCATTGACAATAATGTCTTAACGAGGATGGCTTTAGCTTCACTATATATATATACATGTATTTATAATAAGACTGACTGATAAAATACACGAGATAAGTAAGTGGTTTTAATTAAAGCATGGATTTATATATGGTCAGTACATTAATGTGTTTGTTTGCTCAACCAGATTAAAAAGTAATAATATTTTATTAATTAATGAAATTGTATAAAATTTTATGTATTAATAATTATATATGTAATGATATATTTATAATTTAAATAAAATTTAAAGATATTTTAATATAAAAATATAATTGAATACTTTACAGTGAATAGGTAAAAATAGTATTTTAAACTAGAACGGAAAGAGTATTTTTTTTTTTTCACAAAAATCAATATACAACATAATTTTATATTACTAATATGATTTTCTTTATGTCGCTAAAAAATAAAAAATAAATCTTCAAATCAAAATATTATACAAATAAATCCGTAATTATACTGGAAATTTTATTAAGATTTATTATGTCAAATTAATTAATTGATTAAATAATGATGGATTAAATTTCAAATTCACATGTGAAAGGAATAATAATGATTAAGCATAAGAAAATTACTTGTTTTGAAATTTGCACATTTCGTGACATAAATCTTACTATTAAAATAATATATGATGAAATGTTTTGTGAAAAAAAAAAAAAAATTTAAAAAAATATATAATTCAAATAATAAAAATTTAAAGTTTGAGGTTAAAGAAACCATAAAAATTACATTAATTTAGAGTTAGTTTTATTTTAGTTTAAAATATTTTTTGAAATAAAATGTTTGATTTAAAATTTTCTTTAAATGATATTTTAATATTAAAATGATATAAAGAATAATATTGCTCTTGATTTAAAATAATAAAAAAGATAAACCCTATAATAATGATAATAATAATATTTCTTCATTTCATAACTGATGCATTTGAATTGTAGAAGATATTTTATGCTTTTATTTAATGAATTATAATATTATTGTTTTTTATATGAACGGTATTGTTGGTGGATTTAAAATAGTATTTAAATTTTATAATAAATAATAAATTTATTTTTTTTATTTAAATTTAGTATATTAAAATATTTAAAATTAGAGAAAAATATTTTATTTTATTTAAACATATAAAATTTTTATATTGTATTATAAATTAAGTATATTTAATTCAATCATAGATATTGATTATATATAAAAAGGTTCCCAAATTAAAATAATTCATTACAAATACATTGTACACTCAAATAATTATTTTGAAATAAAATTTGTCGCATTAATAACAATGATTAAATAAAAATAAGGGAGTGTCCACTCAATATTCATTTGGTGATATAGTTTTTTATAAATATTATAAAAATTACAATATATATATATTCACACAATATATATATATGTGTTAGCTACTCGCAGAAAAAGTTATTTTATATTAATATAATTATTCATATATAATATAAAAACATGTAACAAATTTGAGTGTGTTTTTTTGATGAGTTTGAAAAAAATTTGATTTGAATTGGCAAAATTGCCCATTAATTTCGAAACTCAGCGTAAATTTACCCCTCTATTTTAAAAAATTGCATGACGCTCACTTATACTTTAAAAATATTGCATAAAATCCCCTATCATGCAAAACATATAAATAGAAAATCATCTTCTTATCACACGAGGAAAGTTTCATGGTGGTGGAGTTTCATTCAACGTTTTTTAAAATATAAGGGTGTACCATGTAATTTTTAAAGTACATGGAGATTTTACGCTGAATTTTGAAACCAAAGATGAGTTATAAGCAATTTTATCATTTGAATTTAGTATGAAAATAATATTTGATGAAATATTTTGTAAGAGAAAAATATTTTTTTTGCATAGTCCAAATAGTAAATTTTGAAAAAATATTGCTAAAGAAACATAATTATTATAATTGACTTTTATTAATTGTATTTATGTCAAATTTATTTGTGAAAGGAATAATAATGATTAAGTATAAGAAAATTACTAATTTTGAAATTTGCACATTGATGACGTCAATCTTATTAAGTAATTTTTCATATCATTTTTTCTTTTTTTTTTATAAAAATAAATTATAAAACTACTTTATGCAAAAGCTAAAAATACATAAAAATAATAAAAATTATTAAATTATACTCTCTTCATCCCATATAATTTATTTATATTTTCTTCCATCTCACATAATTTGTTATTTTTTTTTCTGAAAATATAATTATACATTTTATTACATTTAATATTTTATATTTTTTAATCTTGATTAAACTATTTAATTATTTTAATCTTAATCTATAATTATTTTTTTTATACAATAATTCCTTTTGTAAAAATTTTAAAATATGCCATCTCGAACAATAATATTATCTAATAATAAATAAGTTGTGTTGTTTCAAAAATTTTAAAAATTAACCCCCTTGGGGAAATCCTGATTCCGCCGTATGAGAGGTCTGAAGAAGGGGCCGATAATCCCCTCCCAAATGTAATATGCTTACATTAATGGGCAGCAACACAGAATTAATTTGTTTTGTAAAATAATTTGAAATGATATATTTTTTTATATAAAGTATAAAAAATTATATAAATAATATAAAAATAATAAATATATATAATATATTAACTATTAATAAAAAAAATCAAAAATACAAAAAGAAAACAATAAATTCAATGACAATCCGTAGCAATAGAACGAGCTTACCCACAATGTAAAGATGGATTGATTCGTTAACGAAAATCCGCAGCCGTTACTCTCTCAATAAATCTAACAATCTCAAATTTGAACTTCTTCTACTTCATCGCCGCGTATCCCGACGGCGTCGTCATCTTCTTCTTCGCAGGGCTAACCTCTGTTTCCATCGACGGCCCGTGGACATTTGCAAATGAAATCCACGTCTTCTTGTTGTTCACTACTGCTCTGTGCAACACACTCTTGCATCGCCTGTTACTAAACATCTGGCCGCGAACCAGAACAATTGCAAATTATCATATTATTACAGCTAAGATAAACTAAATTTCGATGAAACTATTACCTCAAGCTGATCACAAGTGTTCACCAAAATCGAATTGGGATGAGGATCTACATCGATCCATTTGTCCTTATGCTGGCATCAGGCCTAGAGCCATGTCTGGATTTGGACAAGGAGGGTAAAGATTCGCAACGAATATCTATAGACACGATTCCAAGCCATTGAACAGGACAATCGTTTGGCAAGATACTATAGTAGTACTGTTGTTGAGATTAATTCTTTCATTCAAATCCATTGAGTTGTATAGATAAAATACGTTTCTTGTCGAACTTAATTTGCAAGGTATTAAGTTTGATCGGAGATTTACCGGTGCCTACTTTTGGGTAGAAAAAAAAAAAAGAAACAGAAGAGTTGTTGTCCACCATATTTATAAGGAGTTATATAATTTCTTTTAAAACAAATGATATAATTACGATGGACATGTAAGATAGTATTTTATTTCTACTGTCTTAAAAGAATTGTCTTTTTTATTTTATTTTTTTCATAACAATTGTTTTATTTTTTTATTTAGTAACTATGATCTTCATTTCATAACAAAATAATTCATATTTTTTTAAATTATTCATAATTATTATTCTAACATATTTTTAAAATTTTTCAAAAAAATAAACAAAAACACTTGAATATTTTACATTTTATTTTATTTTTATTTTTAATTAAATATTATTATTCTTATAAGATGGGATACAAAGAGTGTCAACTTCCAACAATACATTTTATTTTTTAGACGGAGGCCGTAGTAGAATATTAGTAGCCACCGACAATCACTTCAAATTAGATGACAGTTTTCGATATAATATTAAATCCAAGTGTCATTATATTATTGGCTGGGTAATTTGAAATGGTGGGCCTACCCACACTAGATTATCAATCAATCCCCCTCCGCTTTCTTCCTCACATATTTGGCTTCCATGAATTCTTTAAAAACCGTCGCCGGAAACAGCGCCCGCCCATCCTTCTCCACCAGCGCCGCCGCCGGCCTCACCGTCGCCGCCAAATCCGGACCGTTGCTCACTGCAATCGAAACCCTCTCTGTTTCATCATTCACCAACACTCTGTGCCTCACACTCTTGCATCTCCCATTGCTAAAAATCTGTTAGACATATACACACATATATATATAGTGAAACACAGCTGTTGAAATTCCGGCGAGAATTTCCGGCAACTAATTTACCTCAAGCTGGTCGGCGACGACGACCCAGACAGAATTCTTGGTTTCCGATTCAACGTCGATCCACTGACCGTTTTTTTGAATCTGCAATCCAGGGACGCCGTTGTGCACGACGGTGGTGAAGAGGCCGGCGTCGGTGTGCGGCGGCAGGCCGGCGGCTCGGCCGGCGTCGGGACACGGCGGATAAGAATTCGCGGCGAAGACTTGAAAGCTTGAGTCCAATTTCAAGATTTCATCGACACAGTCTCTGTCCAATTCCAAGGCGTCCGCGATTGCTTCCATTAACGTCTTCACAACCCTCTTATTACCTTCGCTGTATTCCGGCAACACTTCCCTGCAATCGCCATTACAACAGCTAGCTAAGGTTTGATGAATTGATATCATTATTATTTTCCCCAAATTAATGAATTGTACCGCAGGAGATCGGGCTTGTGGGGAAAATGGAGCTCGTCGGGATGCAAGTACAGTCTGAGAGAGTTCCGCCATAGATGGAGAATGTTGCTCGGAGTGTAGGCGACGTTGTGGGTTCCGTACTTCATCAGGCTTAGGGTATACAGATCAACCTCGTACTGCTTCTTCTCGACCTCGGGTAACTCGAAGAACTCCTTAGCTGCTGAGAAGAGGGCCTTCGTCACAGCCTCGGGGATTCCATGGTTTACCAGCTGCATCATCCAATCGATCGATCCATAACAATGATATAAAACAAATTAACCTAATTAAGATCTTACAATGAAAAATCCCCAAACTCGACATGCTTCGAGGAGTCCCTGAATTGCTTTCGAACGTTGCTCTGAATCCTCAGTTGTAAGCAAAGAAAAATCGACCACAGGAAGTTCATCACTGCCTCCCATTTTCATCAATTGCAGTCGAATTTCCAGCTCTCTATCTCTCTCTATATATATGAGTGTGTGTGTATATTCATGGATGTAAGGACATGGATCTATAAAGAAGTTGCAGCCGTGCAAGTTAATAATACTTCAATCTGCAGAAACAGACAGAACTGCAGAGAAAGAGAAGCTGTCAAATTTGCCATAGTCAGGCAGACAATGAGCTTATACACAACGGCAAAAAATGGATCTTTAATAGGAATCCGTAGCCGTCACTCTCTCAATCAATCTAACAATCTCGGATTCGAACCAATTCTTGCAACATCGACTTCCCATTCAGCCGATTGCCCTGCTGCGCGGACAGGTAATTCTTGTACTTCATTGCAGCGTATCCCGGCGTTGTCATCGTTATCGCAGGGCTAACCTCCGCTTCCATCGACGGTCCATTGGCCACCGCGATCGAAATCCTCGTCTTCTTGTTGTTAACTACCGCCCTGTGCAGCACGCTCTTGTATCGCCCGTTGCTAAAGACCTGATCACGAGCCATATCGATCGCAAATTATTACATTATTACAGCTACAAAAAAACTTAATTTCGACGAAATTATTACCTCAAGCTGATCACAAGTGTTGACCAAAATCGAATTGGGATGAGGATTTACGTCGATCCATTTGCCCTTATGCTGTATTTGCAGCCCTCCGACGTCGTTCTGCACCAGCAATGTCAGCAGGCCGTGGTCCGAATGCGGCGTCAGGCCTAGAGCCATGTCTGGATTCGGACAAGGAGGGTAAAGATTCGCGACGAATATCTGTAGACACGATTCCAAGCCTAAGGCCTTGTCCATTTCTCCGTGTTTAAGTCCCAAGGCGACTGATATTCCGCTCAACAGCTTCTTCACCACGTCTCGGATTCTTACACTGTATTCGGGTAGTATGTCTCTACAAGAACATCGAACGGATGAACAATAACTAACATAAATCGATAAAAAAAAAAAAAAAAAAAAAAAAAAACGCATAATTTATATCAATTACCTTAAAGATTCGGGCTTTTCCGGACAATGGAATTCAGGATGCACGAAAATCTTTACAAAATCCCTCCAGCAGAAGACGTCTTCTTTCGCCGTATTGAAGCTTGTTCCGTATCGTATGGGAGTCAGAACGTTTTCAGGCTCGAATTCTGGCTTCTCCTCCTCCGGCAGATTGAAAAATTCATCGGCGGCGTCGATCATGGCCTTTATAAGCGGTTCCGGTACTCCGTGATTTATTACCTACAAATGTAAGATTTGATCAAAAGCCAAGAAATATGTACGAATTATGTTTTAGCTGTTACCATGAAGAAGCCCCATTCCTGACAGGCCCTGTCGAGTTCTTGGACAGCGTTCGACTTCTGATCAGGATCGTCGGATGCTAGAAGAGAAAGATCGACGGTGGGGATCGACAAGTCGGGGTCTGCCGCAGCTATGTCCGTAGGATCGAATTCGTGGATGTAGCTGGAGGGAATGGAGCTCAGATTAGGAGATTCTGAGAGGCGTTTGACGCTTGCAATGGCGGTAGCCATGTTTGCTTGGTAGACAGAGGTTCTTGCAACCTTATCCCCTGTTTTTTAACTTGATAATCAAAGCTCAATTATTGAAGTTCAATGATTGGCAGCAATGTCTGTATACACGTGTATATATATATATATATGTATGTATATCTAACTTCTAAAGAATGTAGTCCTCACTCTTGCCTAACCAAGTTAGCTAAAATACTGACATGCGTAAGGAATACATACACAAATTTTACTCTGCAACTTTCAGGAACCCTAAAAAATCATGTAAGAAAGGGGCTCAATTTAGATGTACATTTACAAAAGCTTTGCTTGGATACATACAACTCGAAGATCCAAACCTCCATAATTATTGCCATAAAACTATATATTATCTAAGCATTCGAGCAGTATGAAAATCATCGAATTGAGGTTTAATCTTATTTATTTGAAAACCTTTGCGCTGCAAGATTGGGACCTTTTTACAGCAGAAGGGCTTCCCGACATTAATGGCTTCCCTACACTGCTCTTCTGTTTAATGGCGTCCAATTGTTTCTCACAGTTCCCTCCAAAATCAGCTATCGCGGAGCCAATCATCGACGCGGACAAGGAGTCGACCGACACGGACCTCCTCGCAGGTTGTAATGGACCCAATCTGTTCCTTTCATCGACCGCCGGAACTCCAATTTCCGCCATGGATTCAATTGCAGAAGGCTCCGACTCTGCTAGGGTTTCCCCGCCGGTCTCCGGAATTCGAATTAGGGTTTCTTCGTTGCGGGCCGCCGCCGCCGCAGGCGGCGGCGGCGTATTGTTGAGGAGGATTCTTGCACGGCAGATGGGGCAATTGGTGTGGGATCGGAGCCACGTGTCGATACAGGATAGGTGGAAAGCGTGATTGCATTTGGGGAGGAGACGGAGAATCTCGTCGTCCTGAAATTCGCTGAGACAGATGGAGCAATCCGTGCCGTCGATCAGACCGCCGCCGCGCGTGTATTTCACGACGGCGATGGACCGGATCACGGCCGGGTCGAGGCCGACGGTCCGGATGTACCAAATCGGGTGGTCAACCACGGGGCCGTGGTCTTCGTCAAGAAACTCACTCCGCCCGTCGTCTCCGTCGCGCTGGGGTGGCGCCGATCCCGTCCGCCGCCGCGAGCCGCACCAGTAGGTATAGAATCGGTAGACGGTGAAGCAAGTGAAAAAGACGAAAGCGACGGCGAGGACGACGATTGCCGCCGTCAGGAGAGCGTGAAGCTTCAATTGTTTGTTAGAAACAGAGGCCGGCGGCGGCGGTGGCGGTGGCGGTGGTGGTTGGATTCCATTGTTCGGCAGATTGCAGGAATTAGGGCATTTTGGACAGTAATAACATTGGTTGTACTTGTTCGGGTCGACCGGTTCGGGTCCGTAGCAATTTTCCTCGCAAAAATCTTTATCGATATAAAAACTGTGCCCAATCAGAAGCTTTTGGAGGCGGCCGGCCATGGAGGAAGGGGGAAGAAGGCGAATCCAGGGCGGGGGAATTTGGGGGGAAACCAGGTGGACAAAACTGGACGATGATGGGGAGGCCGAGGTCTTGGCCTTCTTCGTCTTTGCCCAGGATTTGGTTTGTATCTTCTTCGTGTTGACTATTATGTTTTATTTGTGGTCATTACTGCCTCGACGGGTGACAGGGGTGGACTTTGTGGGAGGTCCTGGGAGTCCGACACCGGAGTTGATCTGCAGTGAGGAAGTTTGACTGTTTCCTTGGAAAAATCTAACTGCTGAGGTTTTATTGGTTTCGTGTAACAGATTTTTAATTAATTTTATTGATTAATTTGTTATTTCGTGGAAGCTCCCGGGAATCCCACACTGGATTTGATTTTAATTGTTCGCTTTTACGCGTAAATTTTACAAAGTTCATTTTTTCCATTTTTATTTGTTTTACCTAATTTATGTTTTTTTTTTTAATTATAAATTTAAATTTTAAATTTTATAATTTATATTTTAAAAATTTTAATTAAATTATTTAATTATTTTAATTTAAATTTATAATTATTTTTATTAATAAATTTTTCAATTACTTATTAATTATATATTATCTAAATTTTAGTATATAGAACAAATGGAGTATAATATTAAAAATATTTGCAAATAATATTCTTTATTTATAAGCTATTATCATTTTTGTTTTGTATTTATGTCGTTGACAAAATATATCCTATAATAACTTTCGTCCAAATAATATGTTTTTAATATACTAAAAAAATATTTCATTAATTAGAAAAAACATAAAATAATTGAAAGAGATAATAAACAGCAAAAATACTAGTGAGTTTGAAACCTAAAGAGTATAGTATACTAAACATGTAAAAAAACATATTTTAAACATAAATAAAAAGAAACAAAATCTAGTTAAATAATTATAATAATGTCTTTGTACTATTATACTATAAATTATATATAGATATAAAAAATTAGTTATATAAAAAATATAATTAAGAAAATAGTAAATTGATTTCAAAATTAAAATGGATAAACAAATACATTGATTTCATAGCAGTATTTGGATTTATTTTCGCTATCAATTTTTTTTATACGATTCTTAATATATATATATATAATATTTATAAAATATATATATTTGTTATTGTCAATACTATTTTTTCTACTACAAATACATACTTCATTCGTCCCGCTATATATGACCTTATTTCCTATTTTTTATCTTCCACAAAATATGATCATTTTGTATTTTTGGTAAATTTATCGATCTTAAATATACTAAGCAAATATAAATCAATTTAATTAAACTTATAACATCCTACACGTAGGATCCACTCAAAATCCTTTTTATTTCTATCTCTTTTCAATTAACAAATATTTTTATTTACCTTTAAAACTCCTCATTTTTTATAAAACTAATTTTGGTAATAATAAATAAATATTTTTATTCATTTGTATTATATAGAATTTTATATTTTATTGAAATATAATTTTAAAAATATTTAAAATACAAACAATATTACACATATAAAAAATAATAAAATATTATCATAACTTATTATTAATAACTTAATAACCTAAACTATCTAAAATACTGTGTCCTGACAAAAAGGATCATATTTTGTTGTGCAAAAACATATTCATTGGTTTTGGATAGAGCATCTACATTTTGTCTGCAGGTACATATTACAATATTGATTAAGACAAATTAATATAGTGTTTACATTTGCATTATTTTATTCCAAACCTTATATTATTAAATTATTTTTTTTATATTATGTATCAATAATTAAGGCTTTGTTTACACAGTATATTTTTATTTATCTACTGTTATTTATTTTTTAAAAAAATATCATATTAAATATTTTTTTTTCTTACAAAATATCAAATCAAATACTAATTTTTTATTTTATTTTATTTTATTTTATTTTTCGAATTTTTAAATTTTCTAAAATGTACAAAAATCTCAAAGCCTAAGGTGTAAGCATAAAAGCCTTTGGAACAGAAGCTGGAAAACTGGTAGGAGTTTGGTCAACTGAAAAGACACTGTCACGTTATTCGTTTTCATATTTAGTGTGTAATAATTTTATTATTATTATTATTATTTTTATTTAGTGTGTAATAATTGCGTGCACGTCCAGCTCAAAACTGAATTTGACACACAAACAAACCTCTCTATTTATTCTATATATCTATATCTAAATAAATATTTTAACATTAACTTATAACATAGGTACCAAATCAAATTAAACTAAGACATGCTCATACGGATGTCAAATGGGGCGGATTACCCCGGATCCCGGATCCGCCTCGAATCTGGTCTTAATGGGAAGGATTTGAGTCTAAAAAATTTAGTTCAGGGAGAGTTGTGGATTTTGAATTTTAGACTCGTTTGGATTCGGGGCGGGTTACGAATTTTACTATAAATCTGCTCCATCCCGGACACGGATCCGAATCCGGATATTTAATAATTATTATAATTCATTTATATTTTTATATAATATAAATTATATTAATTATAAATTTTAAAAAATTAAATATAAAATAGAATCTTAATTCTAAATCAAATTTATCTTCGCATTTATTTTTTCTACAATTCTCTTTATAATCGGAACCATTGCTAATCGTCATCATTACGAACTATTATCAATATTTGATTGTTCTTATTTTTAAAACTATAAGTTTTTGGTACTTTGACACATATATTTTTTTTTAATATTAAATTATTTTTAAAAAATTTTACTTTATTCTTTTTTTAAAAAAAAAAAAAAAAACAACAACAACAAATTTGTTGAGTAGGATCCGAACCCGGAGGGTTCGGGGCGGGACGGGTCCTAAAACCGGGTTGAAGTGGGGTGGGGCGGGTTCCGGAACCTGCAAAACTCGTCCCGATCTCGCCCTTTGACATACCTATATACTCTTGAATGAATTATTGAATGAGATTTTAAAATTAATACTTGAGATTATGTAGGTATAATTTATAAATTATAGAATAATGTTTAATGTTATTATTATTATTATTATTATTATTATCTTGTTCAATGTTTTCTTATGTGATTTAGTATTATATTATTGATTCAATATTAAAATAAACCTACAGATTAATACTATATTATAATAAAATGATTTAACAAACATCATATTTGGGGGTTTGGATTTTGAGTTGGAATTTGAATAGTAAAAATTTTGAATTTGAATAGTTGTATGATGTGATATAAATAGGTGTTGATGCGATGTTTTGAATGTAAAATTAATTTTTAGTATTATATACAAAATAAAAAATAGGTGTTTGATTTGATGTTTTTAAGGAAAAAAATGGGATGAATAGTGGAAATCTAATCCAATTCCCTAAACAAACACACCTTTAATTTAATACTCCCTCCGTCCACAAAAAAAGTATACAATTACTTTTGGCGTGGTGTTTAAGAAATAATAGTATTTTAATTATAGTGGGTAGTTAAAAGTAGTGTAATAACATTTTTGCCCTTGCTTTTTGGTGTAAAAGTAACGATGTGATGTTGTTACGTACGAAATTTAGAATTAGGTTAAAAGCCCAAGGTAAAACGAGGAATGGGCCTGGCAATAGGGTTGATTGAACTGGCTGAAGGACACCGTGAGGAAATCAAGGAAAATAAATTTATTTATTTATTTCTAAGAAGACCTCAAGTCGGAAGGTCTTCAGGTCGAGAGGTCCGCAAGACGGAAAGACCTCAAGTCGGAAGGTCTTCAGGTCGGGAGATCCGCAAGACGGAAAGACCTCAAGTCGGAAGGTCTTCCGGTCGGGAGGTCCGCAAGACGGAAAGACCTCAAGTCGGAAGGTTTTCAGGTCGGGAGGTCCGCAAGACGGAAAGACGATGAGTCGGAAGGTTTTCAAGTCGGGAGGTCCTCGAGACGGAAAGTCGTTGAGATGGGATATCCGCAGGTCGGGTAAACTGTAGGTCGGATAGAAGGAGGAGTCGGACAAACACGGAGGCCTTTGATCAAAGACAGGGGGCGGTTGATATGGAGGTCGGTCCAAGTGGGGTCGGGCGAAGAAGTAGGTCGGACGAAGGACGAAGTCGGGCCAAAAGAGCGGAAGGTCTGTGGTCGGCTCAAGGAGTGAAATATAGGGAATTTTGGTCTGCTGGGGACGCGTGTCAGCATAAGAAAGGTTGGAAGACGGTTGAGAAGGAGACGTTGTAACCGTTCGGGTGACGGTTTTCAGTACGGTTTCCCAGGGAATATTTAAGGATTTGGATCATCATTTGGCAAGGAATCTTCAATCAACTTCAACAAAGCAAAGTCAGATTTGGGGATCACCACTTTAAATTTCAGTCTTTTATTTTCCAGTTTATTTTCTGTACCATACAGTGTTTAGAGATTCCTAATCTCAGGCACTAATTAATCAAGTTTAAGGATATTTTCTATATCTTTGAATTTTACTTTATTTTTGTTGAAAAATTACATCAACAAATTGGCGACCACAGTGGGAGCAAGACAAAATTGCTCATTCCAATTCCGGCGATAATTTCATACGTCTTAGATCCGGCCGAATCATCGGAAGGGTCCATATGGCAGGGTCACAACCGCAAGCATCTTCGACACCGGTGGGAGAATCCGTTCCACCACCCATTGTGCCAAATGCCGGGGAAATCCCACAACCACCAACTGATTGGTGGTCTTATGTTCAACAAATGAACAACCAGCATACCTTGGTTATGCAGAATATGTTGCGTGAGCAACAAACGAACATGTTGCGTGAGCAACAGAGTCAGTTGCAGAACATGATAGATCAAGCATTGTCAAGGGTTAGTCTTCAACCCACTCAAACGCCACCAGGAGTGTCACCGTCCAGACCACAGGCAAATTTCGCAGGGCCATCATTCGTGGATAGTACATTCCCAAGTGCCACAAATCCCAACCGAATGGATCGGGGAAAAACTCCTTTGACTTTTCCCAACAATGTTCCACTGGGACCAAGGGTTACCAGTTCGCAGCCGAACAATACAAGGGAGGACAGGCCTGAAGGATATATACATGATCCGATTCATATTCCTGTGCAGGATCCGTTCCAGGTTCCTGATCATCAACGCTTTCATGTAGATCCTGATGAGATTGCACATATATTAAGGGATCAGTATGGATTAACTCCTCAGATGGCTAACCGCCCTGCATATCAAAGACCTT